CTGTTCGTAGGTAATCTGTTATGTACTGAGTTGACTAGGATCCAAAATGCAGCAGCCTGATTGGTCCTAGAACAATAGGATTCAGAATGCAGCAGCCTGATTGGTCCTAGAACAATAGGCTCCAGAATGCAGCAGTCTGATTGGTCCACAGGAACCACCCAATCCAGCTCCAGGTGGAAGTGAATCCGCGACCTCATTGGTCTACAGGAGAATCCCGGAATTAGCCAATCACGTGGGGCCCATTGTGTAAATAATGTATATAAAGCAGACATTCTGGGGGAACTTCCATTCCTCCTCACCACTATGAGCTGAATAAAGATAATGAAATCCACTCTCGACTCCGAGTATATTTCATAATCCCACTGCCCCCTAGGGGGTAGTACTGCTCACTTGGGGAACAGCTGATCTAGCAGATGAGATTATTGTAGTTATGGGCTCACTTCTGACGTGGACGGACTCACAGACCAGCTGCAAGGAGGAGGGATGTTTTCTCTCTAGCACTGGAGTCTGTTCCCCCAACTGGAAGTTCCCAGGGAAGGTTGAAGGCCAAACGGCTTGGTGTCCTTCCCTTATCTGCCGAGTAACCCAAACTTTGAGTAGCCAGGAGTCCCTGATGCAAACTCAAGGTTGACAAGGAGGCCCACCCGTTGCCCTGTTCGCAGCCCTGGGCCCAATAACACAGGCAGTGACATCATTTATATCCGTCATCAGATTTTGTTATTGTTTTTCATTCTCATAGAGAGACAGAGCTGCAAGTTCTAGGCCAGGCTTTCTCAACCACAGCCCTCCAGATGCTTTGAGACTACAATCCCCATTATTCCGGACCACTGGTCCTGCTAGCTAGGGATCATGGGAGTTGTAGGCCAAAAACGTCTGGAGGGCCGAGGTTGAGGAAGCCCGTTCTAGGCCCCAAGAGACCATTCCAGAGAGGGGAGAACTCTCAGGTGTCATTTACCCATCAAATCACCTGGTGGAAGTCTCCCTCTGGAGTGGCTCTTTAAATGGGGGTGGAGAACCAGGAGCCCATGGGCTGGATGTGATCCCGAAGGCCAAATGTACCCCCTCTGGCCCACAGCACCCCCTCTTTGAACCTCCATTCACTAGGCAGGCTTGAAGCAAGCCTCCAATTGACGGATTGGGAAAGGCTTTGGAAGTCAGATATGAAATTTACTGCATGTACCCTACTCAAAGAGAATTATATGAAAATATGATGTATGGGTGGTATTTAACCCTGGTTAAACTAGCAAAAATATATAGAACAAGATCTAATAAGTGTTGGAAATGTAAAGAAACAAAGGGTACGTTTTATCATATGTGGTGGAAATGTAAGATGATAAAAAAATTCTGGGAAATGATTTATAATGAAGTGAAAAAAATGCTTAGAGTAACCTTTGTTAAAAAACCAGAAGCCTTTTTGTTATGTACTGAAGTTCTCACCCTGGGCCAGCAGGGGGATACTGTAGATAGTTCAGGTCCACATATGCAAATAAGGGATCGAAAGTGACATTCAGTGATTGGATAGTTACAGAAAATGGTTATAAGCAGGCTGGCTGAACCCTTCAGTTCAGTTCTGTTCTGGCCTGTGAATAAACAAGAGCTGTTTAAAGAATCGCTGTGTCATCTGATATGTTCACCCACAACTTAACACTTTTTATTAGGTATTGTAGGAGCAGAGATGTCAAAAGACCAGAAGGAATTGTTTATGTATGCTACGATGGCCGCCTGGAGACGGTTAGCCCAAAGATGGAAAGTGGAAGCAGTCCGACCAAAGAAGATTGGCAAACCAAGTTCATGGACTATTCAAATCAAGGGTAAATCGGTGTCCTCTTTTGTTGGTGATGCATTCACCTTTTGAGGGGAGGGTGTAGAAGTGGACACCCTCCTCTCAGAGCATCTGGACCAGTTTAGAATCCGCCAGCATCAGGAAGCAGGCAGGATGCTGCAAAAAGCAAGCAGAGAGAGAGTGAAAACATATACAGTACAGTGGTACCTCAGGTTAAGTACTTAATTCGTTCCAGAGGTCCGTACTTAACCTGAAACTGTTCTTAACCTGAAGCACCACTTTAGCTAATGAGGCCTCCTGCTGCCACCGCACCCCTGGAACACAATTTCTGTTCTCATCCTGAAGCAAAGGTCTTAACCCGAAGCACTATTTCTGGGTTAGCGTAGTCTGTAACCTGAAGCGTCTGTAACCTGAAGCGTATGTAACCCGAGGTGCCACTGTACATTTGTGACTGCATATATCTGAGTGTGTGTGTGTGTGTGTGTGTGTGTGTGTGTGTGTGTAAAAGAGAGAGGGGAAGAGGAATGTTCTCTGTTGTTATCAGATAGCAATAGCACTAAGTGTGTGTGACTAATCATATAAAAGTTATAAATAAGTAGAAGTACTTTTTTTAAAAAAGGGGCTTGCCAGGCACATTCCGGCCCTTGGAATTCTCCCCAGCATTAGCCACACCTTCTGCCTTTAGGCCACCCGCCTCCCTGGCCTTGCTTCATCCATTTCTTCAATGTTCTTTGCCTGTATAGAGGACAGAGAGGCACGTGCGCGAGTTCTGCGTAGAAAACTGCCTATTGTACAAAGGTAATATTGACATGCATTGCTCCATCCACTTTCCGCCTTTGCTTCCTGCCAGGAGAGTGTGTGGCCTTCATCACAGTGCCCAGAAGGGAATGTATCCCTCAGGCTGAAAAACAGTTCCCCATCCCTGAAGCAGGCGGACCTTTACGTATCCTGGACCCAAACTGCTCCAACGCTTTTGCAGTACATAATAACTAGCACAGCTGGGAATGGATCGTGAACTTCCACCCCCAACGCAACTCAGAAAACCACAGTGTATTGTAGATAAAACCTCTGGCTGAGTTTAGGTGCCCTTTCCCCTTTCCTGACGAGCCTCTGGTGCTTTCTTCGCACAAGAGATTTTTATACACGCCGGAGTAGCTTTCTCTCCTGGCCCAGTGATGCAGCAAGGCTGTGAAAGCTGCACCAGTTGGACTGGCAGTGTCAAGTCGGACAGCTGGATTTTGTTTTGCATATAAATGAGAATTTGAAGGGACTCCTGGGGGTCCTGTAGCCCAATCCCCTGCAATGCAGGAATCTTTTGCCTTGTAGTAATAATAATAATAATAATAATAATCTTTTGCCTAATAATAATAATTATTATTTGTACCCTGCCCATCTGGCTGGGTCTCCCCAGCCACTCTGGGCGGCTTCCAACAAAGATTAAAAATACATTAAAATGTCACACATTAAAAACTTCCCTAATGTGGGGCTCAAACTCCCAAACCCTGGAATTAAGAGTCTCGTGCTCTACTGACTGAGCTATCCCAGGGTAATGGTTTATTTATTTATTTCATAAACTTTCTACAGCACTCGATTTAAAAAACCCCTCAAAGCAGCTTGCAAAGAGAATAGAACGATGAAATTATCAGGGGAAAAAAAATCTTAAAAACATTCAAAAAGAGGATCTAGTGTCAGAATCCTCTGCAATGCAAGAATATGCAGCTGCTCCCCTTATCAGCGCCATGCTCTAACCAAATGAGCTGTGTAAAAGTAAAGGGACCCCTGACCATTAGGTCCAGTCGTGGACGACTCTGGGGTTGCTGCGCTCATCTCGCTTTATTGGCTGAGGGAGCCGGCATACAGCTTCCGGGTCATGTGGCCAGCATAACTAAGCCGCTTCTGGCGAACCAGAGCAGCACATGGAAACGCCGTTTACCTTCCCGCTGGAGCGGTACCTATTTATCTACTTGCTTTCAAACTGCTAGGTTGGCAGGAACAGGGACCAAGCAATGGGAGCTCACCCCGTCGCGGGGATTCAAACCGCCGACCTTCTGATCAGCAAATCCTAGGTTTAACCCATAGCGCCACCCGCGTCCCATAATGAGCTGTGTAGGCTTGCCTAAACAAAAATGCCCTGAAAAGGGTACAGTGAAGGCACCTCCCCAGGGTCAATAGGCAGGGAGTTCCAAAGTGTAGGTTTTGCAATGCTGAAAAAACTATTTCTTACACATGTGGAGCAGGTACTACGCGGCTCCACAGATTGAAGCATATACTGGGGTAAGGTGATCTCGCAGGGAAACTAGTCCCAAGCTGTTAAGGATTTTATATATACTAATAGTGACCCCTTGTACTTGGCTGGCCCAAGAGCCCTGCTTGGGGGTGGGCCGGGACGCATACAAGGAGCGAAGAGCGAATCCTCTTTGCATGGATTCTGAGCAAACACGACTGCTGACCCAACATGCACGCAAGCACACACCCCAGAGGGGAGGTTTCTGAATGCCTTGTTTGCAAACAGGGGCCCTGAGCATGCACCCTCCTCAAGGAGAGAAGCCAGCCAGGCTCCAGCCAGGCAGGACGTCCCTGACCAACCACAAGTGACATGGCAGCATGAGGGACCTTTGTCATGCCTCAGGCGATGGCAGCTGCACAGGAACCATGTCACAGCCCCGCGCCTGGACTCTGGACCCATCGCTGCCACTTCTGCCTCGGGGGATTCACACCAGCCGAGCGGCAAAGCTCTAATCACAAGCACTCTGGCGATAAGGGCTCAGGGGAGATAAGGGCCCGGGTTCAATGCCCAGCATCTCCAAGTAGAGCTGGGAATGTCCTTTCTATGAGCTGCTGCCAGTCAGAGTAGGCAACACTGGGCTAGACGGACCAGTAGTCTGACTTAGTATAGAAAAAAGGACACGGCTCAGCTCTGCATGCAAAAGGTCTCAGGTTTTACCCTCAGCATCTCTAGGGAGGGCTGGGAAATGATGGAGAGCTGCTGCCGGCCAGTGTAGACAATACTGAGCTAGATGGGCCAAAGGTTCGGCTCAGTATAAGGCAGCTTCCTATAGTCCTATGGGGGGGGCTGAACAGAGGGGCCAAAATTGCTTCCTGTGGATGGTAAGCGGTTCATTTTCTTACAGCCTCTGTAAATTAGTGATCATCAGTGCTGAGACAGAATCATAGAATCAAAGAATTGTAGAGTTGGAAGGGAACCTGAGGATCATCAAGTCCAACCCCCTGCAATGCAGGAACGGTCAGCTGTCTCGAACCTGCAACCTTGGTTTCATTGGCACCACGCTCTAACCAACTGAGCTATCCAGGCTGACCTGGATGATGATGATGATGATGAATTATCTATTAAACTTCTATACCAGCTTTCATCCAAAGATCACAGGGCGGTTTACAATATAAAAACACAAAAACACAAACAACAATAGCCTAGGGCTCGCCGATCAGAAGGTCAGCAGTTCAAATCCCTGCGACGGAGTGAGCTCCCATTGCTCGGTCCCTGCTCCTGCCCACTTAGCAGTTCAAAAGCACGTCAAAGTGCAAGTAGATAAATAGGTACCACTCCGGCGGGAAGGTAAACGGCGTTTCCGTGCGCTACTCTGGTTTGCCAGAAGCGGTTTAGTCATGCTGGCCACATGACCCAGAAACTGTCTGCGGACAAACACCAGCTCCCTTGGCCTATAGAGCGAGATGAGCGCCGCAGTCCCAGAGTCGTCCACAACTGGACCTAATGGTCAGGGGTACCTTTACCTTTTATCCACACCCCAGTTTAAAAGGCCATAGATTGCTTAATAGCTAAAGGCCCGGGAGAAAAGGAATGCTTTCTCCTGGTGCCTAAAGATTTGTAGAGAAGATGCCCAGCAGGCCTCCCTGGGGAGAGCATTCCTGGAATGGGGAGCCACTGCAGAAAAGGCCCGTTCTCGTGTTGCCACCCTCTGGACATCTCACGGAAGAGGCTCACAAAGAAGGGCCTCAGAGGATGATCTCAGGGTCCGGATCAATTCCTATGGGGAGAGGCGGCCCTTGAGGTCTTGCCATCCTGAGCTGTTTAAGGCATAACAATGAGCAAAATCCACCAGCAACAAAATCCACTGTGCAAGAGGGCAGCAGGCCTGTATCTCCACCAAGCACAACATTCAGGGCTGGCGTCAAGGGTCAGGATGGTCAGGGAGGTGCTGAGGCCCCACACTGCGGCAGGGGGGCATAAGAAATAACTCTGGAGGGAAGAAGTTGCATTTCTTTCCCAGCTGGGCTCCTCAAGTGCCATCACAATCATACCAGGAAGAGGTGTGGGCAGTCAGGTGGGCACTTCAGCTGAAGAGGGATGCCTGGTCCAGGCGATGCTTTGCATAGTTCTTGGCTCGTTGCGGAGGGGGGGGGGAGCTGGAAGGAGGGAATGGGGCTGCCTGCCACCCCCCCCTCTTTGTAGACCTGCAGCCCCATAGGACGGGGCAGTGTGGCGCCACTCTGGGGTGAAAGAGAGAGGTGCCGCCCCGCCTCAGCCTGAAGGGCGATTAAAGCAGAGTCTGCCCGCGATTTCGTTATAAAAGCATCCCCACCCACACTTCATGTGGTTGCTTCCTAGTGCCTAGCGATGGATTTGGCAAAGCTTCTCCTTAGCTGCCAAGGAAGTTGGGCAGCCTCTCTGTAGGATGAGAGGGGGGTGGGGAAGCCGACTCTCCGAATGAATCTGCTCCAGAATTAATGAATCCACTTTTTCTTCTACTTCTTTATTTTCTCTTTGTTCTTTCTTATATCATAGAATCATAGAGTTGGAAGAGACCACAAGGGCCATTGAGTCCAACCCCCTGCCAAGCAGGAAACACCATCAGAGCACTCCTGACATATGGTTGTCAAGCCTCTGCTTAAAGACCTCCAAAGAAGGAGACTCCACCACACTCCTTGGCAGCAAATTCCACTGTCGAACAGCTCTTACTGTCAGGAAGTTCTTCCTAATGTTTAGGTGGAATCTTCTTTCTTGTAGTTTGGATCCATTGCTCCGTGTCCGCTTCTCTGGAGCAGCAGAAAACAACCTTTCTCCCTCCTCTATGTGACATCCTTTTATATATTTGAACATGGCTATCATATCACCCCTTAACCTCCTCTTACCTTTCTTTCTCCTCTTTATTGCGAATAGTATTTTATAGAGGTATAAATAACTGCAAATATGAAAAGAGACAAAATGTTTTCTAATTTTTTCCTTGGTTACATGCATTTTCTCTTTCTTTTGTATTTTCTTTTTTTGTATATTTGTATTTTTTTCTCATTTGTACTCAATAAAATTAATAATAATAATAATGAATCCACGGCTTGCCTTTTCCCACACTAAGACAAGGCGTCTCCATGCTCAGATCTGGGCCCCCTTTGCTGGAGAACCAGGCAGATTCATATCGAGAGAGCCTGCAGGATCAGACCAGTGGCCCATCTAGTCCAGCATCCTGTTCTGGTTGGCAGGGGCCAACCAGATGCCCGGGGAAAACCCTCGACCAGAACCTGAGCACAAGAGCACTCTCCCCTCTTCTGGTTTCCACTGTCTGATATAGTGGTACCTCAGGTTACAGACGCTTCAGGTTACAGACTCCGCTAACCCAGAAATAGTACCTCGGATTAAGAACTTTGCTTCAGGTTGAGAACAGAAATCGCACAACGGCGGCGCAGCAGCAGCGGGAGGCCCCATTAGCTAAAGTAGTGCTTCAGGTTAAGAACAGTTTCAGGTTAAGAACGGACCTCCAAAATGAATCAAGTTCTTAACCCGAGGTACCACTGTATTCAGAAGCATCATTGCCCCAGACATGAAAGCAGAGCATAGCCGTTACAGCTGGTAGCCGTCAATAGCTGCCTCCTCCTCCGTGAATTTGTCCAATCCTTTTAGAGCCATCCAAGTTGGCCATCTCTGCCTCATGGGGGAGTGAGTTCCACAGCCTAACTATGCATTGTGTGAAGACATTATCCCATACCCTCCAACATTTCTCTGATGAAAAGAGAGACGTTCCCTCCGACATTTCTCCAAGGAAAACAGGGAAGTTCCGCGCTATTTCTCTAGAAAAAGAGAACATGAACATGAACACCTTCCTTTTTCCCTTATAATGGGAATGGCGCCCATCTGAGAGTTGATGGAACTGATTTCAGGTCAGTTTCAGCTGAAAAAAAGGCCTTATTTTCTCTAATGAAAATAAGGACGCCCTATTACACCCTCCAAGGAATGCAGGTGGCGCTGTGGGTTAAACCACAGAGCCTAGGACTTGCCGATCAGAAGGTTGGAGGTTCGAATCCCCGCGACGGGGTGAGCTCCCGCTGCTCGGTCCCTGCTCCTGCCAATCTAGCAGTTCGAAAGCACGTCAAAGTGCAAGTAGATAAATAGGTACTGCTCCGGCGGGAAGGTAAACGGTGTTTCCATGCGCTGCTCTGGTTCGCCAGAAGCGGCTTAGTCATACTGGCCACATGACCCGGAAGCTGTACGCCGGCTCGCTTGGCCAATAAAGCGAGATGAGCGCCGCAACCCCAGAGTCGGCCACGACTGGACCTTATGGTCAGGGGTCCCTTTACCTTTACCTTTATCACACCCTCCAACATTTTTCCAATGAAAATAGGGACATCCTAAGGAAAAGCGGGACATTCCGGTTTCCAATCAGAAACCGGGACAGCTTCTGTAAATCTGGGACTGTCCCTGGAAAAATAAAGACACTTGGAAGGTCTCCCACAACAACTTTACTCCCCCTCCCCGGCAACCTTCCCCCCTTGGCAACCTTCCAGGGGCCATGTGCCTTTGGTGAGAGGGGCCAGAGGCAATAGGGAGCAGAGCATTAGATGTGAATCTTAACCTCTAGCTTTGTTCCACCACCAGCCAAACACACCCCTTGCCAACCCCTCTTTGTCACTGGAGGGTTAAAGCTTTCCCTTCCCAGGCTTGCCATCTTTCAACGCTCAGGAGGTTTCAAGGGGCCAGACCACATGTACAAACCCGGCAGGCAGAAATGTAACAGGTGCAGCGCATTTTCTGGCATGGGAGCCTAGCCGGAGGAAATGATCGTGGCAGGGGGAATGCAGTGGATTTCCTTCCTCGTATGCAAGTGTGGCAAGAGCAGGAGCAATCTGTGGCCACTGCAGGTTGGCGTTGGGGAGGAAGAATGCTACACATATTGAATAGGAAGGCCTAGGACAGGGGTAGGCAACCTAAGGCCCGGGGGCCGGATCTGGCCCAATCACCTTCTCAATCCGGCCTGTGGATGGTCCCGGAATCAGTGTGTTTTTACATGAGTAGAATGTGTCCTTTTATTTAAAATGCATCTCTGGGTTATTTGTGGGGCATAGGATTTCGTTCTCCCCCCCCCAAAAAAAAATATAGTCCGGCCCCCCACATGGTCTGAGGGATGGTGGATCGGCCCACGGCTGGAAAAGTTTGCTGACCCCGGCCTAGGAGATGTCAGGTCGTAGCCAGTCCATCTTCTCCTCCAGGTACCGACTGAAAGGTACAGAGAGAGCGCTATAATCTCCACGCGGGTTAACATCCGAGACTCACCTGAGGCTATCAGCTCCAGCCAGCCAACAGAAGTCACTCGGAGGCTGATATGATTATCAGCGGCTTATCTCCCAAAGCTCCACGTCAACCAAAGATTGAACACAGAGCAACTTTCCCTGAGATGGAAGGAATCGACTTGGGTGCCATAAAAACAAAGGAAGATGCAAGTAAATAAATAAACCCTCTTCCCATGAGGCTGGTGCCCAGAGAGTGGTCTGCAGCACATTTGCCCTGCTGTGTCCACCTCAATTTACCCCTATTTAGGGGGAGGGTTGGGACACGGGTGGCACTGTAGTCTAAACCACAGAGCCTAGGACTTGCTGATCAGAAGGTTGGCAGTTCGAATCCCCGCGACGGGGTGGGCTCCCGTTGCTCAGTCCCTGCTCCTGCCAACCTAGCAGTTCGAAAGCACCTCAAAGTGCAAGTAGATAAATAGGTACCGCTCCGGCAGAAGGTAAACGGCGTTTCCGTGCACTGCTCTGGTTTGCCAGAAGCGGCTTAGTCATGCTAGCCACATGACCCGGAAGCTGTACGCCGGCTCCCTCAGCCAATAAAACAAGATGAACACCGCAACCCCAGAATCGTCTGCGACTGGACCTAACGGTTAGGGGTCCCTTTACCTTTATCTTTGGGGGGAGGGATGTGGGTCAGTGGTTAGAGCATCTGCTTTGCACGCAGAAGGTCCCGGGTTCAGTCCCTGGCATCTCCTTGTGCCTGACCATGGGTGTAGCTGGAATTTATGTTGGGGGTGGGGCACCGGACACCTGTCTGTCATCATTCCCTGTGCCTGGCTATGTCCAGCAGATTTGGAATGAAATGTCTCGACAACAATTGTTTTGAATTACTTTCAACCCCAAGTGTTCGGGGGGGGGGATCTGTCCAAATCTTCAGTCTTATGAAAATTGGGAAGAATAATAATAATAATAAAATCAGGGAGTACCTTTCATGCGTTTAATGAGTATATTTTGCAAAATTACAAAGTGCACACATTTTTTCATCGTGATTTTTTTTAAAAAAATCTAAACTAAAGCAAGTTTTCTTGGATTTGCTGAAAACCTTTCCAGCAGTTCCTTCTCAACTCCCTCCTTCCTTCCCCCTCAATGCAGTTTTTCTGTACGCACTCAGTAAGAGTAGCCTCTTGAGATGCTCCCCTGCCATCGCGGACCTTAGCTAGATCTTTATTCTCCACAAGGTACTGAATGACCGTTCTATGGCACGAGTGGTGCATGGCTGAGCAAGAGAGATGAGGAGTTGTAGGTAAAAAAAAAAAACCTCCACCTCTTTTACCAGATCTCCTTATGTTCAGCTCTTTTAACTGCTTTTTGCTATCGCTCAGCCAGGGTGCCAGCTGTGTCACTTAGAATGCTCCACAACATCACCCACGTGAGCCCAGCGAGCATTTCGATTTCTGGTTATTTCTACTTTTACTTAAGTATTGCCATTTATTTACTTGATTTATGAGGAGGGCAGCTGCCCCCACCCCCTGGCCCCCTGGCTATGCCCACGTGTCTGACATATTACCAGCGCTGCTGGAACATGAGAATGACGGGCATCAAACGTAAGACCTTCTGCGTGAAAAGTGTCCTGCTATGACCTCTCTCTCTGCCCCACTCTTGACTTAGCTGAGTAGCGGTGATCCTTTCCCATCAGATAGGCACATATCCCTGTTCCTCCCAGAACATATGTCCATGGTTTCGTTTGGAAAGGCTTCTGTGGTTTTTCTGCTCGTTATGCTGATGCTCTCCCCTGGAGCATGAGAAGGCTTTGGGAAAGGGCTGTGGCTTAGTGGTTCAGCAGAATGTCTTGCACAATGCCCAGCATCTCCCGGGAGGACTAAGAGAGAACCATGCCTGAAATCCTGGGGATCTGCTGCCAGTCAGTGCAGGTAGCACGGAGCTAGCTGGTATAGCAGTCAGCATAAGGCAACTTTCTATGTTCCTCTGCCACACAGGATTTCCCCCTTCGTTTTGGACCTGCCGCTCTGCCTGCCTCCATGCGGGGAGGAGGGCGTGTTCTTTCCCAAGCATCACCATCGGATGATGAGGATGAGTCACAGGTGGCCTGTTCTGTGCCAGAGGAAAGGTGGAAGGCAACCAAATCTGGAGCTCTGGGCTGGGTGGCAGATGGAGGTAGCAGCTGCCTTGGGAAAGAGAGATCGTTTCACTTCCCTGGAGACTTCAGATGATGCCTCTTGACTTCGTAGCAAACTTCGAAGCAATTTTTAATGTTATTTTTTTGAAGAAATAATCCACCACCACTCGTTGTTAGCACTGATGGAAGGGGAAGTTTTATTGCTGCTGTTTTTTGTGAGAGAAGTTTGCTGTGACAAATAGGCCCTGGATGAGGTTTCGGGCTAGCAAATAATAAAAAAAACAGACCCTCCAAGTGTCCCTATTTTCTGGGGACAGTCCTGGATTTGCAGAAGCCGTCCCAGTTTTTAATTGGATCCCACTTTTCCTTAAAGGAAAGGTAAAGGGACCCCTGACCATTAGCTCCAGTCGTGGCCGACTCTGGGGTTGCGGTGCTCGCTTTATATGCCAAGGGAGCCGGTGTACAGCTTCCGGGTCATTTGGCCAGCATGACTAAGCTGCTTCTGGCAAACCAGAGCAGCGCACGGAAACGTCGTTTACTTTCCTGCTGGAGCCGTACCTATTTATCTACTTGCACTTTGACGTGCTTTCGAACTGCTAGGTTGGCAGGAGCAGGGACAGAGCAACAGTAGCTCACCCTGTCGCGGGGATTCGAACCACCGACCTTCTGATTGGCAAGCCCTAGGCTCTGTGGTTTAACCAACAGTGCCACCCGCGTCACTTTTCCTTGGGCTGTCCCTAATTTCATCAGAGAAATGTTGGAGGGTGTGGTAGGATGTCCCTATTTTCATTGGAGAGTATGGAGTTATGTGGCCCCTGAGCCAAGGAGATACAACTTTTAGAAGACATTGGAAGGCAGCCCTGTATAGGGAAGGTTTTAAATGTTTAATGTTTTGTTGTGTTGGTTTTTTTATATGTTGGAAGCCACTTAGAGTGGCTGGGCAACCTAGTCTGATGGGCAGAATATTATTATTATTATTATTATTATTATTATTATTTAGAACATCCCTTTTTCCATCAAAAAATGTTGGAGGGGGAGTTATAACAATAATTTTATTATTTATACCCTGCCCATTGATTGAATTAAGGAGCCCATTGATGGAAACCAGGATGTTTATTTTATTATATTTGTTTAAATGGAATACCTTTGTGATAATTCACACTAGCTGTTTAGCTACTATTGACTGATTGCATTTGTATTCCACTTTTTCCCACACAGTTCTCCCCTCTTGTCATTTAAACCCCACAACAACCCTGTGAGGCAGGCTGGGCTGAGAGGCTGCTCCATTGTTACCCAGTGAGCTTCAAATGGCTGCGTGGAGATTTGAACCCCTTCCTAGTCTGACCACTTTAACCAGTGCACCACACTGCCTCATTACTTATACCCCCCCCAACACACACACACTTCATCTGCTAAAACCCCAGAGTGGTTTATAGCACAAACTGCTTCCAGTCTCTCAGGTGCTTCTGGGACGCTTGCTAATGGGGCATGCACAGTTGCCCATCCACTTGGTACTCAGAGGTAGATGCCTCCTGAACATGGAGGTTCTGCCCCAAAACATCATGGCTCATAAGATCTGCATTGCTGGATCACGGCAATCATATATTGAGCCCAAATGGAAGAAAATTTACTGGAAAAAGTGGGACACTACCACCAACCTCAGTTGCCGCTGCTGCCTCCTTACTTACAACCAGTGTGACCCAGCAAGACAGTTCCAATATCCAATAAAAGTTGGTGGAATGGAGCCTCTCTGCTAAAGAGCAGTCTACCTCTGAGTACCAGATGCAGGAGACAGAGCGTTGTGGTCCCCAAGGCCTACCTGGAAGCATCTCCACACTATCTGACTGTGGGCTAGAGCGGTCCAGAGGGTCTGATCCGGCAATGGTTTTATCTCAAGGGACACCATTGAGGCTCCCAGCCCCTCCCTCTCCCTCTCCCTCTGTGTGAGTGTGCGTGCGCGCGCGCAAATGAGTGTGGGGATGTGCCAAAGTGAGTCTTTGATCCGGGTGAGATAAAACCTAGTTTCATCCCCTGCTATTTGGGCCACACAAGTGCAAGCTGGATTTAAAAGAGGCAGAGGAACCAGACCAAATTGCAAACATGCGCTGGATTATGGAGAAAGCTAGAGAGTTCCAGAAAGACATCTACTTCTGCTTCATTGACTATGCAAAAGCCTTTGACTGGGTCGACCACAGCAAACTATGGCAAGTTCTTAAAGAAATGGGAGTGCCTGATCACCTCATCTGACTCCTGAGAAATCTCTATGTGGGACAAGAAGCTACAGTTAGAACTGGATATGGAACAACTGATTGGTTCAAAATTGGGAAAGGAGTACGACAAGGCTGTATATTGTCTCCCTGCTTGTTTAACTTATATGCAGAATTCATCATGCGAAAGGCTGGGCTGGATGAAGACAGGAGTGCCTGGCGTGCTCTGGTCCATTGGGTCACGAAGAGTCGGACACGACTAAACGACTAAACAACAACAACTGATCCAGCGGGCTGTCTTCTGGGGAGGGGTGCGCCTACTCTAAGTGGGGGTGCCCTCCGCAGGTGGTTTTCCCACGCCCATCCCTCCCCCTGCGTCAGAGCGCTCTATTCGAACCTAATCCGCGATTTTGAATGAGTCACAGCGGAGGGGCGCGGCTGCGGGAGGAGGGGGGGTTGCCCAGAGCCGTCCAATGAGCGGCCGAGTTCTCTTCTTGTGAAAACCCGCGGCGGTGGGAGGGAGCGGTTCATTCATTCAGCGGCCGGCTTCCGAAGGAGGCGAGGAGAGCGTGCGCTGGCAATACGAACTAACTAACCAGCCAGCCGTCGGGGAAGGAAGGTGTTTGTAGGCTCCCATGACGTCCCTGCGGCCCCTCTTGGCCTCCCTGCTGGCCCTCGCCTTCACGCTGCCTCCGGGCGCCCTGGGCTCCTGGAACAAAGCCAACACCTTCTGCCACACCGTCGCCCCCGACGGCGACGGCCGCTCCCGGTTCCTGAGCTTCTTGTGGCGGCGCCCCGACGGGCTCCCGCCCGCGCTGGTCCAAAGCGCGTGGGACTCCCGGGGGCGCCTTCAGGGCTGCGCTTGGAGGGCGGAGCCGTCCCTTATCAGCCGCTACGCGGAGCTGTGCGCGCCTCCTCCACCGACGGGGCCCGGGAGCCGTCGATGGAGCGGCGTCCCAGGGACCCCCCACGGCAGCCCTTTGATGCGCTTCCACTGGGGGGCGGAGCTGCAGCGACGGCTCGCCGCCTTGGACGCGCAGAAAGACTCCTGCAGGGCGCCTCCGGGGGAGACCAGAGCTGGCCGTCGGGGGGTATTGGAGGATCGGGGGCACAAGCGGGTCCGGAGGGGTTGGACGATGCCCGGGACGCTTTGGTGCGGAGCTGGCGACTCGGCAGGGAACTTCACTGAACTGGGTAAGGATAGTTGGAAGCGGGGCGAGGGCGGCGGTGATGTTCGTGTGATGGAAATGGGATGGATTCAGTTTTGGCTGGCGTCGGATGGGTACAGGGGTGCCAACTTGAAAAAAAATATTGTGGGGTAAGCCCCACCCCGCATAATCGATCACATGACGCAGTGCGCACACGCACAATTTGAATGGGAATGCCCATCAACTTTATCGGGGTCCGGCCCCCTCAAATATTTTATTGTGGGGGTCAAAGCTCCTACAATCATAGGAGTTGGCTCCTTTGACCGCAAGAGCAGCTGATTTCAAAACGGTCCTGGAACGTGGAGAACTAAGAAAGAGTTTCTGAGCAATTGCAGAGCGTTGCTCCTATCCTGCTGAGTCAGTGCCGCCAACCGGGAGATTTCTTTGGAAGAAGGAACAGGCGCTGTCTCCAGACAAAACAACTGTAGCTTTGAAGCTGGAAGGCTGATTCTGGAGGCTGATCAGTTATTGTGCTTATAGCTTCTTCCTCTTCTTCTTTTAAAAGTCTATTCTTCTATAATATGAAACTATTCTGTGCAGCTCATGCGGGATTGGGGGCATATGAGCTATTATTCAGGCACTAGGCAACTTTCATACAACGCACGACTGACTTGCGGAACTCACTGCCACTAAATGTGGTTGGTGTCGCATAAGTTTAGATGGCTTCGGAAAGGATGGGCTGCAAAATTAGTTTTAGGGCAGGTCCCTGCAGGTCATTAACTCTGACTCCCCCTACTATTGGCCTCCACCCTGTTTGTGATGGCGCAGGAGGCCAATAGTAGGGGGAGCCAGAGTTAATGACCTGCAGGGCCAACTTAATTCTAGCTTTCTTCCTGCCCTCCTCCTCCTTGCTGAGCTCAAGGAGGGCAATATTGAGAGGAGGAAGCTGGGAGGCAGGGCCACCCCCTGGAACAGCTGAAAGTCCAAAGGCAGGCAGGTGAGGGGGGTGACAGGGGCCAGACTGATGGGGCAGTGCCCCATTTGCCCTAATGCACCTGCTATTCATCCAGTGTGGGGAGAAGACAAAAATGGAATCTAGGAAGCTGCCTTATCTGGAGTCAGATTATACTAGACTATACTAGCAGTAGCTCTTCCAGGTCTGTCTTCTCCCACTCCTATCTGGAGATACTGGGGATTGAACCTGTGACCTTCAGCATGCAAAGCAGGGACTCTGCCACTGAGCCACCACAGAACTTCTCTTGAGCCACCGCCTCTGATGCACATCTGAGTTCATCCAGGACCTGGATTTCATTGCACCATCATGTCTTTCAGATTTTTGGGTACCAAAAGTTAATGTTAGTTTGGAACAGATAACAACTATGTTGCCTAACGCCCGGTTTAGTTGACAATGCCTTTATTGCTTCATCACTTTTGATGTTTGCCATCTGGGACTTGTTTGGGAAGAAGGGCTGGGTATACAGTAAATCAAATACATTTCATAAGGATCCTTTGGCAAAAGCTCTTTCCACTGTCGAAAGAGCAGAACTGTTGCTTCTCATGTGCCACAGTGCGCACATCCGAGACCACAAGGGGGCAGTGGTGGTATCGCCGTTCTCCGTTTTTTTAATTGCTGCTACTCCAGAGCCATGATTGGGGGTGCGGGCATTGCAAGTCTTGTTGGTGGTGGGGTGAGCAGCGGGTACAAGGAGGGAGGACAGTTCAAATGCCCTTGGGTTCATCAAATGAAGAATGCTCCCTCCCACCAAATTCAAATATCCTGTTAGATGGCACTGTAGTTCGTTCAGCCCCAAATGCAGCAATAAAGTAAAGGTAAAGGGACCCCTGACCATTAGGTCCAGTCGTGACAGACTCTGGGGTTGTGGCGCTCATCTCGCTTTATTGGCTGAGGGAGCCGGTGTACAGCTTCCAGGTCATGTGGCCAGCATGACTAAGCCGCTTCTGGCGAACCAGAGCAGCACACGGAAACGCCGTTTACCTTCCCACCAGAGCGGTACCTATTTATCTACTTGCACTTTGACGTACTTTCGAACTGCTAGGTTGGCAGGAGCAGGGACTGAGCAATGGGAGCTCACCCCATCGCGGGGATTTGAACCGCCGACCTTCTGATTGGCAAGCCCTAGGCTCTGTGGTTTAACCCACAGCACCACCCGCGTCCCTAAATGCAGCAATAATGCACCCCAAATGCAGTATTTGTGAGCTGCAATACTGTGATTCTGGGCTTAGCGTCCAAGGAATTTGTGTGCTGTCCTTTTCACCTTTCCATCTCCAGAGTGATTTTTGCAGCCATGAAGACTAGAAACGTGTTTGTATTTGAGATTCTTGGTGCTCCAGTGAGATTAAAGATTGCCTCCAGCATTTGGGAGCGGGGACGATCAGTTTAGGAACACAGTTCTCTGCATTGTATTGCAGCATCTTATTAAGCAAACCGGTATGATGTCATTTTGCAAGTGGGCAGCACAGACAGAACCAGATGGGAAAGAAGGTTCAATCAGCTGGGAGAAAACCCTCTGGCGGTAGTAGTGTATAGGGCTTCCGTGGTAGCTTTGTCAGTTTGCCAATTAAGGTGTAAAAATCCTTGATGCACACAAGTACAATGGACTCTTTGCTCATTTCATTGTCTACAAACAAGGGTTGTTTCCTGTCCAGATTAACCCCTTATTTTCCTCTTCTACTCTACCGTCATGGGCAATATTATGGTTTACAACATCGTGATGTATCACCACATCGTGATTGGCTGGCTTTGCGGTTTTTCCGCACATTGTGATTTTTGTATGGCACACACACATAATCATGATTTGTAATATATTGCCAGGTCAAAAAATATGAACCCGCTATCACAGTATGGACTTCAAACTGGTTTTGGATATTTTGCCCAGCCCTAGCCATGTAGCTGCTGTAGGAGTCACTGTTGCTTCAAGCACTGTGGCACCTACTCTGAGTAGACAAGATCTCCGCATTTGTGCTGTGGATGCACCCCCCCCGATCACTAGAGCAGCCTTTGATAATCGGGTGCCTTTGGGTGGACTACAACTCCCATGAGCTGCAGCCAATGGTAGCCCTGCTATCATACGGCTAGGGGTGGCACGATCAGGAATAAATGTTGTGAGCGTCTTCTTCCCCCAGGCGTCTCCTTGCTCCTGTGGTCACTACACCCAGCCCTTACGCGGCCACAAGCTCTGGAGCTCTTGCACCCTTCCTTAGCCTGATCTCAGCATTTTCTCTTGCAGGCGTCTTCCAAGGCCCAGACGTGTGTTGTCGGGAGCACGACATGTGCGAAGCTCAGATCTCTGCGCTGGGCTACAAATTCGGGATGCGCAACTTCCGCCTGCACACAATATCTCACTGCGAGTGTGATGAGCGGTGAGTATTGGGTGGCGCTGGTCTAGAGCATGGCTCTTGCTCAGTGCCGGATTTACGTATAAGCTGAACAAGCTATAGTTTAAGGCCCCACTCTCTTGGGGGCCCCAAAAAAATTTAAAGGGGAAAAAACTGGATGTACATTTCCAAAATATAAGATAAACAACAAATAAAATAAAACCTACATACAGCAACAGTGTTTTGTGTTGCGTAGGCTCCTATGATGTAAGTAATGGGCCCCGCCTGCTAGCCTGCTCCCTAAAATATCACTGGTTTGCTCATTTCTATATATAGGGTGCCTGCATTCTGCATGGGTCGCGGGTGGCGCTGTGGGTTGAACCACAGAGCCTAGGACTTGCCAATGAGAAGGTCGGCGGTTCGAATCCCCGCGACGGGGTGAGCTCCTGTTGCTCGGTCCTTGCTCCTGCCAACCTAGCAGTTCGAAAGCACATCAAAGTGCAAGTAGATAAATAGGTACTGCTCCGGCAGAAAGGTAAACGGTGTTTCTGTGCGCTGCTCTGGTTCATGCTTAGTCATGCTGACCACAAGACCTGGAAGCTGTACGCTGGCTCCCTCGGCCAATAAAGTGAGATGAGCGCCGCAACCCCAGAGTAGGCCACAACTGGACCTAATGGCCAGGGGTCCCTTTACCTTTACCTTTACATTCTGCATGGACTGGTTACATGGCAACATGTGCAAATGGCTTTAGATACCTATTAGGTCCATAAATTACCATATAGAGTATATCCAACACAAAAAACAGTGACAATTTGTTGTTGACAAAGGACAGCTGGACATATAAAGGGCCCCATTACCTTCAGTAGCTTAGGGCCTTGTCAAACCTAAATCCGGCTCTGCTCTCACTTCGGATGCCAGAAGCCCCAAATCTTTAACCCTGCATGAGGTTTTTCTTTCTTTAGCTATTTTGCACCATGCTCCAAAGGCCTGCAGTTCAGTCTCCAGCACAGACTGAAATGGAACTTGATTTATCAGCCCAGACAAGACCTCTCTGCTTGAGGCCTTTTAAAGTTGGGTTGGAGCAGGGAAATGAAAGACGAGCTGGTCGAAGCCTCCATGACACACTGGGCAATAGATATAAGGCACAATATAGGTTTTAAGCTCTGGGGGAAACTTTGGAAAAGCGATTTGAAGTTTACAGCAGGTTACTCTTTGAAGGAGAACTACTTGAAAATGATTTACAGATGGTATTTAACTCTGAGTAGGCTTGCTAAGATGTATAAGACTGAATCAGGTAAGTGCTGGAGATGCAAATAGGTCGAGGGTACATTCTTTCATATGTGGTGGACCTGCAAAAGGAGAAGAGTATTGGGAAATAATCCATAATGAATTGAAAAAAACCTTTAAAAGTACTTTTCCAAACAAAAAAACCCAGAGTCCTTTTTGTTGGGGATAATTCAGACTGAAATTCCCAGGTGTCAAAAAAGGTTATGTATGCCACTACTGTGGCCTGTGTTTTGTTAGCCCAAAAATGGAAAAGGAGTGAGGTCCCAACTAATGAAAAATGGCAGCTTAAGCTGACAGAATATGCACAGCTTGCAGACGTAATATATAGAATGAGAGAACAAGAAGAACATACATTTAGAAAAGATTGGAAAATGTTTATTGAATATATGGGAGAAAACTGTGTACACCTGAAAATGCTGGCAGCATTAAGATAAATTCAACAGTGTGAATACGTTTTGATGGATGAAATAATGGAATACTGAATGGTATAGCTTTTGTAAAGTATGCAGGGGTTTATGTTATGCAAAATGAACCATGGAAAGAGAAGAAGGGAAGTCACTGATATTTTATGGATATTTTATGGATGAGTATTTTAAATTGTAAAATAGAATACACACACACACACACACACACGTACTTTTTCATGTATAAGAGTATATTTTTCCCTACATTTTTGAAGTTTAAAATAAGGGGGCGTCTTATACACGGATAGTGCATTTTCTTAATTTTGAGTTCCCCAAAAATAGGGGGCGTCTTATACATGGGGGTGTCGTATACACGAAAAATATGGTGTATTCATCATCCCTTTCTCGCAGTGGCCAGCCAGATGCATGTTGGGAAACTCTCAAGCAAGACTTCTGCACATGAGCTCCCTTCCCTCCTGTGGTTTCTAGCATTCAGAAGCCTTACTGCCTCTGAATGAGGAGGAAGTGCACAGAATGATTGTAAATGGTTCGATACATATTCTGCTCCAGCAGACTTTCCCAGCTGGGTGAATAGCTAGTCCGTTAGGGTGAAGGGGGTGCTATCCCATCGAACTGTGCCTTCGGCAAGCCCCCTTCTGACCTCAAACCAATCCAGGGGGTGGTTTTGCCTATCGGCTTTCTCCTGCATCTCATCAGCGCTGCCTAGACTCTGTATGGAGGAAGACGGGGCAAAACTAGTATGAATTTGCTCTGCCTTCCTTTGGTTCTGGCGCCCCCTACTGCTGGACTCCCTGCCTTCTGCCCAATGGGCATGAGCCTCCAATGGGTGCCCACTTCATATTGTTTTTAAACATATATTCTATAATTAAAAAAATAATTAGGCCATATGTGGAATGTGATCAATAAAATATCAGTAATAATAACAAAGTGGAAGCTTTGAAGTTGTCCTGTGTGACAGGCTAGCCTGCCAAGAAGGGATTTGGGGAGGGCTAAGGAGAGACCCGCATCCCTGTCTCTCTCCCATGCCAATTGCCCTGTATAAACCAGCACTGATGGTCGCTCCGCTTCCATTGACAGGTTCAAGCAGTGCCTGTTGGATCAAAACGACACCATCTCCAACCTCGTGGGCATCAGCTTCTTCAACCTACTGGAGATTCCCTGCTTTGTCCTGGAGAACTCTGAGCAATGCCTGGAATGGCATTGGTGGGGAGGGTGAGTGTTTGGCTCTCTCTGGTCTTCCCTGACTGTAGGGGGCTTGCTTTCCCTCTAGGTGGCGTTCATCTTATTTTACCCTGTGCACTGAACAGGGTAATTATATATATCTATAACTTTGTATTTATATCCTTTTTACTTTTTATCTATCTATCTATCATCTGTCTATCTATTTACAGTGGTACCTTGGTTCTCAAACTCGATCTGTTCCAGAAGTCCATTCCAAAACCAAAGCGTTCCAAAACCAAGGTGCACTTTCCCATAGAAAGTAATGCAAAATGAATTAATCCATTCCAGACTTTTAAAAACAACCCCTAAAACAGCAATTTAACATGAATTTTATTGTCTAATGAGACCATTGATACATAAAATGAAAGCAATAATCAATGTACTGTATTATTACATTATTATTTTTTCTTACCTGCACTGATGATAGTCATTGTTTGGATGGGGGGCTTTTATCCACTTTTATCCATGCAGTCACACAATCAATCAGTAGCTGACCTGGATTCCACACAGTCACAAAAAACCAATTTGTAATGGTTCTAGGGGTTGCTCGTGCGTAAGCAGGTGCCTATCTCCCCGGCTGGGTGCAAACCCCTGGCTGGGTTGCCAAAGTGAACCTTTTCTGTCCGGACAGCCACTCACCCGTGGCTGACTCAATCGCTGGCAGAATCCGTCAGTGGGCGTTTCTTAAACTTCTTCCAGCAAAGAAGCTCTTTGACGCCTAGTCTCCTCCTACTCTCTCTGCGCAAAAGCCTTCTGCGCAAGGAGGGCGTGGGCAGCGGAGGACCCCTACTCTCCCCGCTGGTCCCAGGCAAGGAGTCATGGGACCGCCTCCCCGCTTCCCCCATCTGCCCCCCTTCTCCACTGGTGCTACGCTGATTCTCTTCCCCAGAAGATGGGCTGCTTCTCCCAATCCCGGGACGCTCTCTGGAATCCCTCTGGCTTTTGCTCTCTCCCTCCGGCACTGATGGCAGTTCCCTGACACAATTAACCAAAAAAGTCTCAAAAACAAAAACGCCAAATAGCAAAAACAAAAGCACCAAACTTTATCTGTTCCGGAAGTCTGTTTGACTTCCAAAATGTTCGAAAACCAAGGTGCAGCTTCTGATTGGTGTAGGTGCCCCGGAAACAATAGCCGACAGCCACATCAGGCGTTCGAGAACCGGAACACTTTCTTCTGGGTTTTCGGCGTTTGAGAACCAAGGTGCCACTGTATCTGGTTTTTCAGATTAAAATTTCACAGTCACATATCCAACATAAAAAAAAGATTCCAAGGCATCTCTTGGACTTCCCTCCTCCCCTTTGTGGGTCCTGTTGTTAATCATTTCTTCCTGCATCTTTTATGATAATCCAAATCTTTTACCTCTACATTGTGTCCAAAATTCACCATTAAACTACAAGTGATATTCCAATCCTAATAACAATTTTAACTCTTTACAATGGTCTTTAAGATACGTTAAAAATTTTCCCCATTCCTTAATACAATTTGGTCTTCCTGATTTCTGATTCTTCCGATCATTTTAGCCATTTCAGCATAACCCATCGACCTGATCTGCCATTCTTCTCTGGTAGGGACTTTATCTTCTTTTTAGTTTTCAATAACGGATATATTTTCAAAAATGCCTGAAGCAGTATATTATTTAAAAGGCCTGTTGCTGGCCTGGATTCACACGCATCATTGGTGTTAGAAGTGGGATTAAAAGTCGAGACGTCTCTCCTGGTCTTAACTCCTCCTCCACCACCTTGCCTTTCCAGGTGCAAGGAGTATGGCCTGAAGCCACTGGCTCGCTTAGTGGAGCAGAGCCACTACCATGCAGCCTTGCCATACGTCGAGAGCTCCAGCCCTGCCACGCCTCCACCCCCACCCAAAAGGCATTGGGGCAGGGGCAGGAAGCACGGCGGGAAGAAGAACCAGAAACACCCGAAACATCCAGAACAGGATGCCTCAGAAAGCCTGCGGCCGCACCCGGTACGCCCAGGCGCCTCGGGTTCTGTGACTCGGCCAATCCTGACCTCCAAGCCAGATAGGATCGCACACTTCCCAGTACGCACCAGTCCAGGAGCGGTCTCCGTGAACAAGGGGAGAGTGCCTTTGCCACCCACCCTCAGGACTAAGTCAAAACCAGACTTGTTCAGGTCAGGAGGCATTCACACGACGGCACGTTCAGATGTGCAGCAAACTGGTGCGATCGCCACAAGGCTACCCAACGAGGCAGGGCAGGAAGCAGTGTCGCCGTCTAACGCCAGCAAACACAACCGCACTCGTAAACCGGGTAAACTAGGTGAGTAAATGGCTGGTGGGGGGGTTGTGTCTGTGCTTTCTGGCAGGGGGTGGTTTTTAGGAGGTCCCCTAATGTAGAAGTATTTGGGAATGGGGTGGGGAGCAAGAGAGCAGATCGTGAGGGAGAGCGTTCCCCCCCTCACCCGACTGTCTTAGAATATGAATGGTCTTCTATCCCCCCCCCCAATTTTTATTAAATTTTCTCTTTTACATTTTGGAGCATTCATTTAAACAACCTTAAAATATCAATGGCTTCCTTTCTTCTGTTTCCATGGTTCATTTTGCATAACATAAATCCTTGCATATTTTCTATAAACCAAACCATTCAGTATTCCATTATTATATCTATCAAAACTTACTTACACTGTTGAATTTAACCTCAGTGCTGCAAGAGATTCAGAAGTCTTCTAAAGGTTGTTTAGTTACTTGTGTAACTCCATACCCTCCAGTATTTCTCCGATGAAAATAGGGACATCCTAAGGAAATGCGGGACATTCTGGAATCAAATCAGAAACCGGGACGGCTTCTGTAAATCCGGGACTGTCCCTGGAAAATAGAGGGCACTTGGAGGGTCTGCAGGGGCTTGACTACTACCTCTGGGATTGTGGGTTCCTCCTGGTTTTAACTGTTTCCCGCTTGCCTCGCCAGCCCGGTCGCGAAGCTGCAGCTGCTACCGACGCCTGGACCAGTGCCCGTACAGGATCGGGCCCAACGAGGTCAAATATCAGCTGCATAATGTGGACTCCCGCACCCTCTTCCACTGCAACTGCACCCGCAGGTAAGTGCAGGTGTTTTCCTCCCCCCCACCCCATCCAAATTGCACCATCCCTGGGGCCGAGCAGCTGAACTGATGGGGAGGAAACCGCTGGGAAGGAGGCCCCATAGCCTGTAGACTTGGAGGAGGCGGGGTCTTGTAGGACACACCCATTTCAACCTGTTTCTTGGGGCGCTTTCATCTGATGGTGGTCCAACCTTCCTTGGAAGACTTCCAGCGAGGGAGACTCTATCAGGTGGCAGAGGAACCAAACCCCATGGCAGGTTGCCAGGAACGAATAAGACCAGTGCCAGATTTACATGTAAGCTAAACAAGCTATAGCTTAGGGCCCCACTCTCTTGGGGGCCCCCAAAAAAATTAAAGGGAAAAAACCCTGGATGTACATTTCCAAAATAGAAGATGAAAAACAAATCAAATAAAACTTATAACAGCAACAGTGTTTTGTGTTGTGTAGGCTCCTGTGATGTAAGTAATGGGCCCCGCCTGCTAGCCTGCTCCCTAAAAATATCACTGGTTTGCTCTTTTCTATATATAATTATTTCACTATTAATATACTTCTTAATTGTATTTCAGTTCAACAGTTACTTTGATAAAATTTTGTTATGTGCAAATGGCTTCAGATACCTATTAGGTCCATAAATTACCATATAGCATATATTTAACACAAAAAATAGAGACAATTTGTTGTTGACAAAGGACAGCTGGACATATAAAGGGCCCCATTACCTTCAGTAGTTTAGGGCCTCATCAAACCTAATCTCTGCCCTGGATAAGACAAGGAAAAGTCCTTACCATCTGCTTTTTAATTCAATATTAACAGAGAGAGGCTTGGGAATGCAGCCTCTTGTAATACAGTGGTACCTCGGGTTACAGACTATTCAGGTTAGACTCCACTAACCCGGAAATAGTACCTCAGGTTAAGAACTTTGCTTCAGGATGAGAACAGAAATCGTGATCCGGCAGTGCGGCGGCAGCGGGAGGCCCCATTAGCTAAAGTGGTACCTCAGGTTAAGAACAGTTTCAGGTTAAGAACGGACCTCCGGAACGAATTAAGTTCTTAACCTGAGGTACCACTGTAATGGTGTTAGCCTGAGTGACTCTCCACCCCCTTTTTCTCCCACTTCCTCATTCGTCATCTCTTCCACGGGTGGCACTGAGGGCCCTCTGCCTCTGAGCCCTCTGCTCTCCTACTTTCAAATCTTGCCGGGTTCTTGAATGCTTTCTAAAGACACTGTGTCCGTCAGCTGTCTCCCTTCTGGTGCTGCTGCTTCCTCCTCCTCTCCCATTATTCCCCAGCTTTCCCCTTTGTCTTCCTCTGAGCTGTGATCTCCCTCAAAGCCCTGTTGTAATTCTGAACTGTCTTCATCTTCTCTGGAAGGGTCAGGCTGGGCAGGAGGTCTCCACCATTCCCCTTCTGCCCAGTCCCTGACACAGATGTTCTGCCACTGAGCTGAAGTCCTTCCCCTGAAAATAAAGTAGATGGTTCTGGAAAGGAAGAGCTAGATTAAATAGGAAGCTGCCCTATTCCAAGCCAGACCATTGGTCCAGCTAGTTCAGTATAGTCTACACCAGCGGTTCTCAACCTGTGGGTCTCCAGATGTTGTTGGACTACAACTCCCATCATCCCTGAGCTCTGGCCTTGCTAGCTAAGGGTGATGGGAGTTGTAGTTCAACAACATCTGGGGACCCACAGGTTGAGAAGGGCTGGTCTACACTGACCAGCAGCAGCAGCAGCTCTCCAGGGTTTCAGGCAGACATACCTGAAGACGCTGGCCCTTGAACCCGGGACAACCTGCATGCAAGGAAGGCAGACTGCCACGGGGCTAAATCCTTTCCCTCGGCTTCCTGACCGGAGGGGTGGTGTGGGCTGGAGGTCTCTGGTTTCTAAGCCTCTTTCTCCTTGCAGGCTGGCCCGGTTCCTCCGGAGGACGAAGGGTCCCAACGAGGTGGAAGAGGAGGTTCTCTCTGGCTACGTCTCCTCCTCATGTTTCGTCCTGCAGAGGCCTCCAGGTTGCATGGAAGGAGAGGGCAAGCAATCCAAGTGAGTGGCCTGTTCGTTGGGTGGCGGTTGGGTAAAAGGTGGGCTTGGGCTTCTGAAAGGGAGGCTGGAGGCGGGGCCCAATGCAAGGCATGTTGCTTCCCTAAGAGGCTACAGCAGCTAGATGGGATGGGTGTCCCTGACCGGCCCTTATGGTTGTACAGTTGTACCTTGGAAGTCGAACAGAATCCGTTCCGGAAGTCCATTCAACTTCCAAAACGTTCAGAAACCAAGGCATGGCTTCCGACTGGCTGCAGGTTTGCAGTGTTTGGGTTCCAAGTTGTTTGAGTACCAAGGCATTTGAGAACCAAGGTAGTCGTTGATGTACAGTATTTTTCGCTCTATAAGACGCACCTAGTTTTTGGAAGAGGAAAACAAGAAAAATTATATTCTGAATCCCAGAAGCCAGGACAGCCAGCAGGATTGCAGCGCTGCGATCCTGCTGGCTGTCTTGGCTTCAGCGACAGCAATGTGAAGCCTCCGGAGCACAACAGGAGCTCCCGCTGCACTCCGGAGGCTTCGCGTTTCTTTCACTGAAGCCATAGAGCCTGCATTCGCTCCATAAGACGCACATACATTTCCCATACTTTTTAGGAGGGGGAAAGTGCGTCTTATAGAACGAAAAATTGAGGAAATTATGACTTTGCTGAAACGGCCTAGCAAAAGTCTGTGTGGCAGAGGTGAGATTCAAACCAGGGTCCTTCCCGTTCCCATTCCTAGCGGCGGACCCGTTCTTGAGCGTTTTTATCCAAAACCCTTGGCAAAAAAAACCCACAATAGAATTCCCCGCCCCGTTTCCCCGGAGGCAGGGAGGGCTAACCTGTTCCTATTTCTTTGCCCTCTTGCAGTTGCATTGATGTGGGCAGAGCCGTCCTGGCCCCTGCACGGCACCTCACCAATCGGCTGGCACAGACGCACGGGGGCTCCCGCCTCAAGGTGAAGCGGCAGGAGTGGGCGCCCCCCAGCCAGCCTCTCCGACTGTTCGATAAATGCATGCAGCTGCTGTGAAGGCGCCCACCAGACCCGGCCCCATTGAGCCGCAGGCAGTCTTTTCCCTTTGGACACTGATGGGGTGGGGGGAAAGACCCCAGAGTGGGTTGCAGCCGAGCTTGGCCCCCATGAAGTGGACTGCCCTGCCTTGACCGTGGGGCTGCCTCTACTTCTGCTGATGTCACTGAGGATATGATGCCCCCCAGCCGTGCTGAGCGCAGCAGGGGAAAGGGCTTCCCTCCAGAGGCTGAGAAATCAGTGCTAACCAGTGCTCACCATCAGCACAACTTTGTGCAGAAGAGGCCAAGAAATGGCCTTGTGGGGGGTGGCGTAAAAGGGCTCTCTTTGCGGAGGGTGGGTTTGTCTTGACCTGAGAACAGACTCTGCTCATCTTCAGCAAACAAATCGCTTCCAACCCCCTTGAGGACCCACGGGGGGACGGGGACATTGGATTACGTGGCATGGAATGGAAGTGGGAGGGGAAAGGACCTCTGGTTCCCCCCGCCAAGGAGAAATGAGCCCCTCCTGCTCCTTAACGCTCTTCCTGCTCCCTTTCCCTTAATGGTGTATTTATTAAGAAAGCTCTTGCTGCGTGTTTTGTAGGATGTTGTCGACTTGCAGCTGGACGCACCCCAAAGTCTGCACCCTTGCTTATAATTTATTGGGAGGGGGGTTGGTTCTTGCTGCAGCTACTGTAAATAGTGTACTAATGAATAAAAGTGCTTTTTCTGTATGCCTGGGTTCTGCTTAGCAAGGGGAAAGGTGCCCGAATGCTGAGGGGGAGAGGTGTGAACACAAATCCTGTCCCACGTTGGCGGGGTTCTTTGCCACTGCCAGGGAGAGAGAGACACAAATGCAGTCATCCGTAAGTTGGTTTGTAGATGATTTTTATTATTATTATTGGAAAGGAGGCGGAAGGAAAAAGTGAGGTAGGACAGATTGCATCAACTCTGAACTCGTCCCAGCGAAGGTCATGGATCTGTCTCGGGGGGAGGCCAGCCCCCCCACCCTCCCCTTTCCCCAACCCCCCCAGGCAGCTTTCGTCATTTCTGGTTCCAAGGCACCTTGGTCACGTTGCCCCGACAACCTAGCCACACATACTGCCCCCTCGCGCACACACCCGTTTCTTTTTCGGCTTCCTGGGTCAGAGTTCTCTCCCCCCCCCACCCGCCTCGTAAGGCAATGGAACCCAAACTCTCCCCCCTGTACCTCCACGATCTCAACTGGGTTGCATCTACCTCCTTCCCTCCAGCAAGAACCTTCTGCCATTTGCAGTTCTCCCCCAGTTCCTCAGGGGCCCCCCAAGCCTTGCGGGGGGGGGGGATACCAGCTGGGCCCTAACCGGACCTGAAGCACCAGCTTCCTCCATCCTACCTGGGGCCCACACCTGTCTCCAAGAACTCTGATTCCCCATCCCCATCATATTGCACGTTCCGTATTTCACCTCTTATGGTTTCAGCAACTTCCTGCAAGCAGGCTGGGCCTGGTCCTGCAGCAGCCATTGAGTCCAGCCAAGCAGAGCTTTAGCAACCGATAGCAAAAGTGTGTCTTCATTCCGTACCCAGCCAAGCTTCTTTCTGCAGCTGCCCATTCCACTGTGCTGATCAACTGTCCTCCCGTCGGATTGCAAGTAGCAGGCTTTCCTCTTCCTCTTCCTCCACCACCATCGTGCCTCAGGACAAGAACAGAGATGGCGCTAGGAGAGGCGGGTGGAGCTCCATCTCAACACCAAACTGGATGTTCAATGGGGAAGGGAGTTCTCATCAAAGGATGGGTCCCCCTCCCCAAACAAGGAGTGGGGAGTTTCTATGGCTGAAAAGGCCGAGGGGGCTGAGGGCTTTTCGCTCGCGATGTTCAGCCCCCTACACAAAGGGAGGGAGGAAGTTGATTGTCAAGCATACTCGAGTCGGGAGACGGGGCCTCACAAGTGGCAGCCCCCTTCCCCGGGTCTTCGTGTCACACACCGGGAGAGAGAAAGACACACACGGAGCAGAAAACTGGCAGGTAAAGGACACAGATAACACTGCAAGCTCACTACACGGGATGGTTGGACAGTGGGCTCATGGCGGCCGGCTGCGTCCCCCTCAGTGTCCCGCCTCACGGCTGTGGTGGTTTGGACCCTGGTGGTCTGGGGATAACCCTTCCTTTGGGGAGGTGCTGAAGAGGTTGGCCAGGGCCACGGTCGGACTAGTGGGACTCATCCTGCGGGGAGGCAGGCCCTGGTCGGCACTCTCTCGCCGGGGGCCCATGACTTGATCGATGGTTTCCAGGCGCACGGCTGGCAGCAGTCCCAGGTTGCGGGGGTCTGTGCGGGCCAGGGGGTTCTCGTCAAAGCGCCAGGGGCTCTGGAGGCGAGGCCCGGCGAGGCTCTCTGCATTCTGGGCGGGCTCTCGCGACTTGGAGCGTTGGCGGGGGCTGTCCTTGGAGAACTGGATGCTGGGGATGTCGCTCTTGAGGATGCTGCTGCCCCGGCGGCCCTGGGGTGAGGGGCTGCGGCTGGCCGCATGGTCCCGGCTCGACGAGCGCAGGATGAGTCCATGGAACTTGGCCAAACTGGGGCTGCGGCTGCGGTGACCCTTCATCTTCCCAGGGCTGGGGCTGCGGGATTTGGGGCCCAGAAGAACCAGGGTGCTGTCGTCCTCCTCTTCTGAGGTGCTGCTGGAGCTGTCGGTGGGGCTGGTGGCTTGCTCCAAGGTGGGCAGTGAAATCTGTGTGCAGGGAGACGGAGAGAGGAGAGTCAATATTGACTTGGGAAGGCAGGGCCCAGCTGCTCCCCACTACCTGATAAATTTTGGGCTGGACGGGTTGAGAGGAGGGATAGGGGAAGAATTTCAAGTCTATCTAATTTGCACCTAGCGAAGCAAGAAGCAAATCAAAACACAGCCAACCTTCACAATCTGCTCTTCTCCAGATTTTGCAATGTAAGGTGTACAGAAAAGAAGGCATTTAATAGTGTAAAGTGTGCATAGAAAAATGCATTATGAAATTTGCAAAATGAAGCAAGCCATTTCAAAGTTTTTAAGCTTGGTTTACTAAACATCAGCAAAAGCACACATACTGAATTAGGTCACTCCACAGGGCAATAAATGCAAATTACCCTGTGCAAGTTATCCCAAGAAGTTTCCAGTTCATAATTTCCTGGAACATAGGAAACCTGCCTTAAAGCAAGTCAGACCCCGGGCCCAGCCAGCTCTGCACAGGAGCCAATTCCTAGGGGCCAAGGTCCCTTCAGCTGCCCCACCCCCCAAATAAAATATTTCAACTGCCAGGCCCCCTTCTCAAGTTGATGAGCATTGCTATTCAAATGGTTTGGGGGGGCACGTCTTGTTATTGATTATAAGGGGTAAAGGTGGCACTGTGGTCTAAACCACTAAGCCTCTTGGGCTTGCTGTTCAGAAGGTCAGCGGTTCAAATCCCCGCAACAGGGTGAGCTCCCGCTGCTCTGTCCAGCTCCTGCCAACCTAGCAGTTCAAAAGCACACCAGTGCAAGTAGATAAACAGATACCACTGCGGCAGGAAGGTAACCAGTATTTCCATGCACTCTGGTTTCTGTCATGGTGTCCCGTTGCGCCAGAAGCTGTTTAATCATGCTGGCCACATGACCCGGAAAGCTGTCTGTGGACAAACGCCGGGTCCCTTGGCCTGGAAGCGAGAGGAGCACCGCAACCCCATAGTCGCCTTTACCTTTATATGGGGGGGGGTTACCTGAGCCCACCAATATTTTATTCAAGTAGGCACCCCTACAGCTTGGTATTGTCCACACAATGACTCACAGTCGCTCTCCAGGATTTCTGACAGGGGTCTCTCCCAGTCCTACCTGGAGATGTCAGGGATCGAACCTGTGACCTTCTGCATGCAAAGCAGATGTTCTACCTACTGAGCTAGAGCACTTTCCCCCCAACTCGCACTGCTGCTTAATGTCAAATAAGCATCCCTCTTGCACATCTGTCTCTGTGCTTACCTGGAAGGGCTCTGTCACACCCACCAAACAGCTGTAGCTGTTGCTGTAGTAACCCAGGATATAGTCACCCTTCCCTTTGGGTAGAGACTCCTCTGGAAACAGTAACTAAATATTTGGGAAGAGAAAACGGGACAGCTATAAGGGTGGTCAAGAGCAGCAAAATGCCAACCTAAACAGCAGAGAGCCAGTGGTGGTGGTGTCTAATGCAATAATAAATATACACTTTGTATGTGCCATACAAACTCTAAATCACGGTTTCCCAAACTTGGGTCTCCAGATATATTTTTTTACTACAACTCCCATCATCCCTAGCTAGCAGGACCAGTGGTCAAGGATGATGGGAACTGTGGTCCAAAAAGAAGCTGGAGGCCTAAGTTTCAGAAACCCTGCTCTAAATGATAACATAGGTATCAGTAAGAATATCATACAGCGGTACCTTGGTTCTCAAACGGCAAAAACCCAGAAGTAAGTGTTCCGGTTTTCAAATGATGCTATTGTTTCTGGGGTACTTGCACCAATCAGAAGCCGCGCCTTGGTTTTTGAACATTTCGGAGGTCAAACCGACTTCCTGAACGGATTAAGTTTGGCGCTTTTGTTTTTGCTATTTATTTTGCGTTTTTGTTTCTGAGCCTTTTTCAGTTTATTTGTTTTTGTGACTGTGTGCAACCCAGTTCAGCTACTGATTGTATGACTGCGGAAATGGATAAAAGCCCCCCATCCAAACAATGATCATCATCAGTGCAGGTAAGAAAAAAAGTAATTTTTTATCCTCTACAACACTGTCTTATTTATTTTATAGTACACAGGGCATTGATTATTGCTTTCATTTTATGGATCAATTATAGTAAAATTGATGTTGAATTACTGTTTTAGGGGTTGTTTTTAAAAGTCTGGAACAGATTCATGCATTTTGCATTTCTTTCTATGGGAAAGCGCGCCTTGGTTTTGGAACGCTTTGGTTTTGGAATGGAATTCTGGAACGATTAAGTTTGAGAACCAAGGTACCATTATAATCCAACATGTCCTATTATGCAGCACTTTAAATACATACTCCCATGATATCATAATGCAAAATTGTTTACTGTTTACCCCCCCAAAAAAATTCATATTCCCATACCTGGTAAACATTGCTTTCAGCATCTTCCTGCTTTGCCCAGACATAGGCGACATAGTCCTTCAAGTGTCGGAAGCCCACCTGGGAGAGGGGAGAGGGGGAGGGGTCCAGAAAAACATCACCAGGGTTTTTTCCCAGCGGGGTTGTGCATCCTCTCCCCCACCAAAAGAAACCCCTAATAGCCCTCCTATTATTGTGTCTTCCACCACAGGATCGCTCAGCAGGTTAGAGTATGGTGCTGATAAGGCCAAGGTTGCAGGTTCGATCCCCATATGGGGCAGCTGGATGTTCCTGCATTGCAGGGGGTTGGACTAGATGATCCTCAGTGGTCCCTTCCGACTCTACGATTCTAGGATTACGATACTGCTATAAAGGGTCTGGGAGTGTCAGCTCTTGAAATGAAATAAAATAAAAATGGACTTTAATTTGGAACCTGTAATATATACAGTGCTTTTCTTCTAAAAAAAAATGTTTAGGGGTAATCTCATTTTGACTCAAGAAAATCACCATTTTACAATTCAAATCGGGGAATATAGTTACAGTAAATGGACAAAAGTACAAAGATTCACAAAATGTTTAGGGGTATGCATACCCCTGCGTCCCCCCAGAAAAAAAGCACACACACACACAGTGGTACCACGGGAATATAACACTTCAGGTTACAGACTCCGCTAACGCAGAAATAGTACCTCGGGTTAAGAACTTTGCTTCAGGATGAGAACAGAAATTGCGCAGCAGCGGTGCGATGACAGCAGGAGGCCCCATTAGCTAAAGTGGTACCTCAGGTTAAGAACAGTTTCAGGTTAAGAACGGACCTCTGGAACGAATTAAGTTCTTAACCCGAGGTACCACTGTACACACACACACACACACACACACACACACACACATTTTATTTTACTTTATTTCATTTGTATATGTATATGTGTATATGTATACACATACACATATACATAGTAAAGGGACCCCTGACCATTAGGTCCAGTTGTGACCGACTCTGGGGTTGCGGCTTTATTGGCTGAAGGAGCCGGCATACAGCTTCCGGGTCATGTGGCCAGCATGACTAAGCCACTTCTGGCGAACCAGAGCAGCACACGGAAACGCCATTTACCTTCCCGCCAGAGCGGTACCTATTTATCTACTTGCACTTTGACGTGCTTTCGAACTGCTAGGTTGGCAGGAGCAGGGACCGAGCAACGGGAGCTCACCCCGTTGCGAGGATTCGGATCCCCGACCTTCTGATTGGCAAGTCCTAGGCTCTGTGGTTTAACCCACAGCATCACCCGCGTCCATATGCAAATGAAATAAAGTAAAATAAAATTAACCTGCTATACCAGAGGGTTTTGGGAAGGGACATAGCTCAGTAGCAGAGCACATGCTTGGCATGTAGAAGGTATCTGCTTTAAACTCCAGCATCTCCAAGCAGGCCTGGGAAAGACCCCTGCCTGACTCCTAGTGGGGACAATACCGAGCTAGTTAGACCGCGGGTCTGATTTGTCAGAGGCAATGGCCCTTGGCTAGGTGACCTAAAGATCTGACGCTGTAAAAAATGGCTTTCCTGTGCACACCAAAAACTTCGGGTTCCTGCAAGGAGTTCGCCAGCCTTCATTTGTGCTGTTTCTGAACCTCCCACAGCACAGAGCAAGCATTGCTGCTGATCATCTTTGTCATGTGGCTGTTTGTTGCTCCCTCCACCTTGGCAGCATGAATAATTTTGATCAGATGCCTTGGAGGTTTGGCCCTGGGAATCATCGCATTCTGGAAATCATCCTGAAATTGTTTTAATCCTAGCTCCCCCCCGCCCCCCGAGAGGTGGCGGAACAGAGCAGAGTGGAAAATGATCTTGGGAGAGCCTGTGCAGACCAGGTGGCCCAAAGTCATTTGCTTTATCTTAGCTACTGCAGTAGGGGGAATAATAACACAGTCCTACCCAGTAGGGCTTTTATAAGAATGGTAGCAGGGTTATGCTTGAAACACTTAAAAACATTGCATTTGTAATAATTACAGTTCATCCAGGCTGCCTTTCGCAGTCAGGGATTGTAAAATATTTATCGGCTTCCTGACACTTTCAGTGGAAAGAAACTAAATGAGAAACAAAGAGCTTCATTAATTGCTAAAACCACACCAAAAATAGTAATGGATTTTGATGTTATTAGATCAGGTTGTCAAAGATAAAATACAGTAGACAGAACTGTCAGGTTAAATAAAATATCATCTGGCTGCCTTTCTGAAATGTATGTGCAGAATACAAAGATTGGGGATTTTCCCACCCCACCCCTGAATTTCTTAACATCCCTTCCTGAGAAGCACTAAGAGATAGGCTAGCCCATGCACACACACAAAATTGTTTTCTGTTATTCTCATTCTTCGTTTCGTCTTAACAGTGATGGCAGAAAAAAGGAATTGGGATATTGCATGCAGGAAAGGTGAGCTTTGCAAGAGGTCAGCTGCTGCTGCGGGGGGGGGGGGAGAGAAGCTGTGCAAAATCTCACGGTGCGCATCACAGCCCATTCCCCTGTGTGCAGAAGCAAGCACACTCAAAGCTTCTTTTATTTGATATGCTCTGCCCTCGTGTCGCCGCAGCCCTCAGTCAGGTGTTACTGGAAAACCACTGTGTGCGGCAACTGCCCCTTACCCGGTAAAGGGCGACCCAGTCCCAGGAGCTGCGGTGATAGCTCGAAGACACCTTGTACCAGGTGACAGCTTGCTCCGGTTTCGTCCACTCATCAGCTACCTGAAGCTCCACCAGCGGCACGTCAGCCCTGGAAGCAAACTGCCAGAGAGAGAGAGAGAGAGAGAGAGAGAGAGAGAGAGAGAAAGGGGAGCAGGTGGTTTATGAAGATTACCCGCTCTGGATCCCACAGCTAATTCTCCCCTGGTCTCCTCGCTGGCCCAAATAGGACTAATTTAGCCAGCTAGCCCTGGTGACCATCTAATGTTTATTGGATGGATTTCCCCCCTAAATTGATTTTTGATTTTTGAATTCTGAATTTATTGTTATTCACGTTTTATACTGTATTTTATGCTGTTTTTTGTTGCATCAATTAAGTGTTTTAAATTTGTTGTTAGCCACCCTGAGCCCGGTTTTCTGAACTGGGAAGGGCAGGGTATAAATAAATTATTATTATTATTATTATTATTATTATTATTATTATTAGAGCCAGGCTTTGCTATGTTTGACAACTCACAGCAACCTGCTAAGGCAGCGGTTCCCAACGTGGGTGGTACCACTCCCTAGGAAGTGGTGGGATTATCTAGGGGGACACCAAAAGGCAAGGGGGCAGCAGGGGGTGCTGGATGTGGGATGTAACCCATTGGAGCAGTCAAATACAACACTCCTTGTTTCCCTAGAGTGGGCACAGGCAGGGGGACATCCAGTCAGTGTAACTTCCTGTTCTACTGGTCTGGAGCGTCCTTCCCCTGCATGTGACCCTGGCTGACTTCATAAAAGAGCCGAGTCACACAGCCATCTCTTCTCTCTTGATGACATGCTGCTCTCCTGCAGCCATTTTGTTCTCTTGATGCTGTTCTCTTAATGTATTTTGCTGTCTGCTGGCTCTCAGCCAGCAGCACATGGGCTCAATCCCCATAAGGGGATGAATTCACACTATGTTCTGTAACTACAAGCTAAAATCTGCCTTCAGCGATCATACTGTGAACTGAATGTGAGTAAACTTCTTGTTACTTTTAAGGAAAGATTTTTGTCTTTTAAGAGGGATCAAAGGAATAATCCAGTCTGCTGTATTGCGGGGAATCTGCTCTGCTACATGACTCACTAGCATGAGTGAAGGAAGGATAATATTTAATCAATATATCCTCCCCCACTGTCCTTAATATTCCCACAGTGGAGTCGTAAATGACTATCAGGCTTTAACAGCTGGTATCACGAGTTCATCGGTTTTGTGGGGTTAAACTAAATGCAGGCAACCCCCGATTTGCACGGGGACTGTGTTACAGGTCATCACACCTGACTGTGTAGCACATGTAAGCCTGTCATCACGACCCTGTTACACCCTCTTCCAGGTCCGAACAGGATGTGTGCATGCACAGCTGAGCCTGCCTTGAATGCGTGCAGAATGGTCATTGCTTGTAATTTCAATTGGATTTTGAATAAATATGCATTTTCCACTGTTTCTAATTTTATTATTGTAGTCCTTAGTGGTTTGTGCAAACCACTATAACGATTAATGCTTTGCATAGGGCAGAGTAGGGGGCACTGGGGATGGAACCAAGGGGGCAGCAGAGGCCCCCCAAAGTTTGGAAACCACAGGTTTAGGAGAAGAATTCATTAGACAGAGCAAAATTCTCTGTCCCAGTTTATTGGTTGAAGAGAAGCCTTGATCTTCACCACTCACAACAGCACAGACCTGACTTGGTGCACAGCCAGGACAGCCCAGAGATTCCCGGCTGCGTCACTTTCCACCAGGGCTCCAGACTCACCTTCACGGCAAAGATGGAGACCACCGGCTTGTGGTCACTGACGGTGTACTCCATGTGGCTGCAATAGCATAGCTGGTTCACAGACAGGAGGCCACAGATGGATCTCCCGGGATGCGTCGGTGCACCAGAGCCTTTGATCTTCCACAGGATCCGGTCGGTCCAAGCCGGCTTCCTTTTCTTGGCACTGTGAGGCACGCGAGAGAGCAGAATGAGCGGGCACTAAAGGAAGTGCCTGAGGGCACAGCGGTTCTCCCCTATCCCTCCACTTAGGATATGAATGCCCCCATCCTGTCCAGCCAGACACGCCCCATTACCTGGTGTCATACATGTCAGTGCCCACGTCAAACTTGAAGGTTGGGGGGAAATTGAGGGGTCCCTCTTGGAAGCCTTTCAAGATAGGCCAGGTGTTCTTAGCGATGTTCAGCTGCGTAGAACAAGAGCCCGAGGCAAAGAGAGAGAAAGGATGAGAGCACCTGAAGGAGCGTATCCAACCCATTGTTCTGCCCGGACACTGAGGTCCAGCGCCGAGGGCCTTCTGGCGGTTCCCTCACTGCAAGAAACCAAGTTACAGGGAACCAGGCAGAGGGCCTTCTCAGTAGTGGCACCCCCCCCCCCCCGTGGAACGCCCTCCCACCAGATGTCAAAGAGAAGAACAACTACCAGATTTTTAGAAGACATCTGAAGGCAGCCCTCTTCAAAAAGGGAAAGGGACCCCTGACCATTAGGTCCAGTTGTGACAGACTCTGAGGTTGCGGTACTCATCTCGTTTTATTGGCCGAGGGAGCCGGCGTACAGCTTCTGGGTCATGTGGCCAGCATGACTAAGCCGCTTCTGGCGAACCAGAGCAGCGCACGGAAATGCAGTTTACCTTCCCGCCTTAGTGGTACCTATTTATCTACTTGCACTGGTGTGCTTTTGAACTGCTAGGTTGACAGGAGCAGGAACCGAGCAACAGGAGCTCACCCCGTTGCGGGGATTCGAACCGCCGACCTTTTGATTGGCAAGTCCTAGGCTCCACAGTGTCACCCGTGTCCCAGGGAGGAACCTACTGACACCTTATTACACACAGAGAGAGAGAGAGAGAAAGTGAGCCCTCACCTGGTCCTTCTCCCAGAGCTGGTGGAGGATGTTGTTGTCAATGGCGTATTTCACAAAGCGGATGTCTAGGCTCTCGATGCGGAAGTTGAGGTCCCCAAACCAAAAGACGATGCTGGGGGGGGGGAGGGAAAGGAGACACAGGTGAGGCTGGGACCCTCGGCTGTTTGCGTCCACAGCACGGCCAAGTCAGAAGGGAAGGCAGAAAATAAGACACATTCACAGAGGATGTCTAGCAGTGTGGCTGTTCACCTAACTAGAGAACCTCCATGTAAAAGAGCAGGGCTATCAGATGTTGGAGAGCAAGGCAGCCAGGGAAAAGCTGTTCCTTGGTTGTGCAAATTCCTTGCGGTAGCTCAATGGCCTGCTTAACTACTGTATTTTTCGCTCTATAAGACACAATTTCCCCCTCCTAAAAGGGGGAAATGTGTGTGCGTCTTATGGAGCGAATGCAGGCGGGAGGCTCTGCTCAGCGCTCCCTTTAAAGAGCCGTGTGGATCGTTTGTGCGGCTCTTGGGGGCTTTTCCCCAAGGAGGGAGAAGGGCTGCCCTTCTCCCTCCTTGGGTAAAAGCCCTCAAGAGCTGCACACATGCTCCGTGCGCTCTTTAAAGGGAGCACAGCTCTTGGGGGAGCCTTCCTCCCACTGCCCGGGAGAGGCTTCGCGCAGCTATCCCAGAAGCCAGAACAGCAAGAGGCTATCCCAGAAGCCAGATCCCTCTTGCTGTTCTGGCTTCTGGGATTCAGAATATATATTTTTTCTTGTTTTCCTCCTCCAAAAACTAGGTGCGTCTTATGGCCTGCTGCGTGCATCTTATTGAGCGAAAAATACGGTATTTGTTTATGCCTTTATCGTGTGTTTTCATATTGGAAACCACCCTGAGATCTTCTGATGCAAGGCGGTATATCAATCTAATAAATAAAATATTTCTTTTTAAAAAAACAACAACAGGCATTTCTCTCTCACACACGCGCAAACAAACAACTGGGACACGATTGAGGGGAGAAGGAGCCCTCTCTCCCAAGCAGCAGAGGAAGGAGGCTTTTGCAGGGAACAAACAGCGGTGGCTAAGCCGAGATTCTGAGCCGGGATGTAGGTCAACGCAAGCCGGAAGCCCTCCTGGCTGACTTCCAAACTGCTCCGCCGCCGAATGGATCAGGTGGCCTGGACCATCGGCATCAGCTTCGAGCGCCGCCTGGTTAGTCGAAGCCTCCCGATAAAGAGAGCCTCAGGCTTCAAAAGGGTCAGATGTCACAGCAAGCCCTGCGTGTGCCAGTCTGCCCACCTGGGCGGCCCACGAAGACACATTTCCACCAGCGGGAACCAGTCGGAATCAGATGGCAGAAGTGATGTGGGCAGATGGTGGGGGGGCAGGGAGACAGATTGCACTTAGCACTGATACCCTCCCATATTTTTTTCCTTCTTTTTTTTTAAAAAAAAAAGTGTCAGAAAGCAACCACTTTGAAGATGGAAATTCGCCTGTGAGTTCTGGGAATCTGGTTTGGGTTGGGCACGATTTCTGCACAAATGCTTTCCATCCATCGATTTCTCCCCACCCTCTCTCCCCACCCCCTAGATGTGTGAGAGAGACAGGGGGAGGGAGGGGAGGGAGTTAGCTTAGCCCGGAGAAGAGAAGAATGACGTGATCGCCTTCTTCAAATACCTAAAGGGCTGTTACAAGCTTGTTTTCTGCTGCTCCAGAGGGGAGGACTTGAACGGAAGCTGATCTACAGTGGAATGGACTCACTCAAAGTCATGGGTTCTGCTTCATTGGAGACTTTTAAACAGAGGTTGGATGGCCATCTGTTAGGGACTTTTAGCCACGATTCCTTCGCTGCAGGGGGTTGGTCTAGATGACCCGCAGGGGTCCCTTCCAACTCTGCAGTTTTAGCCTCCATATTCCCTCACAGTTCCTTCAACTGCCCCACCTCATCCCTACTCAGCTCCTCTGTGTCCCTCTATTCCTGCTTCATTGCAACCTCTGCCATTATGTAAAACCTCCGTTTAAAAACCTGCCCTTCTTATTTTGTTCTCTCCCCCCCCCACTCTGACTTCATGCAAATCCAAGAATGTGATGCAGTGCCACAGATCCTCCAACAGGGGGACTGCGTGATGACAGCCTCGCGTTTTTATGTATATAGGAAGATATATATCACTTTGAATCTGGGTTGCTGTTTTATTAACATTCAGATTAACTGGCCTATGTGTCATTGCTGTTTTAAACACACCCAAAAATGCCGCTGTCCTTCAAAAGTCTTAAAGTGCCTGGTTTCCAAAGTAATTTCATGATTACATAATCCCAGCTTTCTCAGTCCGGCACTTTCCAGGCTATTCTGGCTGAGGTTGATGGAAGTCCAGAACAGCTGGAGGGCACCTGCCTTAGAAAGGCAGATGTAAGCTTTCTTATAAGTGTTCTGCCCTAGGAAAAAACAGCCTATAAATAAGTATGTGTGCATTAGGGGCTGGTTCCCCTGCTCACTCGGTTTGTCAACCCCGCCTACCCCTTTGCCCTTCCCCCGCACCTTCCCCCCACCCTTTAAATCTCACCCACCTATCCTCTCCATAGCTGACCTCCCCAACAGCTTCCGTGAGCCTGCCTGCCGTTCCTCGTGGTGCAGCTGGCGTGGCCACCTGCTGGCAGACGTGTGAACTACAGAGCGTGACAACACCTTACATTTCTATTTATATAGGAAGATATGCATTCATACACATTGAAAAGGAGTCTCAGAGACCAGCATAACTGGGAAGAGGGGAAATAACCGAGGCAGTGGAACGGAGGCTGGGGTGGATTGGGAGTCCTGCCCATCTTCCTTCTTGTTTCTCTCTGCTCAAAATCGCCTTCCGACTAAACATCAGGAAGAACTTTTTGATGGTAAGATCTGTTCGAAAGTGGAACAGTCTCTCTCGGAAGGCAGTGGGGTCTCTCTTTCACTGGAGGTTTTTAAGGAGAGGTTGGATGGCCATCTGTCCAGGTTTATTTAGTTGTGATTCCTGCATTACAGGGGGTTGGACTAGATGAGCACTGGGGGACCCTTTCCAACTCGATTATCCAGGAGAAAAGGTCAGACTCTGTATCATACAGGAGAGCTTTTCAGCCACAGGGCCACATTCCCTTCGGGATGTTTGTGGGGGAGGGGGACATACCAGGGGTGGGCGGGGCAAAGGAAAAATGGGTGGGGCAATTGATATGCAATGCACCTGGGACCAAGACTTACTCGTGGTCAAGGATCCCGCTGGCTGACGGCCCTTCGAACTGCTGCATGTGGAGGATGGTGGTGAAGTCCTCCTTGCGCTGTTCTGCCTTCTCCATGTGTGCCGGTAGGTGGCAGTTAAGGAAGCAGACCATGTTGCCAAAGATGGAGAGGCGGATGCTCACCCCGCCTTTATTGCCCTGCATTGGAGAGGGAGGGGGGGAGAAAGGTATGGATCAGCTGCCACCAGAGGCTATGCCTTCACTCTGCGCCCTTGGACCCATGCACACTTTCTGTTAGGCTTCAGGGAATCGAGTTCCTCCCTTGTGGCAGCAGATAAGGAGTCTTCTTAACAGTTAGAAACTTTAATAATCACAGCGAGAGAACAAAGACCACTCCTCCAATTTGCAGTGTTCCCAATTAAGTTCCCTCCTCCCTCCATCCCTATTAAACTACGTCACTCCTACGTCTTGTAATCTGAGCTTGGAACCGTTATGTTTTCTGTTCTGCCTATATATATATATATATGCTTTTCTTGATTTACAAAAGTGTTTGCAATGTCTCTTGTATTTTTTTTTCCATGTAACATTTTTACAAATCAGTTTCATTTGTTGAGACATTAGGAAGAAAAAGGGGAAAGAGGTGGAGGGGGGAAGATGGGGGTGGCAATGTTTCTATTTTACTTACTATATGTGGGGTTTTGTGTCAGCGTTGCTTGTGCAGGTTCTCTGCTGTTCGCTTGTGTTCCTTTGGTGGTGAGAGAGGTTGGGGTTGGCCTAGGGTGGGGTTGTTCATTTGTGGTTGGCTGTGTTTTCATGTGTGAGTGGGGTGGGTGGGTGTTTTGGATTAGGTTAGCCCTACTGATTTGTATGCTGTTGGTGGATTTTTGTCGTGGTCTTGTTGGGTTGTGTATGTGATAAAGGGGAGCCATGAAGGTGTCTTCTTCTATTTGTCCCTGTGTCAGTTTCAGTTTATTAGTTAATTTTTCTAGTAGGGCTGTTTCCCATACTATTTGGTACCATTGGTCCATGCTTACTCCTGACAGGTCTCTCCTGTTCTGCCACTTTCTGAGCTCTTCTTGACCTTAGGGAGAGCGGAGGATTGCTTTCCAGAGAGAGTGAATCTGTTAACCCTCCCTCCCCCAGTTCTCCTAACTGCTCCCAATCCAGTATTTCCCAGCTTCTGCCTTCTGAACTATGCCCCTCTGCAAACCGTTGTTCTAAATCTATACTGTCCTCCTGCTCCTGGGAAGATTCAGGATCAGGATCAGAGGGAGGGGGTAGCTCCCACCTTTTTTTTCAGTGCAGCCCTCCTCAGCACAACCCCTGACACTTACCCAGTATCCTCCCAGTCCCGTCCTGGTGCAGTCCGTCTGGATGTCCTGTAGAAACGGCAGGTGGTAGTACTTGGCAAAGACCATCAGGATGACACCTTGCATCCGCACCGTGCTCACCTGGAAGAGCGAAAGGCAGTGAGAGAGCCAGGCAGCATGGTGCAATGGTTAGAGCACCTGGCTAGAGGGCCTGGGAGACCGGTGTTCATTTTCCCACTTGGCCACAATGAAGGTCGCTGGGTGATCTTGGGCCAGCCACTGTCCCTCAGCGTTACCTACCTCACAGGGTTGTTGTGAGGGTTTAAAGTGGGGAGGTGTGGGGAGAACTACGTACACCACCCTTGAGCTCCTTGGGAGGAAAAGTGGGATAGAAATGCAATAATGAATAAATATATCTCTCCACCCTCGCAGAAGGCACGGCACTCAGTTCGAATCCTGAACACACACACCCAAGACTCAGGATGGGAGAATTGCAGGCTTATCTGCAACAGCAAAGTCTAATTAAGGAGAATGGAACAACAGAAGTATAGAATCACAAAGTTGGAGGGGACCACTGAGGTCATCTAGTCCAACCTTGTTTCTCAATTTGACCCTTTTACATGGTTTTGTATGTTTTGTGGTATTTTATGCATTCTGACTTGCCGTTATTTTTATTGATCATGGTTTAGTAATTCTTTATTGTAACTGACAAGTGTAAACTGTTTAATTATTATTTGTTGACCTTTAATTTTATTGTTTACTATTCTATTACAACGGATTGCTGAATACAGTCGTACCTTTGACTTCCAAAACGTTCGGAAACCAAATTGTGTTTTCTGATTGGCTGCAGGAAGCTCCTGGAAGCCGAAGCCGAGGAAGTCCCGTCCAATGTTTGGCTTCCAAAAATATTTTGCAAACCGAAATACTCCCTTTTTTTTTTTTTTGACGGCATTCAGGAGCCAAAATATTTAAGAACTAAGCTGTTTGAAAACCAAGGTACGTCTGTATTGCTGTATTTGATCTAAGCTGTTTGTTTCAAAGTTATTGTGACTTTTTTTTTTTTTGGTACTGGATCAGATTGTTATTACATATGTGACCTTTGCTGTCTATTTTCTTGTTTCTTCAGCTCGTGAATCACCTTGTGTATGTATAGTAACATAGGAAGGCGGTGTTACAAATTAAAAGTGAACTGAAATGTACAGTAGTACCTCGGGTTAAGAACTTAATTCGTTCTGGAGGTCTGTTCTTAACCTGAAACTGTTCTTAACCTGAGGTACCACTTTAGACAATGGGGCCTCCCGCCGCCGCCGCACGATTCCTGTTCTCATCCTGAAACAAAGTTCTTAACCTGAAGCACTATTTCTGGGTTAGCGGAGTCTGTAACCTGAAGCGTCTGTAACCTGAGGTACCACTGTACTGCAGGAATGTCAACTAAAGCGTCCATAACAGAAGGACACCCAAGCTCTGCTTAAAAACATCCAAGGAGGGAGAGTCCAGGTTAGGGCTAGAGCTGGTGTCTGGAGAAACAAATGCAAACTACAGTGGTACCTCGGGTTAAGTACTTAATTCGTTCCGGAGGTCTGTTCTTAACCTGAAACTGTTCTTAACCTGAAGCACCACTTTAGCTAATGGGGCCTCCCGCTGCTGCCGCACCACTGGAGGACGATTTCTGTTCTCATCCTGAAGCAAAGTTCTTAACCTGAAGCACTATTTCTGGGTTAGCAGAGTCTGTAACCTGAAGCGTATGTAACCCGAGGTACTACTGTATGTGTATTCGTGGAAAGTCAGCTTATTGATGGCTACCACCCATGATGGCTGTTATGTACTGAGTTGAATAGGATCCAAAATGCAGCAGTCTGATTGGTCCTAGAACAATAGGATCCAAAATGCAGCAGTCTGATTGGTCATAGAATAATAGATTCAGAATGCAGCGGCCTGATTGGTCTGCAGGAGCCACCCAATCCAGCTCCAGATGGAAGTGAATCCACAATCTGATTGGCCTACAGGAGAATTCCAGAATTAGCCAATCACGTGCAGCCCATTGTGTAAATAATGTATATAAAGCAGATACTTTGGGGGAACTTCCATTCCTCCTCACCACTATGAGCTGAATAAAGAGCATGAAATCCAGTCTCGACTCTGAGTATATTTCAATGGCTTTGCTGCGCCTCCACAGCTGGAGGCAGCAAGGCTTCTGAATTCCAGTTGCTGGAAACCATAGGAGGGGAAAATGGGCTCTTGTGCCCAGGTCCTGCTTGCAGGTTTCCAACAGGGATCTGGTCAGTCATGGTGAGAACATGATGCTGGACTAGATGGGCCATTGGCCTCATTCAGCTGGCCTCTTCTCATGTTCTTATGAGTTATGCACAGCGCTCCATTTTCAAAGTGTGTTTCCTTTCTGTATTATATTACCTCGTATGCCACAGTGAGAATAGCATATCCAGTTCAAGAGCACAAAAGTAAAACATGCAAGGGAGATGGAGTTGTCCCAAGGTGATCTGGCACGTTATGAATGTGTCCTGGAAAGCTCCGGTTGTGTGTGGGGTGGACAGGGTGAGAGAGAGAGAGAGAGAGAGAGAGGAGTAGAGTCAGGCTGTCAGAACAAGCCCATCCCATCGCCCCAAGTCACACAGAGGCTGTCCGAAATAGGGAGAGAGCACAGCAGGATCCTCAGCCCTTGAGAAACCAGCAGCCGCTCCTCTCCCCTTCGCCGTCACAACAGCCTCCCAAACGCTCTGATGCTCCTCGTCTCCATGGCATCGCCATGGAGACCGCTGTGATGTTATCGTCCGGAGCAGGGCAGGGTTCTGAGGTCATCCGAGGAACTCAGGCAGGCAAGAACCCAAAGCAGCATGCCTGGAGCACCCTGGCTTTGCCAAGGCTACTGGAGCCTCGCACCCTCATATCCTCAAAAGCGGGGCTGTGGAGGGAGGGAGGTTGGCACCTGCGACACTCACGAGGGGCATCGCCTCAGCCAGCCTTTGCATCCCTGAATCCCACCAGCGCCGCAGTCACTGGGCCAGAATGGGCTGGTGCATGCAGATCTTTGCAATCTGGGCTGTCGTCTGAGGTTTCGTGTGCATCTTGGGGACGCCTCTCTCTATGCGAACCTGCCTCCCTGTGTGAGCACCTTCTCTCAGTGCCCTCGACGTCAGAGGAATGAACCAGAGAGAGCCTTTTTGGTCCCCGCTCCCAGGTTGTGAGGTTCTCTCCCAAGAGAGGTCAGACTGGCTCTCTCCATACAGTGATACCTCGGGTTAAGTACTTAATTCATTCCGGAGGTCCGTACTTAACCTGAAACTGTTCTTAACCTGAAGCACCACTTTAGCTAATGGGGCCTCCTGCTGCTGCCGTGCCGCCGGAGCACGATTTCTGTTCTCATCCTGAAGCAAAGTTCTTAACCTGAAGCACTATTTCTGGGTTAGCGGAGTCTGTAACCTGAAGCGTCTGTAACCTGAAGCGTCTGTAACCTGAGGTACCACTGTATTATCCTCCCACTGGTAGGCTAAGAGAGGCCTTTGAAAGCTAAGGATCAGATGATGCCGATCCACTGGGCTGCCATCCTGGCAAACTGAATTGGGACACCATATCAAGCTGCATCGCATAATGCGCTTTAGGACAGGAGTGGGCAGGAAATCTGTCTGGATCAACTGGGAGGCTGCCACTTCGAGAGGGCAGAGGCTATGGGTCAGAAGAGTGGACCCATGGGCAGTGACAGACATTATGTGCATTTGTGTACAGTGGACGCTCGGGTTGCGAACATGATCCGTGCGGGAGGCACATTCGCAACCCACAACATCCGCAACCTGCAGCACCGTGTCTGCACATGTGCGGGTTGTGATTCGGAGCTTCTGTGCATGTGCAAAGTGTGATTCAGCGCTTCTGTGCATGTGCGAGCGCCGAAACCCTGAAGTAACCCATTCCAGTGCTTCCGGGTTTCAGCGCGTCCGTAACCCGAAAACGCGCAACCTGAAGCGTCTGTAACCCGATGTATGATTGTATTCTAATGAACTGAACAGAGTGAAAGGTTATGAGTCATGGGGGTGCAGAGATGGGGTGTGTGAATGGGGGTATGAATGAACTTAGTGCTTAGTTTATATCTTTAGTTACTATTTTGTTAATGTTTTTAATATTGTTTTATGGATTCTAAATGCTGCATCGATTTGTTAAACGCACCAGTTGTCACAACTGTGAGGTTTAGCTTATTTTTTAGTTGCTGTTTTTTATAGATTGCAAATTTTTGGGGATAATTTGTTAATTCTTTTATATGACATATGATGTATTTGCGATGTGCTATCATGTTTTATTATGTTATGGTTATTTATAGGTTGTTAAATCGCTTTGAGATTCATTTGAATGAACAGTGGCATAGAAATGCAATCAATCAATCAATCAATCAACCACAGCTGCCCCACCCCTGGCTTATTGCCCACCACTACCATGGCCAGGGACCAGGGACCAGCGCATTGCCAACAGACACTTGAGATCTGCAAGGCTAACTCCCCCAACACCTGCCCACCAGCTGATGTCACTTGTGACATCATCTGATGAGTGGGAGGACAAGGTTAAATCCTGCACTGGCAGTGTGTACCGGTTTCGAGCAAGGAACAGGGGCACATAGCCAAAGCAGCAGGATTTTACACACACATCCTGCTCATCAGCTGGTGAGTGGAGGGGTTAAATCCTGCTCATTTCAGCAAATTTCCTAATTCAGAACCCCTTGCTGAAACAGTCAAGGAAAGGAAGCATAGCGAAAGGAAACCCAGGAACCACAGCAGGGAGATCAGAAATCATACTAGAATTAGTGAAGAATTAACGCGGGTGGCGCTGTGGGTTAAACCACAGAGCCTAGGGCTTGCCGATCAGAAGGTCAGTGGTTCGAATCCCTGCGATGGAGTGAGCTCCCGTTGCTCGGTCCCTCCTCCTGCCAACCTAACAGTTCGAAAGCACCTCAAAGTGCAAGTAGATATACAGGTACCGCTCCAGTGGGAAGGTAAACGGAGTTTCCATGCACTGCTCTGGTTCGCCAGAAGAGGCTTAGTCATGCTGGCCACATGACCCAGAAGCTGTACACCAGCTCCCTCGGCCAGTAAAGCGAAATGAGCGCTGCAACCCCAGAGTCATCTGTGACTGGACCTAATGGTCAGGGGTCCCTTTACCTTTTAAACTCAATTTTGGATGTAAGAAGTGCAAACTCTTTTTCGGATTGCTTTTTGTTCTGTACTACATTTTTGATATATTTTTTCTTTGTCTTGCTATGTTTTTTCTTTTAAAACCAATAAAGCAGTTTTAAAAAGAAACAGTCAGGGAAAACCTCCTTTTAGCAGTACCCTGAAAGGTACTTTGACGTGCTCCTTATTTTTATTATTACAGCCTTTATTTAATTTTTTTTACACCTCACCTTTTCTCCAATGCCTGGATAGCTAAGTTGCTGATAACACCAAGATCACAGGTTCAAGCGTTGCATGGGACAGGTTGGGTAGAGGGCTGTTGGTGTCCCTTCCAACTCTACAGTTCTAAGCCCTGACTTTGGAACTTCAAGGCACCTTGCAGCGGACATCATTGTGATGTCAGGTGATTGACAGGTGGGCCTCCTGTCCAATGCGGCTCATGCATCTGATCTGGCCCATGTAGTTTCACACACACACACACACACACACACACACACACACACACAATGGTAATCTAAACTGCTGGACTATGCCAAAATGGCAAAACTAACTGGGAGACTCAGGAACCAAGAAGACAAGGACTTTAAAAAGGAATGGGGGAAATTTACAATTTACTTAGGAGAGCACTGTAAGCAAAGCAAAACTTTAGCTGGACTATAAGAATCACTTGTAAAGTAACGAAGTTTATGGATAATTTGGGAAAATGGAAATAGTGGAGAACATATTGATATGCAGTCTTAATTACTGTAATAAGGACCCATGTAGGAGATGGGCAGGGGGGAATCATGAGAGTCAGAGAATCTCACAAAATGATTATAGAAATTGTTTGATTGTAAATTTCTATTGATTAAAAAAAAAATTAAAAGAATAACAACAACTGCGGGAATAATAACACAGTCCCTTAATTAAGTTTGCATTGATCCTGGCTTAAAAAAAAAATCTGTTAGTACAAACAACATTCTGATTCACTGTTGTTATTTTGTGTAAAAATTACTTTTATCAGCCCTCTGATTATTTGCAGTTATTAAAAGCATTTGCATTCGTAACCAAGAAAGAAAGCCCACCCCCCCCCAACATTCTTAACCTGTCCTCAGCTTGTCACTGAGTTCCCCTCGGTGCTTACCAGTACAAAATTAAATGGACTCAACACCTCCATGAAGAGTTCGCTCCACTGGTCTGTGAAAAGAGCATCTTTGAGCCGTTTGTTGATCATGGAGTTCACCTCCTGGAGCCTGAAAACAATTCAAAATTGTCACCAGCTGGCAGGCAAACACTTTGGAAAGAACACTCTGCTCTCCAAGCACTTTCATGGGATAAAGAAAATGGAGGAAGTCTCATGTTCTTATAAATAACCCCTCTTCTTTCCATAAAATTTATATACCAATTGATTGTAAAGCAAAAAGTCTCAGAGAGAATAAAACTATAAAACTAACTATAAAAACAATTCTTCAAAAGATAAAATCAGCAATGAACTAAGAACAGATTAAAACTTACAGCAATCTTTTTTAAAGGCTTTTCTAAACAAAAATGTTTTTTTAGCAAACGCCAAATAGAGGGCAGGGAAGGCACCTGCCTGGTGTCAATAGGTAGTGAGTTCCAGAGATTAAGTCCCACTCTAGACAAAAAAAAAGATTGATTTCTTACAAATGCATAATGGGTATTATGTGGGACCTAGAACAGCGCCAATTCCGTAGTTCAAAGCAGCCGAGGATTTTTCAAGCCAAGGATCAGAGGGGGCTGAGCTCACCCCACCCACAGGGCTGAAATCACTTCCCCCACCAACACAGTACAAAAGACTCAGTGGCTCTACAAAACCTCGCCCTGTACCAATTCAAAATCAAAAGGAGAACCTGTTCTTCTGATTGAAGATATGAGAGGGGAAAACCACATAATTGCCAGATAATGGAATCATAGAACTGTAGAGTTTGTTCTGAGGTTTGAGCTGAGTTGTTGCTACATCAAAAAAATTTCTCGGGCATTGTCCTTTTTCAACCATTCTCTGTCAATTTAGGAGAAAAGAAATCGCATCTGAAAATTACAAAAGGGGAGGGAGAATTTGGGGTGGGGTGCCTAGATTTGTGAAGATTGCATTAGGGAAACCTGGCTGCAAAAAAAACCAAACAAACCCTGCAACACTGTGCAAAAATGTATATATTATTAAAATAAAGGTCGGCAGCGAATTTTAAAAAAGAAAAATTTACAAACAGATGTAGAAGTTGAAGGAGCTGGGTATGTTTAGCCTGGAAAAGAGGAGGCTGAGGAGATATAATAGCCATCTTCAAATATCTGAAGGGCTGTCACGTGGAAGATGGAGAAAGGTTGTTTTCTCCTGCTCCGGAGGGTAGGACCCGAACTAATAGATTCAAGTTACAGTGCTGCCCCGCAAGACGAATGCCTCGCAAGACGAAAAACTCGCTAGACGAAGGGGTTTTGCGTTTTTTGAGTCGTTCCGCAAGACAAATTTCCCTATGGGCTTGCTTCGCAAGATGGAACGTCTTGCAAGTTCTTGCGAGTTTGTTTCCTTTTTCTTAAAGCCGCTAAGCCGCTAAGCCGCTAATAGCCGCTAAGCCACTAATAGCCGCTAAGCCGCTAAGCCACTAATAGCCGTGCTTCGCAAGACGAAAAAACCGCAAGACGAAGAGACTCGCGGAACGGATTAATTTCATCTTGCGAGTCACCACTGTACAAGGAAAGAGATTACAACTAAGCATCAGGAAGAAATGTCTAACAATAAGAGCTGTTTGAAAGTAGAGGTCGTGGATTCTCCTATGTGGGGCTACCTTTGAAAGTAACCTGGAAACTGCAACTACTCCAGAATGCGGCCGCTAGACTGGTGACTGGGAGCAGCCGCCGAGACCACATAACACCAGTCCCCTACATTGGCTCCCAGTACATTTCCAAGCACAATTCAAAGTGTTGGTGCTGACCTTTCAAGACCTAAATGGCCTCAACCCAGTACACATGAAGGAGCGTCTCCACCCCCATCATTCAGCCTGGACACTGAGATCCAGCTCCGAGGACCTTCTGGTGGTTCCCTCACTGCGAGAAGAGAGGCTACAGGGAACCAGGCAGAGGGCCTTCTCGGTGGTGGCACCCGCCCTGTGGAACGCACTCCCACCAGATGTCAAGGAAATAAACAACTATCTGACTTTTAGAAGACATCTGAAGGCAGCCCTGTTTAGGGAAGTTTTTAATGTTTGATTGTGCTTTTAATTCTGTTGGGAGCCACCCAGAGTAGCTGGGGAAACCCAGCCAGATGGGCGGGGTATTTATTTTTCTTCGTCTTCATCTTCTTTGGAGGTTTTTAAAGCAGAGGTTGGGTGGATGCTTTAGTTGAGATTCCTGCATTTCAGGGGGCTGGACTAGATGTCCCCCAAGGTCGCTTCCAACTCTACGATTCTAAGGAGAATGAAACTTCAAGGTTGTGGGGGGAGGATGAGAAAGGGAGAGAAACTAAATCGGGCAGATTTGGCCATCTCTAGTCCCAGATGTTCACATCTGGGAATCACTGCCCTGAGCACCGTTCCTTCACCCTGCAGAGTTGTGTTGGATGGGAGTTCACACACACTTAAACACACACTCTACTGACATGCTCTGCCAAAAGGGCAGTCCATGGCGGATCCTTTTCCTTACCCAATGGTGATCATGTCTGTGTCGTTGGAGTCCCCCGTGTTGAGGTGCAGGAGCGAGGTCACGTCAGAGGGAGGCATGGCTGTACCAACGTTCCAGGTCACGATAGTGATGCTAAGAGGAAACAGGGAGCCTGGTGTCAAGGGTCATTAGTATTAAACTCAAGGCTGTATGACTGTCACGCACTCTATTTGGGGCTGCCCTTGGGCCTGGTTCGGAAGCTCCAGCTGGGGCAGAATGCTGAGGCCAGACTGCTGACGGGAGCTTCTGGTCAAGAACATGCAGCCCCCTTGTTAGAACACCTCCACTGGCTGCCCATCTGAACAACTTAGGTCCAAGGTACCACAGGGAACACTTGAACCCAGTATGTTTCTGAGCACAATTCAAAGTGTTGGTGCTGACCTTTAAAGCTCTAAAGAGCTTCAGCCCGATATACCTGAAGGTGCGTCTCCACCCCCATCGTCCAGCACAGACACTGAGGTCCAGCTCTGAGGGCCTTCTGGAGGTTACAGGGAACTAGGCAGAGGGCCTTCTCGGTGGTGGCACCCACCCTGTGGAATGCCCTCCCATCAGATGTCAAGGAAATAAACAACAATCTGACTTTTAGAAGACATCTGCAGGCAGCCCTGTTTAGGGAAGTATTTAATGTTTGATGTTTTATCGTGTTTTTAACATTCTGTTCAGAGCCATCAAGAGTGGCTGGGGAAACCCAGCCATAGGGGCAGGGTATTATTCTTATTATTATATGTCCTACCTTGAGCACGGAAATCACCTGTAGGAGCATCATTGGTTATTCCCCAAGTTGGTGAAGCTCATTTGACAACAAGAAACCAAGCCTCTAGTGTCATTGGCCCAGTCCTGTGGAACTCTCAGCCACTAGAGAGTCAGCAGGTGCCTTCTGTGCCAACTCTTAAACACCTGCCGAAAACATTTCTACTCTGTCAGGCCTATGCAGGCGATTAAGAACACTGTTGGGATTCTATTCCACCTTTTGCTGCAGACATGGGATTGTTGTGTGTCACACATCTGTTTACACTCCAGCACAGATTGCTGGCGTGAGCGGAACTTCCGCTCTGTATAGTTGTTGTTTTTAGCTCTCTCTCCGAGAAGACGGCAAGGAGAGACGACATGTTTCTTTGTCCTGATTTATGTTTAATAAATGCATAGCTTAGTATGTATCTACAGCCTCAAGCCTCTTCTGTTGCGCAGTATACACTGCTGAGTAAAGTGTGCTCAAGTCTGTAAGCTTGGGTCACTGATGTACGTCGGAGCAGAGGTCGAGGAATCTCCGCAGCAACAAAGCTGAGAGGGAGACGTTCCAGCTGGTCTTTTGACCCCCCGATTCTGACAAACACACACTTCCACATTGGTCAATTGATGTCTGTTTTTAACTCTCTAACCTTTTCACAGTTTTTATTTTACTATTTTTTATGTTTTATTGCTATAAACCACTTTGATTATTATTTTTTGACATAGCAGAATATAAGTACAGTTAACCTTGGTTGTTGTACGCTCCGGATGTCGGACGTTTTGGCTTTCAAACGCCAACAACCCAGAAGTGAATGCTTCCGTTTTTGAACGATTTTTGGAAGTCGAACAGCTTTCGAGGTGCATTCTCCATTTTTTTCAATGGATTTTGCAGACAGCCCCATTATGCCTAGGTTGTCAAATGTTTCAGAAGTCGAACCAGAATGGATTACGTTTGACAACTGAGGTTCCACTGTATTTTTGTAAGTAAAATAAAATAATAATTATGGGTTGTTGTTATTAGTATCGTCTTTGTGCCCTTCACCCTAAAGTCCCAAGGAAGGTTACATTAATTTGCACTATTAAAAACAGTTTAAACAACTTACAATCACAAAATAAGGTAGGTCCCTGATAGGGTTGCCATATTTTGAAGAGCAAAAAGGAGGACACATTTGCCAACTTACCGTATTTTTCCGTGTATAAGACGACCCCTATTTTTTGGGACTCCAGATTAAGGAAATGGGGGAAGATTGCACAGAGTTGTTGAAGTTTGGGGTGGGGAGTTGCCGACAATCACTCACCCGCCTGGCCACCACTGCCAATCACACGCCTCGACAAACCCGCCAATCACCTGCCTGCCAATCGCCCACCCAATTGCCGCAGCAGCAGCCAATCCCCTTGCCACAACCACCAATCACCCGCCCAATTGCCACTGACATCTCCTGCTTGCAGCTGCCACCAATCGCCCATCCTCACTCTGCACTATCCATGTACAGTGGACGTTCGGGTTGCGAACGTGATCCTTCCAGGAAGCCTGTTCGCAACCCGCAGCGTTCGCAACCCGCAGCGTTCGCAACCTGCAGCGCCATGTCTGCACACACGTGGTTTGCAATTTGGCACTTCTGCGCATGCACAAAGCACAATTTAGCGCTTCTGCGCATGCGCCAAAACCCAGAATTAACCTGTTCCAGTACTTCCGGGTTTGGCGCGGTGCACAACCTGAAATCGCACAATCCGAAGTGTCTGTAACCCGAGGTATGACTGTATAAGATGACCCCCATTTTTCCCCATTTTTTTAATAATAAAGAAAAATCATCTTATACATGGAAAAATACGGTATACTTTTAACTATGGATCACTATGAAGAAAGAGGACATGTGCTGGAAAAAAGGACACATGGCAACCCTAAAACTGTCGAAAGCCAGAGTGGCAACCCTAAAGTAAGCTGGACTGAGGTTTGCTAGACTGAGATTCAGCTAGCCAGAAACACTCATTTCACATTCACACCTGCACACCAGGCATGCAGGGAGGGTCTGTGCAGATGAAGTTGCCTCCCCCCCCCCCATCAACAAACCACAGACAAAGTTTGCCTCACCCCAGACACCATCATTCAGCTGCAGGCTTTTGAGACGTGGTGTTTCATCTGAGACAAGCAGCTTCCAAGAATTTTGCAGATCAAGACAGTGACAGCCTTTGAACACCCCAGTATTTTATGCCTCAACCACCTCCTCATTAATTCATACATCACACAGGCATCTTCTAGGTGTAGTTTTAGACATCTTAAAAAAGTTATTTAGACAAGCTTACTTTGCCACGTGAGTGACCTAGTTTTGCATTTTTTGCCTTGCTGTTTTTTTTACCTCAGACTTCATTATGTTGATTATGTACAGGAGTGCTCTAACTCCAAACATATAGCGGTATAGAAATTTATGCATAAATGAATACATATTTATACAGAAGATGCTAACTTCTTTTATTTATTACCTCTGCCTGCCACACTGCAATATAAACTTCTTTGGGGCAGTTTAGAATAAATAAGGTTTGAAAAAACAGCTAAAAGCAAAAAGCAAAAAGCAAAAGCAAAACAGAAAACCGTTTAGGGGAGGGAGAATCCTGCATTACTTGTTATTTATAAAGCTTGGATGAACAGAAAAGTCTCTGTCTGCTGCAAAAATGACCTCCAAGATAACACCACTTGAGCCTCCCTGGGAAATCTGTTCCATTACCAAGGGGCCACCACCAAAAAAGTCCCTCTCCTTAGTGGGGTCCAACAATACCTGGAGGCATCAGACTGACCCCCTTGGATGCTGGCATCCACCAGACATTCAGATGTTGGACACCCTCCAAGTGTCTCTGTTTTACAGATTTACAGAAGCTGTCGCAGTTTCTAATTTGTTTTTCCTTAGGACATCCCTATTTTCATCAGAGAAATGTTGGAGAGTATGGAGTTATGTGACCCCCTGAGCCAAGGAGATAACTAACTATACAACCTTTAGAAGACATCTGAAAGCAGCCCTGTATAGGGAAGTTTTTAAATGTTTAATATTTTATTATGGCTTTATTATGGTTTTATTATGGGACGTGAGTGGCACTGTGGTGTAAACCACTGAGCCTTGGGCTTTCTAATCGGAAGGTCTGCTGTTCGAATTCCCACGACGGGGTGAGCTCCCATTGCTCGGTCCCTGCTCCTGCCAACCTAGCAGTTCAAAAGCACATCAAAGTGCAAGTAGATAAATAGGTACCGCTCTGGCGGGAAGGTAAACGGCATTTCCGTGCGCTGCTCTGGTTCGCCAGAAGCGGCTTAGTCATGCTGGCCACATGACCTGGAAAAACTGTCTGCAGACAAATGTTGGCTCCCTCGGCCAGTAAAGCGAGATGAGCGCCGCAACCCCAGAGTCGTTCGCGACTGGACTTAGCTGTCAAGGGTCCCTTTACCTATATATCTTGGAAGGTGCCCAGAGCGGCTGGGGCAACCCTGTCAGATGGATGGGGTCAGTGCTTTTTTCTGGTGGCGACGCAGAGGGATGCATACCCCTAAACATTTTGTGAATATTTGTACTTTTGTCCGTTTACTGTATTTATTTTCCCTGATTTGAACTATAAAATGGTGGTTTTCCTTGAGTCAAAATGAGAGTACCCCTAAACATTTTTTAAGGAAAAAAAGCACTGGGCAGGGTATATATAAAACAACAACAATTGAATAAGATGTCCCTATTTTCATTGGATAAATGTTGGAGGGTATGTAATAATTTTATTATTTATGCCCCACCCATCTGACTGGGTTGCCCCAGCCACTCTGAGCGGCTTCCAGCAAAATATAAAAACGCAATAAAACATCAAACATTTTTTAAAATCCCTATAAAGGGCTGCCTTCGGGTGGACTACAAAACTTTTGTTGGACTACAAAACCCTTTGAATGCAGCCAGTGTGGCCAATGATCACGGAACTGGAGTCCTGCAACAGCAAAGTCGTGAGATTCAAATTCAATAAATAAAACACAACAACACTGTAGCCAACTGACCCCCAGTTAAAACTTCGCTTTGGCCACAAATGCACAAAGGGACCTCTGCAGAGACACTCTCTGGCTCAGCTGCTTAGGGCAGGGTGCTGATAATGCCAAGGTTGCAGGTTCAATCCTTGCATGAGACAGTTGCATATTCCTGCATTCCTACGATCTATGATTCTTTTGGCCTTCCCTGCAGGGCTGTCATTAGCCAGGGATGGAGCTGATGTCCTCATGATGTTCTCCAAGACTCCCGGCAGCCTGCACAGCGAGCAGTCAGGGATAGCGGGAGCTGTCGTCAACCAACGGGCACTAATACAATTTAAGCACTCTGACCGTTTGGCACGTGCCATTTTCAGACGCCGCTGTGCTAATATGATTGGCGTGGCCAGCTGGAATGCTCAGTGCCTGGCAGAAGCCCCCAGAGGGCCACTGGCCACGGCAGGCTCCCTGGCAATAAATCCCAGGGCATTAACACAATTAAACCGCATATGCGGAAAGGAGCCAGTTAGCGTCAGCAAAAAGGACTCGCTGCAGGTGCAAGGGGGGGGGGCCGCTGCTCCATGGGAGAAGGGCTTGCTTGGCCCTCCAGCAGGAGGGAGCTGGTTCCAAGTTGCTTATGCCAGGCATCCTGATAGCCCCATTGTGGGGTGGGGGGCAGAGGGAATGACTGGTGGCTCTCTAGTTGTTGGATTCTCAGTTCCCGTCAGCTCCAGCCAGCAGGATGCAATGTCCAAATTGGACCCAACCCTAGCCTGCATCGCTGGGAAGTTGGGTTGTGAAACGAGGGCACAATTTAGGAAGCCACAGAGAAGGACACACACAGAGACACACCTACAGGGTTGCTCCTAAAGGAGCGAAGCCCAGTTTTTCTTACCAGCTCACTGGCACTATGCCGAAAAGGACAATAGTTATGAACCGTAAAAACAAGCCTCAGTACAAAGGTCTTATGGCAAAGGCTTAAAGATAAGACCGGTTTGGCCCGTTTAATGTTGCAATCATTATAATGAGGTTTGCTGTAAAAAGGTGGTCTACTCTCTCATTCATAGTGTGAAGCGGCAGCAGCGGCAAAAAATAAAATAGGCTAATGCAATTCTAGGCTGCATCAGTAGAAGTCCAGAGTCCAGATCAAGGGAAGTGATAGTCCCACTCTATTCTGCCTTGTTCAGACCTCATCTGGGGTTCTGTGTCCAGTTCTGGGCACCCCAGAGAAAGAAGGCTAATGACAAGCCAGAAGGTCTGCAGAGGAGGGCAGCCAAGATGATGAACAGTCTGGGACTCAAACCTTAAGAGAAACGGTTGAGGGAGTTATAATATCAATATTATAATAAATTGTTGTTGTTATATTTTATTATTTATTATTTATACCCCGCCCGTCTGGCTGGGTTTCCCCAGCCACCCTGGGTGGCTCCCAACAGAATTAAAAGCACAATAAAACATCAAACATTAGAAACTTCCCTAAACAGGGCTGCCTTCAGATGTCTTCTAAAAGTCAGATTGTTGTTTATTTCCTTGACATCTGATGGGAGGGTATTCCACAGGGAGGGTGCCACTACCGAGAAGGCCCTCTGCCTGGTTCCCTGTAACCTCACTTCTTGCAGGGAGGGAACCACCAGAAGGCCCTCGGAGCTGGATCTCAGTGTCTGTGCTGGACGATGGGGGTGGAGACGCTCCTTCAGGTATATCGGGCTGAAGCTCTTTAGGGCTTTAAAGATCAGCACCAACACTTTGAATTGTGCTTGGAAACGTATATGGTCTCAGTGGCTACTCCCAGTCACCAGCCTAGCTGCCGCATTCTGAGTATGTTTAGCCTGAAGGAGGAGACCGAGAGGTGATATGAGAGCTGTCTTCAAATATCTGAAGGAGGATATTGGATATGGGAAATGGAGCAAGCTTGTTATTTGCTGCTCCAGAGGGTAGGGTCCAAAGCTGCTCAACAGTGGAATGGACTGCCTGAGAAGGTAGCCAAACTCTTCTTCACTGGAGTTTCCTAAACAGAGGTTGAATGCTCATCTGTTAAGGGTTCTTTAGCTGTGATTCTGGAATTGCTGGTGGTGGACTAGATGGTGCTTGGGGACAGCTTCGAACTCTACGATTCTATGACTGAATGATGGGCATCGGGATTCATCAATGTGGTACCTCTGGTTACGTACTTATTTCGTTCTGGAGGTCTGTTCTTAACCTGAAACTGTTCTTAACCTGAAGCACCACTTTAGCTAATGGGGCCTCCCACTGCTGCCATGCCGCCGCCGCGCGATTTCTGTTCTCATCCTGAAGTAAGGTACCCGAGGTACTATTTCTGGGTTAGTGGAGTCTGTAACCTGAAGCGTATGTAACCTGAGGTACCAACTGTATCTAGAGGGACAATACATGAAAGTCTTTCAATAAAAACTACAGTGGTACCTCAAGTTACATAAGCTTCAGGTTACAGACTCCGCTAACCCAGAAATAGTACCTTGGGTTAAGAACTTTGCTTCAGGATGAGAACAGAAATCACGTGGCAGCAGCAGGAGGCCCCATTAGCTAAAGTGGTACCTCAGGTTAAGAACAGTTTCAGGTTAAGAACGGACCTCCAAAATGAATTAAGTTCTTAACCCAAGGTACCACTGTATATCTATCTATCTATCTATCTATCTATCTGGATACAAGCTCCCCAACCCCAACACGATGCAATTTGCACCTCACTGACTCTCCCCTGCTTCAAAAAAGCAACCTTCCTCCTAACCCATAGGTAGGCAACCTAAGGCCTGGGAGCCAGACCCAACCCAATTGCCTTCTAAATCCGGCCTGTGGACGGTCCAGGAATCAGTGTGTTTTTACATGAGTAGAATGTGTCTTTTTATTTAAAATGCACCTCTGGGTTATTTGTGGGGCTTGCCTGGTGTTTTTACATGAGCAGAATGTGTGCTTTTATTTAAAATGCATCTCTGGATTATTTGTGGGGCATAGGAATTCCTTCATATATTTTTTTCAAAATATAGTCCGGCCCACCACTTGGTCTGAGGGACGGTGGACCAGCCCATGGCTGAAAAAGGTTGCTGACCCCTGTCCCATCTGCTCTTGGTCCCTCACCCCACCACCTGAGCCATCGCTCCCCTCCCATCACACCCAGTCTGCCTCACCGAAACTCATTGTCCTGCTTGGTGTGGGGCTGGCCGAGTCGCATCAGAAAGCTTTCCTTGGGATTCATGTTGCTGCTGCCCAGGTCCTGGGATTTGGGGGGCTGCCGGAGCCTGCCATACGAGACGATGTCCTCCGACTCAGCCTTGGAGAGCATGGCAGACTTAGAGGGGCCCACCCTTCCTCCGCCCGAGATGTACTCGCTCGAGATGGCTTTCGGGAGGGACATGGGCCGGTGCGAGGAGCCGGAGCGACCCAGGTAGATGTGGTCGCTGGATTCGGCCTTTGGGAGTGTGTCCTTGAGTTCCACCGTGGCGAGGATGCCAGAGGTCACTGGGTCCAGGCCGCAAAGTTCTGGGAGCACACCCCGGCTGGGGGACTGGCTGAGTTTCATGGAGGGAGAGACGTTGGACTGGGTTGACGAGCTGCCGGAAGCTGGAGACAATGGCCGTAACTCTACCGGAGAACGCAGGTTTGGGGTGTTGAACGCATGGACTCCCCCAGAGCCCTCCGGCTGGGCTCTGTTGAGATCCAAGGAGAGAGGCTGGTTCTGTCTCTCAGATGCCGAATGGCGAGACCCGTCGGGCTGCAACCGGGTGTGGAAAGAGTCAAAGAGCGAGTCGGGCCTAGTCCCACTTGGCAGGTTTCCTCCAGTATACACAGCATTGTTGGATCCCTCAGGCTGGTACCGGACTGTCCCATCTGAGGCGTACTGGTTGCTGGCAGGAGAGAACAGCCCTGGCGATGCCAATCCTGTGATACTGTTGCGTGGAGACACCGGCTGGGACCCGATGGGGGAGGGCGGGCCTTGGTCCCTGCTGCCACGGTGACTGGACTCCATCTTGAAGAAGAGGGGAGAAAAGGGCAGAGCACATTAGACAGCCGCGTGGCATGTGAGGCCCTGCCTGCCAGCCTATCTTCACGCAGAGATGCCCACAATGACCCTGGCAGGCGCGAGGAACCCGTCTCAGTTTTGCCCACAAATTCTGCAGCGGCGTCCGCAGAGCAGAGCCAAGCAAGGTCATGGCTAGAGCCAGGCTCTGATGGGAATTCTCTGCAAGGAGGTTTTTGCAATATATCTGGCATGTCCCTGTGGAGTCACTGCAACCTCCTTCCTTCTCGTCTTCTCTTCCAGGGCTGGCTAGGATCACATGGCCCATGCAAGAGAACCTCCCTGACTCTTAACCTCAGGAATGGACAGACAGAGGGTACACCATGTCTCTGTATACAAAGGCTGCCCTTTGAGATGACCTGGGCTCTCAGCATCCACTCCTAACCCTGCCCTCTTCTTCATGTTCACCAGACCTTCTGAAGAAGCCCTTGTAGCACCCTGGGGCAATGAACTCCAGGCGGCAATTGTGACACAGCGTGAATTCCTTCAGATACCAGGCAGCTTGCTCCCAGCCCAAATTCAATAGAAACTGGGAACACAGGAAACTACCTTCTACTGAATCAGACCATTGGTCCAGCCAGCTTGGTGTTGCCTCCACTGACTGGCTCTCCAGAGTTTCAGTCTCTCCTAGCCTTGCCTGGAGATGCCAGGGACTGAACCCGGGACCTTCCACATGGAAAAAATAAATAAATACTCTGCCACTGAACGCCAGCCCTTTCTCCAAGTTGTTTTCAGTGACACACCAGTTTCCGTGGTTCCCAACAGCCTTTGACAGCTCCCTGCTCTTATTCCAGATTGACATAACTACCACACACACAGGCGCCTACAACATGGGTGGTTAGCCGGTCACCCTCCAGATGTTACTGGACTCCCATCATCCCTGACCCTTGACTAAGGGGTTAACAGGAGCTGGAGTTCCAACAATGAATGGACAGGGCCCAAGGGAACTGTCCAATTCCTGAAGTTCCCATGGGCCCCCCACCCCACCCCATAGCAAAGGAGTGATTATCGTGAATTTCAGGTCAGATCTGAAACGCATCGAGAGACTTCATTTCCCTGACGCTTCCTGGCACAGTACCCAAACCCATCCAAACAGGGAGAATTCATGGCCTTCCTCTGATGAATCACTTTCCATGCCACCATGCCCAGATTCTCCGGGTGGCAGGAGGTTGGCATCGCTTTCCTGTGCCAACAGCCGTGGAACGTTGGGGCTGAGGGTTCTCTCTCCTGGGAAAGAAGCTTGGGCAAGTGGCCAGTGGCCAGCCAGGGTCTGAAGGGGGAAGGTTAGGGTTCAAGGTTATGACTGGTGAAGCCCTATATGGTTGGGACCTAGGCTACCAGAAAGACCGTATCTCCCTCTATGAACCTGCCCAGGTGGCACAACCCTCAGGTAAGCACCTCCTCTAGGTTCCAACAACATCAGAGGCACAGCTTTTGGTGACACGAGGGAGAGCCTTTTCAGAGACTGCACCCAGATTGTGGGATTCCCTCCCCAGAGAGGATAAGCTGGCTCCCTCTGCCAGCAAGCTAAGACCTTCCTGTTTCAAAGGCAGGCCTTTGAAAATTGTCACACAGGTGATGCTGAAGGCCGGGTGGCTGTCAGGGCAAACTGGGTTTGAACTGCTGGCTCCAAATATGTTCTGATGTGGTTTAATAACTATTTTTAACTAGTTAGTTCTCATTAAATGTAAAGGTAAAGGGACCCCTGATCGTTAGGTCCAGTCACGGACGACTCTGGGGTTGTGGCGCTCATCTCACTTTATTGGCCGAGGGAGCCAGCGTACAGCTTCCAGGTCATGTGGCCAGCATGACTAAACCGCTTCTGGCAAACCAGAGCAGTGCACGGAAACGCCGTTTACCTTCTTGCCGGAGTGGTACCTATTTATCTACTTGCACTATGTGCTTTCGAACTGCTAGGTTGGCAGGAGCACCTTCTGATCAGCAAGTCCTAGGCTCTGTGGTTTAACCCGCAGTATAGAAATGATAATCATCATCATCATCATCATCCCAACGGTCCTCTCTAGACCAACCCTGGCAATGCAAGAATAACAACTAAAGACCACCACCCAAACTCTGCCTTAAAAACCTCCAACAAAAGAGATTCAACTACCTTCCAAAGCAGTCTGTTCCACCATCTTACAGCTCTATTATTATATTAAGTCATTTTTTAAATTATGTATAATCAGTAATTAGTTATTATTATAAGAAGCACTGTAATAATACATTCAATATCACCATATCGGGGAAAGAGCCCTTGCCTGCCTCCTTTTTTTTTTTTTAAACCAGACTCTAATTGCCTTGATAGCTTGGACAAAGAAACCGACTGAGTCAGGCTAACAGCAAATCAATATTCAACAATCTCCCCATACACAGCGAGAGGGTCTTCCCTGCAATGCCCCCAACATATGCAGACAGCATTCCGTAAACAAGAATCAACAGTCCCCACCCCAGTTTCAGAGCAGAGAAACTAGCCAGCCACAGGGGCTAGGGCCATAGCTCAGTGGAAAAGCTCCTACATAATTGCATGCAGAAGGTATTGGGTTCAATCCCTGGCCTCTCCAGATGAGGCTGGAAATGTCCTGTGTTCGAAAACTGCTGCCAATGCAAACTATATTGAGCTAGATACTGAGCCTCGGTGTAAGGCAACTTCTTGTATTCTTATTACATAGGACTTATGCCAGGGTTAGACTCTTTGCCCAACAGAGAGCTGGTGTGGCACAGCAGTTAGAGTGTCAGACTAGGACCTGGGAGACCAAGGTTCGAATCCCCGCTTCAGTCATGAAGCTCCTTACCTTGGGCCAGTCGCTGCCTCTTGGCTCACAGGGCTGTTGTGATTATAAAATTGGGGAGGGGACGAGGGAGCTCCTTGGAGGAAAAGTGGAATAAGTTTAAAGATAAATACATAGGTTGAGCTTTTAACATCATGATCATACAGACTGTGCTTTTTGCACTGTGGTTTAACAATCCCTCTTCGCAGGGAGCGGTGCGAACTGTAACTCTGTGATGGGAATAGGGAAGTCTCCTAACAGCTCTCAGCACCTCCAACAAACTACAGCTCCCAAAATTATTATTTGAGGGGAGGGGAGTCATGGTCGCTCAAAGAGGTATTGCAGTGTTTTAAATGGATGGGGCAAATGTGACCTAACATGGCTTCTCACTCCAGAAACCTTTTCAAAGTGTGGAAGGCAGGGACTGGAGGCTGGAGCGTCTGTGCGGGCTTCACCAGTGAGTTGCAGCCTGCTCCTGTCGGAGAGGCCTGAGGCCTTCAGCCTCCCAGAAAGACCCACCGCCAACACCTGCACTAGAAGACGAACGGTGCTGACAGCACTGTCCAAGAGAAACGCACTCTGCACATGCTCTTGAGCGCTCCCTTGTTGGCAATGACATCGCTCGTCTCTGGGGCTCAAAACCTGGTAGTAAAATGAGCTCTGAGGCTCAGATCCTGCGTGTGAGCAAAGAACTACATGGAGATTTTGAAAGAGCTGGACCACCGACTCTAAACTTCAATACAGGGTTAACCCCCCCCACACACACACACTTTTCTTGCCCTCGGGAAATCTTACAGGAAGTAATTTCAACACTGTATTCATTACATGCTAAATCCTCAAAGAAAGAAAAGATTAACCTTTCTCCAAGCTTCCTTGGGCTGACCCCTCCTTCCCTTGCACCCCACAAATGGGGGGAAAAGCAGCTTTTTTAGCTTTCTGAGGAAAAGTCCCTCCTGCCTCAGTTTCCCCATCTGAGCACTTAATATATTTATTGCATTTTTTTCCACGGAGCTCAAGGTGGGATGGAGAGGGCTCCTTCTCTTTAAGCCACACAACCACCCTCTGGGGTGGGTATCGGCTGAGAGACAGCGACCACCAGCCCAAGGTCAAGTGGGGATTTGAACCCGGGTCTCATCAGACACTTTTACCTCTATGCCGCACTGGTTTGCCCAACTGCAAAAAGGGAGTCCGCTAGGGCTCACAATCAAAATCAGTGGAGGCTGGTTTATTAGTGCCATTGTGGAAAACGGCCCCACCAACCTCAGCCAGCCCCCACCTGCCAGCCTTCTTAGAGACATCCGGTCCAGGGGGTGGCACTGCCAAAACCGCTTCCTCCTCCTCCTCTGTCAGTGTTGCCCTTGGCAAACTCAGCGCGGAGGAGGATGGGGACAACACAAAACTAGAATGAGATGGTGCTGTCTATTGAGGGGAGGGCAGCCCCCGCTTTCCACCCCAGCAGCCCCAACTAGCACCACCTGCCATAGAGGATTGGTGGGCACCTTCTGCCCTCCACAGTGCCCATCTCTCACAGCTTACGTGCCCTTCATTTCCCTTCCCCTCTCTCTCCTGCTCTGCCCGGCTGGATGCAGAGCTCCCAGTCCTGCTGACAGCGAGAAAGGTAGAGGACGTCCTCTCTTCCCAGCTCCCTTTCCCCAGAAGAGAGCTTCCTCTCCCCGCCTCCCCTCCCTCTCTGCCTAGGCCTGCCCAATGCCCGCCTTGCTGCTACTGCTGCTGCCAGGTGGGCATATTCGTTCACCTTGGCATCCATGCTTTTGTATCTCCCGAAAGCAGGAAGCGGGCACAGAGTGCCTGCGGCAGGCAGACCCCGGGCGCTTTTGCACCAGCAGGAGGAGAGAGGAAAAGGGGGTGTTTGCTCGACAGTGCCAGCTGCAGACTCAAAAAAAAAAAAAAGGATTTGCCCGCAGACCAGCTGGCACTAGAATGGGCAAGGGCACCAAAGGAGTTTGGCCCCAGCAAGAGCTGGAGAAAAGGGATGGGGGAAAGGTGTAGCTTAGACACCAGGATGGCAGCTGGCAAGGGGGGTGTAACGAAGGGGCATCCAGGAAAGATTTAAAAGGCACATTTTCCTGGAAAGATGACATGGGACATCTGGTGGCATCAGACAGGGGGTGTCCATGTAAACCCACCACTTCTGCAAAGCCCCTCGTTCAACCCCACACACCCAATCTACACACACACACACCCCATCTGAAACAAAGGCCATGTAGGCGTTTAAAGCTGACTTTCAAGATTCCTCCATCTGCCGTTATCCTTACTTCACCCCAACCCCCCCCCCCCCGTCTAAAATTAGATTGTAAGCCGTTTGGGGCAGGGAACCACCCTTTGCATATTTTGCTCTACAGAGCCCCCTGTCACTAATTGATTATAATATTATGCCAATGTTGATGATGATGATAGTAATGATAATAATAGCAAGGGAGATGGCCTTAGCAGAGTAGGGGGGTTGTGTGGGGTGGGGGGGTCTGGCTGTCCATCACCACTATGTCACCCTCTTCCCCATAAGCAAAGGCTGAGAGCCAGCAGGTTGTCGTGGTTAGAATGTCTGGCTGAGACCAGGGTTCAAATCCTCCACTCAGCCACATGAAACTTACTGGGTGATCTTGGGTGCCAAACCAGTTTCACAGGGTTGTCCTGAGGAATAAATAAGGGGGGGAGGAGATCTGAATCCCTTGTTCAGCCACAGAACTCATTGGGTGATCTTGGGTGCCAATCACTGCCTCTCAGCCTAGCCTACCTCACAGGGTTGTTGTTGCGGGGGTTAATTGAGGGGAGAACCACATATACCACCTTGAGCTCATCGGAGGAAAATAAGGTAGGATATAAATGTTATGAGCAGATAATAAACAAGCAAGCAGGCAAGCAAGCAACCTGGAATCTGGGGCAGGGGGAGGAGAGAACAGAGCGCCTCTTGGAAACAGCGGCAGAGCCCAGCTCGCTACAATGGGCACCTCAGAGTCTTCCTGCAAGGAGGGGGAAATCCATCCCAGACCGATCCAGAAAATAGGCAGCCCCAGAATGCACACCTGTCAGAATCGGAAGCTCACCCTTGCACCGAATGGACCACCACACGCACGCTAAAAAAAGGGGGTGGTGGCAGGAGGGGGTCCCTTCTCAAAACCTGGCTGGCGCTTCTGAGATCCTGTGCTCGGTGGTCTTCAAGCATCCCCCGTCCCACCTCCCCGGTGCTGCGAGCACTCACACGTGCGCGCACACAATGGACAGATAAGCTCCTCTGAACGAACCCCCCCCCCCGCAATGCTTAAGAACCAGCCCCCTCCACCCACCACCCCACACCCAGAAGCCAGCCCCCTCCTTTCTGCCCAGACTCTGCGTGTACCCATTTCCCAGAGGAGGTGGGGGGATGAGCGAGCCAGACAGCCGCTCGCTAAGTCCCGGGAGGCTCCCCCTCCCACGCACCCGCAGCGTGCCTAACTTACACACCTGAGCCCCCATGATGGGATTCCGGAATCCTGGCTCCCTCCCCACCGTCGCCCCTTCGCCTCCCCAGCCAGGGCCACCTTCGCCTTCTCCTTCACCTGCCCGGCCATTGGCTCCGGGGCCCGCCGGCTCCGCCAATGGCCTCCGTCCACCTGCGGCCAGGAGGGGGAAAGGCCGGCCCCGTCCGCGCTCACCTGGCGCCGCTCGGACGCCCCCGAGGCGGCTCGGCCCCTGGCCAGCGCCTGCTTCCTCCGGCTGCTGTTGGCGCTGCTGAGCGGCGGCGGCGGCGGCGGCGGCTGCTGCTCCATCGCGTGCGCAGCTCCTTCCCCGGCGATGCTGAGCTCCCTCCCGCAGCCCGGGCAGCCCGTGACGTCACCGGAGCCGGCAACCTGCCGGAGGATTTAAAGGCACAGGAGCGCGCTGCGGCCAGCCGCGGGGGGGCGCTGCGGAAAAGAAGCGCGGCTTTCCTTTGCTAAAAATATAAGCAGCTAGTCCTCGTGAGCGGCAGGCGCCGGAAAGCGGCGCCGGAGGAGATTCCCAACGGAGTCCGATGATGATGATGATGATGATACAGCGGTACCTCGGGTTACATACGCTTCAGGTTACAGACTCCGCTAACCCAGAAATAGTACTTCGGGTTAAGAACTTTGCTTCAGGATGAGAACAGAAATCGTGCTCCGGTGGCGCGGCAGCAGCAGGAGGCCCCATTAGCTAAAGTGGTGCTTCAGGTTAAGAACAGGTTCAGGTTAAGAACGGATCTCCGGAACGAATTAAGTTCTTAACCCAAGGTACCACTGTAATAACAACAACAACAACAACAACAAAAATATTATTTATATCCTGCTCATCTGGCTGGGTTGGAAGGGCTACTGCTCCTTGATCTTTCCAAGCAGGAGTGCCAGCTTGAATACAGTGGTACCTTGGTTCTCAGACTTAATCTGTTCCGGTAGTCCGTTCCAAAACCAAAGTGTTCCAAAGCCAAGGCACGCTTTCCCATAGAAAGTAATGCAAAACGGATTCATCCTTTCCAGACGTTTAAAAACAACCCCTAAAACAGCAGTTTAACATGAATTTTACAGTACTATCTAACGAGACCATTGATCCATAAAATGAAAGCAATAATCAATGTACTGCAGTCACACAATCAATCAATCAATCAATCAGTCAATCAGTAGCTGAACTGGGTTCCACACAGTCACAAAAACAAAACAAAAAAGTGCCGCAAAATAAATAGCAAAAACAGACAGACCTCAGCATAACACTCAAAATGGAAGCGTGGCACTCAAATCGGAAGCATAACACTTAAAACAGAGCACTTTTGGCTTCTGAAAAAAGTTCGCAAACCAGAGCACTTCCAGGTTTGCAGTGTTTGGGTTCCAAGTTGTTTGAGTACCAAGGCATTTGAGAACCAAGGTACCACTGTGAAATATTGGAGGGCCCATGTAAGCCCCACTATGGGCGTAGCCAAGGGGGAGGCAGGTGGGCAGCTGCCCACCTAAATCAATCAAAATCAATACAAATCAATACAAATCTGAGGTTTCCCACCCCCCACCCCAACAAAAGCCTGCCCCCTAACGAAAATCCTGGCTACATCCATGAGCCCCGCCCCACAGAATTCATCACAAGACATGGCACAGGGACAGCATTTGAATGGCAATGTCCATCAACTTTGAAGGGGCTTGGCCCCCTCAATTGGGGGGAGAGGGTGGCAGAAGGGACCTCGGCCCCTAGGAGTTGGCTCCTATTTTTCTAAGTCAGAGTGTACCCGAGGCAGGTCAACTTATTGTGGCACCTGAATCTCACAAGAAGTACCCCTTCTTGGGAGGAAGAGGAGAGGTACTACTACTAAAGGTAAAGGGACCCCTGACCATTAGGTCCAGTCGTGGCCGACTCTGGCGTTGCAGCGCTCATCTCACTTTATTGGCCGAGGGAGACAGCATACAGCTTCTGGGTCATGTGGCCAGCATGACTAAGCCGCTTCTGGCAAACCAGAGCAGTGCACGGAAACGCCATTTACCTTCCTGCCGGAGCGGTACCTATTTATCTTGGACATGCTTTCACACTGCTAGGTTGGCAGGAGCAGGGACCGATCAGCGGGAGCTCACCCCGTCATGGGGATTCGAACCGCCGACCTTCTGATCGGCAAGTCCTAGGCTCTGTGGTTTAACCCACAGCACCACCTGCGTCCCAACTACTAATGATAATAATAATAATAACGCTAATATAACTCTTATAGAAAAAACTGGGGTTGGCTTTTACAGCCCAACTCTCCGTCAAGGCATTCAGTGTCCCCCTAAGTTATTGGTCAGAGGTAACTGAGTAGAGGCAGGATCCAGGGAATGCGAGGAAGAGCTTTATTTTTTCTGTGGCAACAGCTGATGATATTTTGCTGCAGTTTCGTGCACACGTGCTGGCTGGGGGTGATGGAAGCGATCTCCCCAAATGGCCATGCTTGCTGGGGGGCCAGCTGGGGGTGGGGTCCAGGTCAGGGGAGGCTGTTTTGACCCCTGCAAGGTTGCTGCTTCCTCCTGTTTCTCTCTCCTTTTTCTCGGTTGCACTTCAAACTAGGTCACTGTCCCAAAGAGAGGGGTGCTGCTGCTGTTTTTTTTGCCCTTTTACAGCCCTTCAGCGCTAAAGCACACATATCCACTCACCCACCCCATCGTCTTGTTTCTATTGATTATATGTAAGGCACACTGGCTCTCCGCTGCAGGGCAGGGTGAAAAACGTTTCAGACAGGAAAATAAATAGCCCATCTCGTTCGCCGACCTTCCCAAAGTCACGGATGCATGTGCCCTTCCTTGCTTGATTCAGTTCGGCTGCGGATCGGCATGTGTGGAATCCGGTTCGATTCCTTCTTTGCCGAAATCGATCAACAGATGTCCTGTTTGAATTCCAGGCGGCTCTGAGTGCACGGACGCCCCCACCAACATTTGGCCACTGTGAGAACAGGATGCTACACTAGATGGCCCGGTCTGGCAAGACCCTTCTTATGGAGGGCGATTCCGATAGAACCTCCATGCTCAGGCACAGTCTACCTCTGTATACCAGAAAATAGGGAGAGCGACAATCGGAGAGTACTGCCGCACTCAGGTACTGCCATTTGGGATAGTTCAATTGGTAGAGTGTGAGGCTCTTAATATCAGGGTTGTGGGTTCGAGCCCCACATTGGGGCAAAAGATTCCTGCATTTCAGGGGGGTTGAGCTAAATGACCCTTGTGGTCCCTTCCAACTCTATGATTCTTTGCTTGGCGGGCTTCCCATAATGGGCATCTGATCAGCCACTGTGAGAACAGGATGCTGGACTAGATGGCCCATCGCAGCAGGGCTATGTTCTTTTTTTATATACATATAATTTTTTATTAAATTTTCTTTTTTACACTCTAGAATATTCATTTAAACAACCTTAAAATGTCAATGACTTCCCTTCCTCTCTTTCCATGGTTCATTTTGCATTATATCATAAATCCCTGCATATTTTACATAAACTAAACCATTCAGTATTCCATTATTACATCCAACACAACTTGTTTACACTGTTGAATTTATCTTAATGCTGCCAATGTTTTCACATGTACACAATTTGCCCCCATACATTCAATAAACATTTCCCAATCTTCTATGTTCTTATCATTGTCACTTGCTTGCCTCTGTTACAAGCAGGTGTGTCAAGGAGATCCCAATGCCATGAAGACTGGAGAAGATGCCTCCAGAATCTCTGGAGAAGCAATGCCTGGGCTGCCCACAGCAGAGGACCTGAAGCAGCTCCTCTCTCACCTGCAGACTCAGGGATGGGATGTCTTCCCTGGTCACTCCACACAAGGCTTCAGTTGGCTGGAGCTCCCTGCAGAGGCAACATGTCTTGGGCATAAGCATAATTACCTGGCTGCTGGATCAGGCCAATGGACCATCTAATCCAGCATCCTTGTTCTCACAGTGGTCAACCAGATAGATAAAAGGTAAAGGACCCCTGGATGGTTAAGTCCAATCAAAGGTGACTGTGGGGTTGCGGCGCTCATCTCGCTTTCAGGCGGAGGGAGCCGGCATTTGTCCACAGACAGCTTTGTGGGTCATGTGGCCAGCAGGACTAAACTGCTTCTGGCACAACAGGACGCTATGATCAGTGGCGGAGCTTCATGCTCTGGCACTGGGGGGCGGAGAGCAGGCTGGGGTGGGGCTGGCGCATGTCCTGGGGACGTGGTGTGCTGCCCGTAGGGGCGTGGCTCCCAGCATGGGCAGGGGAGCAGTAAAATGGCACCCCACTGGGATTGCGCTGCCGGGGGCGGTGCACTCCCCCCGCATGCCTCTTCCTCTGCCAGTGACTGCGATGGAAGCCAGAGCGCACGGAAACACCATTTGCCTTCCCGCCGCAGCAATACCTATTTATCTACTTGCACTGGTGTGCTTTCGAACTGCTAGGTTGGCAGGAGCTGGGACAGAGCAACGGGAACTCACTCCATCATGGGGATTCGAACTGCCGACCTTCTGATCGGCAAGCCCAAGAGGCTCAATGGTTTAGTCCACAGCGCCACCCACATCCCATGGCCAACCAGATACCCCTATAAGAAACTACAAGCAGGATTCGAGCACAGAAGCACTTCCCCCTCTTGTGGCTTCCAGGAACTGGTATTCAGAAGCATTGCTCCCTCCAACCATGGAGTCAGAGGAAAGCCACCATGGCTAGTAGCCACGGATAGCCTTCTCCTCCATGGATTTGTCCAGTCCTCTTTTAAATTATTATGATTATTTATCAAACTTGTATGCCGACCTTCATGCACAGATCTCAGAAAAACAATATATTATTTAAAACGCTCTAAGTTGGTGGCCATCACTGCCTCCTGTGGCAGTGAGTTCCACAGTTTATGCACTGTGTGAAGATGGACTTTATTTCCAACTTCCAACATCCACCTTCATTGGATATCCATGAATTCTAGGACTACAGCAGGGGGAGGGAAAACTTTTTCTAGCCCTCTTTCTCCATGCAATGTGTGGTTTCATAAACTTCTATCATGACACCGCCTACTTGTCTTTTCTGTAAACTAAAAAGCCCTAAATGGTAGAATTGGAAGGGACCTTGAGGATCATCCTTGAGGATCATGCAGGAATATGCAGCTGTCCCATACAGGGATTGAACCTGCAGCCTTGGCGTTATCAGCACCACGCTCTAACCAACTGAGCTATCCACGCTGCAGCCTCTCCTCCTCCTTCCACCCCCTGGATCACTTTGCTTGCCTCTCATGAACCTTTCCCAACTCTGCAATAGCCTTTTTGAGGTGAAGCCGCATGAACAGTGCAGGGTCCCTTGGAGCTGTCCAAGGTCCTGGTGCTAGCTGTGCTCTTCTGGACTGGGTTGCTCCTGTGAGACTCAAGCTCCCCCCAGACCTGGACAGAGCAGGGAAATCTCACGTTGATGGACAGCTAAAGCCCTCATGATGGCTGAGAGGCTTCCATTGCAAGGATGGAAGGACCACAATCTTCCTCCAGGTCTCCCTGCCCTTCCTGGGTTTGAATGCATGGCTTATCAGAGTCGATTTCATTCAGACACCGGTTTGGATATTTGGGCTGCCTGCATTAATATACAAAGCTACATCAGTACAGTATTCTTATTGTCAAGGTCATCTTGCAATGGATTTTTGTTGTCTGTTGTTGTGTTTTGTTTTGTTTTTAAGTTAACATTACTATTTTATCATTTGTTTTCTTTCTTTTTACTTTTCTATTAGATTCACAATTTTAAAAAATTATTATTTTTTCTTTATTTGTTGAATTTATATACTGTACCGCCCTATACCCGGAGGTCTCAGGACAGTTCACAGAAAATAGAAGGAAGGGTGGGGGGAAGGTTGAGGGCTGCCTGTGCCCCCACCCCACCCACTGCCAGGCTTTTCTCTGTAGATCCCCTGGGATCCTCCCTGCTCTGTGCTTTTGGTCTGGCTGGGATGAGTCCTTCAGCTGCAAAAATGAGCAGGTTGAATCCATACATTCCAAGCACATTCAACACTCATTTAAAGCACATGACATCCGCCCAAAATGTCCCCTGGGAGCTGTCATTTGTTTAGGGTTCTTTGAATTGTAGCTAGTGGGGCAGAAACTACATTTCCCAGGATCCTCATTGGAGAGGAAGGTGTGTTGAATGTGCTTTAAATGTATGCATAGACCTGCCTTGATATCAGCTCTTCCTTGCCTGGAACCTCAGAGAGCTGCTGCCAGTCAATGCAGACAACACTGAACTAGATGGACCAGTGGTCTGACTCAGTGCAAGGCCTGTTTCTGCTTCAGAAGGGCAATAGCTCAGTGGTAGAGCATCTGCTTTGCATGCAGAACGTCCCAGGTTCAGACCTCAGCACCATCTCCAGGTTAGGGATGGGAAAGCGAACCCTGCCTGAAAATCTGGAAAGCTGCTGCCTGTCAGTGCAAACATTACTGAGCTAGGTGGACCCAGTGGTCTAATGTAGTGTAGCGAGGGGCTGCAGCTCAATGGTAGAGCATCTGCTTTGCATGCAGAAGGTCCCCAGTTAAGTCCCTGGTATATCCAGTTTGGGCTGGGGGAAGGCTCCCTGCCTGGACCCTGGGCAGCTGCTGCCAGTCAGTGTTGACATTACTGAGCTAGATGGACCACTGGTCTCACTCAGTATAAGGCAGCCTTCCTGTGTGCTTTTGTTCCTGTCTTTGAATATACTGAATATGATAATATTTTTTTCTCTTGTTAATTATGCTGTTTTCAATGTGCATTTTATATTTGACTTCAGTTAGCAATTTTTTTTGAAATGTTTAAGATTTATTTTTGTTAACTTTGTTTGTATTAAATATTCTCTAGTTCACCTCCTTTCTAATGTTTTATTTTGAAATCTAATATTTTAGTTTTCTGTTAATTATGCTGCTTTGACTGTATACTCTATATTTGACTTTCTTCAGAAATGTTTGGTTTTGGATTGTATTATTGATGTTTTAATATGCTGTAAACAGCTTTGAGATTTTTCTTAAAAATACAAAGCGGTATTGAAATGAAATGAAATGAAATGAAATGAATGTTTCAGCCATTGCACCACCCCAGCTCACATATCCGGAAGTATTTATTTCCCATGCAGTGTCCTTTTCCTTTACAACAGGTGCACAGACCGCAATGAACTTTGGATGGCCTCAAGGCTTTTTCCTGAGCATCACACACACAGACACACACACACATATATAACCTTTCAAGCATGCGCCAAACTCTCTGGGGCTGAGCGCTCAGCACAGGGAGGAATCTCTGCCCCCTCGTGGTTCATGGCAGAACTGCAGCCACATGGCTGATCTCAGAAAACCCTTCCAGACTGAGGCTCTTTTCCAGTGGGATTCAGTCCCATCCAGGCTGTGCAATCCAAGTTCATTTGGTGCATCTGTAGTAATGCACCAGAAAACGTGGGATCAATAAAAACTTGAGACAATGGCATCTCACCTCCCCACAACAAATCAGAATGCGTGCCCAATAAGGAGATTGTCTGGAAGTACAGTGGTACCTCGGGTTAAGTACTTAATTCGTTCCAGAGGTCCGTTCTTAACCTGAAACTGTTCTTAACCTGAAGCACCACTTTAGCTAATGGGGGCTCCCGCCCCTGCCGCACCGCCGAAGCACAATATCTGTTATCATCCTGAAGCAAAGTTCTTAACCCGAGGTACTATTTCTGGGTTAGCAGAGTCTGTAACCTGAAGCATCTGTAACCCGAGGTACCACTGTAGTCAGAGACAACAACAAGGAAAAAGCAGATCACCGCGATAACATTTAGGCCTGGTCTGCCTGTGTAGTAGAATCATAAAAAAGTATAGGAGGAAATCACATTTTGGGATGCTCTCAGTCCCCACGCAGAAACAACATCCCCTGCAAATTAAACTAGCATTATGCGAAGGGAGGAAAGTCTAGTTTAGCCTGCTTCCTGATGTGCTACTTTTCCACTTGCAGGGGGAGCGTGTGTCTTTAGGGTATGGGAGCTTTCAAAAATAGGGCACAGCCTTTTGTACCCTCTTATCCAGCTGCTTCTGCAGACCAGGACTCCTCTGTTGGGGTGGGGTCTCCCAAAGGCACCAGGATGCAGGCCGAGGTGGGCCACGGGCCTGATCCTGCCCAGCTCATCTTATGTTGCACCACACAGTGGTTCTGCGTGAATGTTCAGGCTACCTTGGAAAGACTAAAAACTCAATGTGATTATGGCCCTCACAGTCCTCATCACCTGGCCCCCAGGACTCTCCCCAGCCTGTGCTTACACTCCCTATAAGCCCTGCTCCAGACCTCCCCGAGTGCTTCCACCCACATGGAGCACATCCTTTACACTGGCTGGATGAAAGGTGGAAAGACGTTTCTGTCCAAACCTCCGACTTGCGTAGCTGGAATGCAGCCAAACTGTATGAAGGCAGGAGTTGCATTCGTGACTCCACCCATGTTTGCCTCTGGCCTCAACCATCCCTGGTGTGCGGCCCCCAACTGGCTGCCCACAAGGGAATGCGGCCCCCCCAGGCTGAAAGAAAGGTCCCCTAATATAAAGGTGATGCCCTATTGCTGGTTTTGGAATCCTACCCCCCCACACACACCGCTGAGACTTGCAATATTTCTCTAATTAGAGGTTTCTCTGCTGCTCTGACATTCATTCCAGAATACGTTCCCACCCCCTTCCATGCTTTGATCGCTGTTCCAGAACAGCTTGCATTGGTTATTATTAGGCTCTGTAATTGAACCTGAGAGGTCGAGGGTTCCATACCCTCCAACATTTCTCCAATGAAAATAGGGGTGTCCTATCTAATAATAGGAACGCAGGTGGCGCTGTGGGTTAAACCACAGAGCCTAGGACTTGCCGATCAGAAGGTCGGCGGTTTGAATCCCCACGACGGGGTGAGCTCCCGTTGCTCGGTCCCTTCTCCTGCCAACCTAGCAGTTCGAAAGCACAAAGTGCAAGTAGATAAATAGGTACCGCTCTGGTGGGAAGGTAAACGGCGTTTCCGTGCGCTGCTGTGGTTCGCCAGAAGTGGCTTAGTCATGCTGGCCACATGACCCAGAAGCTGTACACCGGCTCCCTCAGCCAATAAAGTGAGATGAGCGCCGCAACCCCACAGTCATCTGCGACTGGACCTAATGGTCAGGGGTCCCTTTACCTTTTTATCCCATAATAATAATGTTACTATTTATACCCCACCCATTGGACTGGGTTGCCCCCCAGCCACTATGGGCACCTTCCAAGATAGATAAAAACATTAAACATTTTTAAAAATGAAAACTTCCCTATACAGAGCTGCCTTCAGATGTGTTCTAAAGGTTGTCCAGTTACTTATCTCCTTGGCTTGCATAACTCCATACCCTCCAATATTTTGATGAAAATAGGGGCGTCCAGTGCTTTTTTTCTGGGGGGGCGCAGGGGTACGCATACCCCTAAACATTTTGTGAATCTTTGTACTTTTCTCCATTAATGTATTTATTGTTCCCCCATTTGAACTATAAAATGGTGATTTTTTTCTTGAGTCAAAATGAGAATACCCCTAAACATTTTTTTAAGGAAAAAAGCACTGGGGATGTCCTAAGGAAAAGTGGGACATTCCGGGTTCCAGTCAAAAACTGGGATGGCTTCTCTAAAAATCAGGGACATCCCTGGAAAACAGGGACATTTGGAGAGTCTGAGGTTCCCATCTCACAGTGGCCAACCAGATGGGAAGCCCATAAGCAGGAACTGAACCCAACAGACACTGCTCCCCAGCTCAGCCACAATAACATAAACAGAATCCACTGGATCAGGCCAGCAACCCATCTCGTCCAGCATCCTGTTCTCACAGAGGCCGACCAGAGGCCTGTAGGAAACCCTCAAGCACGATATGAGTGCCTACAGCGCTCTGTCTACCTGTGGTTCCTAGCAATGTTCAGAAGCATTGCTGCCTTTGTCCATGGAAGCAGAGCATAACCATCATGGTTAGCAGCCACTGATAGCCTTGTCCTCAAAACATTTGCCTAAACCTCTTTTCGAGCCATCTGGGTGGGTGGCCATCGATGCCTCCTGTGGCAGGGAGTTCCACAGATTTAATTCTGCTCTGCGGGAAGAAGTTATTTCTTTCGCCTGTCCTGACTCTGCCAACATTCAATGGCATGTCCCATGTTATGAGAGAGGGAGTAAAAAATTTCTCTATAATTTCTATTAAATTTTCTGTTTTACATTTTAGAATATTTATTTAAACAACCTAAAAATATCAGTGACTTCCCTTCTTCCCTTTCCATGGTTCATGTTGCATAACATAAATCCCTGCATATTTTACATAAATGAAACCTTTCAGTATTCCATTATTAAACCTATGTCCTTCTTGTTCTCTTGTCCTATATGTTAGGCCTGCAAGCTGTGCATATTCCATCAGCTCGTTTTCCATTTTTGGGCTAACAAAACATGGGCTACAGTAGTGGCATACATAAACAACCTTTTTTGACACCTGGGAATCTTTGTCTGGATTATTCCGTACAAAAAGGACTCTGGTTGTTTGGGGGAAGTACTTTTAGGGACGCAGGTGGCGCTGTGGTGTAAACCACTGAGCCTTGGACTTGCAGATCAGAAGCGGCTTAGTCATGCTGGCCATATGACCCGGAAAAACGGTCTGCGGACAAACGCCGGCTCCCTCGGCCAATAAAGCGAGATGAGCTCCGCAGCCCCAGAGTCGTTTGCGACTGGACTTAACTGTCAGGGGTCCCTTTACCTTTACCTTTTTACTTTTAGGGAGTAAAATTTTTCTCTATCCACTTTCTCCATGCCATGCCATCATTTCATAATATTCTATCATCTCCCTTCTTACTTGCCTTTTCTCTAAACTAAAAAGTCCCAAGTGTTGCAACCTTCCCTCCTAGGGGAGAGGGGTCTTGTGTTTGAATCCTGATTTCAGGTTTGCCATAGGCATCTGGTTGGCCACTTTGAGAGCAGGAGTCTGGACTAGATGGACCATTGGCCTGATCCAGCAGGCTCGGTTTATGTTCTTATCCCTCAGCAGTAGCCAGTGCTGGTTGGGGCTGATGAGAATTGGAGCCCAACGTCATCCTGAGTGCCATATGCAACCCCCCCATACCCACTACAAGGAGCCACAGGGACTTGTGGCCAACCAGAGGATGTCACACTGCAAGCACATGGGTTGCAGAGCCACTGTCAGCAGAATTGTCAAGGGCTAAGGATGCGGGTGGCGCTGTGGGTTAAAACACAGAGCCTAGGACTTGCTGATCAGAAGGTCGGCGGTTCAAATCCCTGCAACGGGGTGAGCTCCTGTTGCTTGGTCCCTGCTCCTGCCCACCTAGCAGTTCGTAAGCAGGTCAAAGTGCAAGTAGATAAATAGGTACCACTCCGGCGGGAAGTTAAACAGCGTTTCCGTGCGCTGCCCTGGTTCGCCAGAAGCGGCTTAGTCATGCTGGCCACATGACCCGGACGCTGTACGCCGGCTCCCTCGGCCAATAAAGCGAGATGAGCGCCGAAACCCCAGAGTCGTCCGTGACTGGACCTAATGGTCAGGGGTCCCTTTACCTTTACGGCTCCCCACTCCAAGGCTCTTTCACTCCAAGCTGCGGAAATGGGGTGAGAGTGGGGTGTCACATGCATGAAGGAATGCTCCCTCCCCCTGAAAACACCTCCCTACTCCCCACCCACATGCAAGGGGGAAAAAACAGCACCAGAGAAATGGTATTTGGAAGCTGCCGTCTCTTCCCTGACACTCTAGCTTTCCGCTTGCGGAACACTTCCCACATGCCACTCAGGCCAGGCAGCCACCCACCCACTTCTGCAGCTCCCCCCCCCCCCCGGCACTCTTCCTTGCTTCACAGGGGGAAAGTCTGACTCACAGAGGACAGCGCCCCCTGTTGAGAGACCCCCGCGTGACCCTGCTCAGCACGGAGAGCTCAGCCGAACCCTGCAATTCTGCCTGACTCACAGGCTCCCTGGCGGCTTTTTAATTTACCCACATTTGCCGTGACTCATCCACTCTCCGCTTGCAAAGGCAGGAGACCGTCAGGGTTTATTATTATCCCCCGTTATTATTAGAAGCGTAGCATTCTTCCTCAATGAAGGCTGAGCAATATGCTTTTCTGGGCAGAGGAAAGAAGCTGCCAGCTTCTGGTGTCAGAGGAACTGTCCCCCACTTGGGCAAGGAACTATTCCCCATGGGGCCAAAATCCCGCCTTGTGACTCTTGCTTGGTGACTCTCAAGAGTCTTCCTGGGTCACAAGATTCCTTACTGGGATGGATAGAGCCCTGGCGGACCATAGCTCAGTGGCTGGAGCATCTACTTGGGTTGTAGAATGCCCCAGGTTCAATTCCTGCCATCGCCAGGTAGAGCTGGCCATGTCCCTTGTTTGCAACCCTGGAGAAGTTGCTGCCAGTCAGTGATTTGTTTGTGGGTGGGTGGGTATTTTTTCCCGGCAGGCCTCTTTACTAGCTATCTGCCAGGCAGAAATCCAACAGGTGCAGCTTTCCTTAACATGAAGGTGCAGTGACAGGTTGGTGTGAGTGGTGAGTAACAACAACAACAACAACAACAACAAAAAATTATACCCCGCCCTCCCCAGCCAAGACCAGGCTCAGGGCGGCTAATGACCAATAATAAAAGCAAGTTGATTGAAATACAACTTAAAAACAAGATTAAAATACAACATTAAAACAATTAAACATTAAAATGCAGCCTCATCACAGGAAGAGAAAGGAAAAAAGAAAGGGGGGAGGGAATCAAATTGTAAGGGATGTAGATCTTGTTCATTTTCTTTCTCTACATCCTTCATGCATAATTCTTTGCGCCTCTACCCTCTTATTCACCTTTTCTCTGAACTGCAAATGTCATCACTGTTCCTCTTCAGCTGAGAAGAGGGCAGCTGCATTTTGCACCTGAAACTCAAGTCTGTAGTAGCTCTGTTTCTGAAGTCAATATTGTTGGGAAATCAACCACTGGGAGGGGACTTGCTGGCCTACCTCAGGCCAGCCAGAGAAACAGCTGCCTGTGGCTATTTTCTCTTCAGCAGTTCCTCCCTGATAAGGGCAAGCATGAGCCAAGCTGGAATCAACAGAGGCACAGGTGGGTCTTGTTAGCGCAACCAGCTGCGGTTGGCAGGCTCCCCTGAGCAATCCTGGAGGAGAACAGCATCAGGAGGAGAGACGGAGCAAATGATCAGGAGCTAGGGGCGAGCGCCCAATTATTCAGGGTGGTTAAAACCAAAATATGGGATGCGGGTGGCGCTGTGGGTTAAACCACAGAAGCTAGGGCTTGCCGATCAGAAGGTCGGCGGTTCGAATCCCCGCGACTGGGTGAGCTCCCGTTGCTCGGTCCCAGCTCCTGCCAACCTAGCAGCTCGAAAGCACGTCAAAGTGCAAGTAGATAAATAGGTACCGCTCCAGCGGGAAGGTAAACGGCGTTTCCATGCGCTGCTCTGGTTCGCCAGAAGCAGCTTAGTCATGCTGGCCACATGACCTGGAAGCTGTCTGCGGACAAACGCTGGCTCCCTCGGCCAACAAAGCGAGATGAGCGCCGCAACCCCAGAGTCGGTCACGACTGGACCTAAAGGTCAGGGGTCCCTTTACCTTTTTAAAACCAAAATGGGACCACAAGGAGCTCTGAAAAGCGTCTCTCCCAAAACTGGGTGAATCGGCATTAAAACGGCACATGCAATTCCATGTGAGAAAGTGTGAAGTGATGGACATTGGTGCAAAAAGGAGAATAATAAGAACGTAAGGCGAGTCTGCTAATGGATCAGGCCAGAATGCATCTCATCCAGAATCCAGTTTTCAAAGCCCCAATGGGAAGCTGTAAGTAGGACCCGAGCACAAGAGCATTTTCCCCGTCCTGTGGTTTCCAGTAACTGGTATTCAGAATCATAACTGCCTTTGTATACATACCCTCCAACATTTTGCATGAAAGTAGGGACATTCTATTGTTTTAGGGACGCGGGTGGCACTGTAGGTTAAACCACAGAGCCTAGGACTTGCCGATCAGAAGGTCAGCAGTTCGAATCCCCGCGACGTGGTGAGCTCCCATTGCTTGCCAACCTAGCAGTTCGAAAGCACGTCAAGTGCAAGTAGATAAACAAGTACCGCTCCGGCGGAAAGGTAAATGGCGTTTCTGTGCACTGCTCTGGTTTGCCAGAAGCGGCTTAGTCATGCTGGCCTCATGACCCGGAAGCTGTACGCCGGCTCCCTCGGCCAATAAAGCAAGATGAGTGCCGCAACCCCAGAGTCGGCCGCGTCTGGACCTAATGGTCAGGGGTCCCTTTACCTTTACAGCTGTGATTCTGCTTTCCCAGTAGAAATTTCTGCAGGGACAGCCATGTTTGTCGGTTGCAGCCAAATCAGCAGATGCTCTTGGAGCATCTCAGATACTTGTCAGAATTTTTTTTCTCACATCCTTGAAAAACTTACACCACAATGCCCACCCCCCCAGTGTCGCAAGACAGCTGCGACCTTCACAAAACTGCTGTTCTCCAGAGCCAGATTGGGTTCATGGGAGTTGTAGTCCAGAAACTCTGGAGGGCACCAGGTTGGCAAAGTCTGCTCTGATTTCCCTTGATCTGTGCACCTTCCTCTTTGGCATAAAAAAAAAAAATCCTGCTTTGTTTCTCTTCAAGTGCTTTGATCATCCACGGAAAGATTCCTAGCAGGGTTCTTATTCTGAGAAACGGTGAATAATTTAGGGCATGCCTTGTCTCCAACGCTCCCTGATCAAAAGCTGTGTGTGCTTGGCTGTTGTCAGCATTTGTTAGGGGGGAGTTGGTAGTGCGTACTGTTTTTGTCTGTTTCATTCTGTCTGTTTTAAAATGATTCAAGTTTCCACACACAGAAAGAAAAAGGGTATATAGATCTTCACGTGTAGAGGAGTCCTTCATGTGGAGGACTCCCTGGTCCTGAATGGGGTAACTGTGCCCCTAAAGGACCAGGTGCGCAGCCTGGGAGTCATTCTGGACTCACAGCTCTCCATGGAGGCACAGGTCAATTCTGTGTCCAGGGCAGCTGCTTATCAGCTCCATCTGGTACGCAGGCTGAGACCCTACCTACCCGCAGACTGTCTCACCAGAGTGGTGCATGCTCTAGTTATCTCCCGCTTGGACTACTGCAATGCGCTCAATGTGGGGCTACCTTTGAAGGTGACCCGGAAATTACAACTAATCCAGAATGCGGCAGCTAGACTGGTGACTGGGAGTGGCCACCGAGACCATATAACACCGGTCCTGAAAGACCTACACTGGCTCCCAGTACGTTTCCGAGCACAATTCAAAGTGTTGGTGCTGACCTTTAAAGCCCTAAATGGCCTCGGTCCAGTATACCTGAAGGAGCGTCTCCACCCCCATCGTTCAGCCCGGACACTGAGGTCCAGCGCCGAGGACCTTCTGGTGGTTCCCTCCCTGCGAGAAGTGAGGTTACAGGGAACCAGGCAGCGGGCCTTCTCGACAGTGGCGTCCGCCCTGTGAAACGCTCTCCCACCAGATGTCAAAGAGAAAAACAACTACCAGACTTTTAGAAGACATCTGAAGGCAGCCCTGTTTAGGGAAGCTTTTAATGTTTAATAGGTTATTGTATTTTAGTGTTCTGTTGGAAGCTGCCCAGAGTGGCTGGGGAAACCCAGCTAGATGGGTGGGGTATAAATAAATTATTATTATTATATTATTATAGACTTATAAATCATTTGCAGCTGTTGTATAAGGGATTGCTGTTATGAATGGAATGGAACTGAAATCAGTAAGATTGTGGAACGCAGAAATAAAGTAAATTATCAAACCATCAATTCTAGCATGCAGGTGGGGGGCACCTAAATTATGTAATTGGATATTTGAATGATTGATATTGGGAATTGTTATTGTAATTTGGCATTGATATAATGATATATTTGATATTTGATATATTTGGATTATTATACTTGAGAACTAATAGAATTATTATCAAAAATAAAATGATGCAAATTTCAGAAGACTCCTGGTGTGGCAAAGGTGAAGCACAGCACTTCCCAAATTTTTTTGAACTTGGGCCCTGCTCCTAAAATAAGAACAGAGGAAGAGTCTGATGGTTCAGGTCATTGACCCACCTAGTCCAGCCCCCTGGTCTCACAATGGCCAACCAGATGCCTGTGGGAAACTTGCAAGCAGCACCCGACTGTAGCAGCACTTTCTCCTCCTGTGGTTTTCAGCAACTGGTATTCAGAAAAATTACAAACTCTGACCATGGAGGCAGAGCAGAGCCATCATGGCTAGCAGACATCGTTAGTTTTCTCCTCCATCCATTTGTCCAGGCCTCTTTTAAAGCCATCAAAGTTGGCCATCGCTGCCTCCTGTGGGAGGGAGTTCCACAGGAACACACACACAACCCCAGCAGGCCGAAGTACTTTGAACACGTGGAGATTCTTGACTTGCAGCGGCAAATAAGATGATCAGAGGGAGCTGCCTGATGCCAATTCAGACCAGTGGTCCATCTAGCTCAGTACTGTCTACACGGACTGGCAGCAGCTCGCCAGGATTTCAGACAGGGAATCCCTTCCAGGCCTACTTGGATGTGCCAGAGATGGCACTTAGGACTTTCTGCATGCAAAACAGATGCTCTACCACTGAGCTATAACCCTTTCCTAACTAGGAACTTGGGAAGATACCTTACACGGAGTCTGACCAGCTGGTGCATCTAGCTCAGTATTGTCTACTCTGACTGGCAGCAGCTCTCAGGATTTCAGGCAGGGTCTCTCCCAGCCTTACCTAGAGATGCTGGGGATTGGACCTGGGACCTTCTGCACGCAGAGCAGGTGCTCGACACTGCTGTTTTGTTTAAAGCAGATTTTCCAGTAGCAAAAATTCCCTGTCAGACAACCACACTTGGTTTTATTATTACGATTTTTTATTCAACGATCACAAAGTGTTACTTTGCTTCTTGCTTACACCCTTTATTCTTGGCTGCTTCTCCATAGGAGTCAGTAATTCTTATCTGCTAACTATACTGTATAGTGATGATTCGTTTCTCCATCTGCCTTCTTCTGTAACTAACCAGAGCAAAAACAAGGAGGACTTTAATACGGGGTGTTTGCAAGGATGCAACAAAATGTTACCTGCTCAAAGATGAATAATAATAATAATAATAATTTATTATTTATACCCCGCCCATCTGGCTGAGTCTCCCCAGCCACTCTGAGCGGCTCCCAATCAAGTGTTAAAAACAGTACAGCGTTAAATATTAAAAACTTCCCTGAGCAGGGCTGCCTTCAGATGTCTTTTAAAGATAGGGTAGCTGCTTATTTCCTTCACATCTGAAAGGAGGGTGTTCCACAGGGTGGGAGCCACTACCAAGAAGGCCCTCTGCCTGGTTCCCTGTAGCTTAGCTTCTCGCAGTGAGGGAACCGCCAGAAGGCCCTCAGCGCTGGACCTCAGTGTCCGGGCTGAACGATGGGGGTGGAGACGCTCCTTCAGGTATACAGGACCGAGGCAGTTTAGGACTTTAAAGGTCAGCACCAACACTTTGAATTGTGCACTTTGACTTGTATAGCAGAAGGTGGAGATTCCAGCCCCACAGAAGAAGGCATTTTGATGTGGTTGCTTTTAAGCATGGAAAGAGAGCACGTTCTGTCCTTATGCAATTTGTGTACATGCTGTTCTTGACATTGCCAGTCATTAAGCACTTAACAAACACATTTGCATACCACACCCACCACCAACCCTTGTTCAAGCTGCACATTATCAGCTTTCCAACTGAACAGCTTTCCCCACCAGTTCTGCGTTTTCTACCCAACTGCAGCAAACGCTATTTATTTGTTTATTGTGTTGATATCCCAGCTTTGTTTCTCCAGGGAGCTCAAGGTGACCCCTTCCTCAATTAATCCCCACAACAACCTGGCAAGGTAGGTTAGACTGAGAAGAAGCGACTGGTATAAAGCATGGGTAGGCAAACTAAGGCCGGGGGCCGGATCCAGCCCAATCACCTTCTAAATCCGGCCAGCGGACGGTCCGGGAATCAGCATGTTTTTACATGAGTAGAATGTGTGCTTTTATTTAAAATGCATCTCTGGGTTATTTGTGGGGCATAGGAATTCATTCATTTTTTTATTTTCCCCCAAAAATATAGTCTGGCCCCCCACAAGGTCTGAGGGACAGTGGACCGGCCCCCTGCTGAAAATGTTTGCTGACCCCTGGTCTAAAGTCACACCCAGCAAGCTTCATGATGGCCAAGTGGGGATTTGAACCCAGGTCTCTTGGTCCGAGCCTGATACTCTAACTACTGCCCCACACTGTCTCTCTTGTGGGGGGGGAGGCGGGGAAACACCATTTCTCTACCACCAAGTTGCAGCCCCTTTCGGGGTGCGATACAGAGTTTGCCGTGTGGAGGTGAAAGGACATTAAATAATGTTTTAGCAAAAGTGCTAACCCCAATATCTTACTGAGCAATGGGGTCTGCCCCGGTGCTCCCAGCATTAGCTGGGAAGAGCAGGTATCGTGCAGCTCTGCGATGAATGCCAGAAATGTACAAAACTGTCATAAAGCATATTAATAAAAAATTTAAGGTCTTATATATATATATATATATATATATATATATATATATATATAATAAATGTTCATAAATGTACCAACCGAGCATGCGGACCACATGTCTGGAGCAGCACAGGAAGACCGCCCTGAAACCATTTTGACTCCCAAACTGACCAAGTGTTTTTCTGCAAGGAGGGAGGGGGTGAGGGAACCTTCCCATTGTTTCAGGAATGGGGTACTCACCATCTTAAAGGAATGGCCAGACTACCAGGAAAGGCAATCGGATAAGGCATTATCAGATAACTTGGCAGACAGGAAAAACAAGAACATTCGAATTTCTGTTGTAGACCGCCTTTTCTGTGATGTAAGTATGATGTTTGTGGGTGGTGGTCTTGGGTTACACCCCTTCTGTGATGTATGTGTGATGTATGGAGGGATGGTCTTGAGCTCCAGGGAAGGCAATTTAAAATGTCTATACAAGGGCAGGCACACCTTGGTTCTGGGTCCTCCTCCCTTCTTGCGGGTGAGGGGAGCACCCTGTTGCAACAGTTCAATAAAGATCAGGCTTACGAGCTGCTTTGCTTCTCAATATTCTCTGGTTAGCCTATGTTATTTTCTCCTATCAATGGAGAACCTACAAAGAACTCTAGAAGGGCTCTTGTGTCCCCCATAAGGGAACAAGGGCAGATTTGTTTATTACAGAAGGAAGAAGACATCTGAGCATATACAAAGTTTATTTCCCTCCCACCCACCAAAATCCCAAGAGTTATAAAGAATTTCAGCTCTGGATTATTATTTTTTAAGTTGGAGTAATAAACGAACATAGCTCAGTGTTAGAGCATCTGCTTTGCATGTAGAAAATCCTAGGTTCAATTTGCTATTCCAGACAGCCGCTGCCAGTCAGTGCGGACAACACTGAGCTAGATGGCTGAAGGCCTGATTCAGTAAAAGGCAGCTGCATACCCTCCAACTTTTCTCCAATGAAAATAGGGAAGCCCCATTCCATAATAATAATAATTTTACTATTTATACCCCACACATCTTACTGGGTTGTCCCAGCCACTCTGGGCAGCTTCCAGCAAATAGAAAAACATAATAAAACATTAAACAGTTTTTTAAATTAAAAATTCCCTATACAGGATTGCCTTCAGACGGCTCAGGGATTGGATAACTCTATACCCTCCAGGATAACTCCATACCCTCCAATTAAAATGGGGACATTTTCACACCCTCCAACATTTCTCCAATGAAAATAGGGACAGCCAAGGAAAAGTGGAATCAAATCAGAAACCGGGATGACATCTCTAAATCAGGGACGTCCCTGGAAAATAGGGACACTTGGAGGGTCTGCAACTGCCTGCGTTCCTAACGAAGAGATGCAAAGCGGCGTAGCGGTTAAACTTTAAAGCCTCGAATTGAGGCCAAATCCACACCACGCCGTTCAAAGCGCGTCCAGCATACATTGAAAGCGCACGGCTCTCTCGCAACGAATCTTGGGAGCCGTAGTTTGTTAAGGGTCCTAGGAATTGTCATCTGCCAAGGGGCAACTACAGCTCCCAGGAAACCTCGGGGTAAGGCGTGTGGTTTCGTTGTGCGCGGCAGGCGCCTTCAGTGTGCAGGATGCTCCATCATGAGACAAAATGTATTGAGAAAGCATCGGGCCTCTGAGCATGTGCAGAGAGTAAGCAGCGCTAGTAGCACCGTGCAAGCACCCGGGTAGGGGACACACAGGTCCTCCGAGGTGCCCGCGTCGCCGACCCTCATTTTCCTTTGGAGAGCCGCTAATCCCCGAGCTCCGCCTTGCCCTGCCCAGATGATGCTCCTCCCTGGAGAGCCGGGCGGCGGGGCGAGGCTTGCCGGCCGAGGCTCCTCCGCCTTCCCTTCGCGGGGGGAGCGCTCCGCCCGATCTGACGTGGCAGCGGCTCCAGCAAGCCGGAGGCCGCCGCGTCCGGAGCGCAGAGCGCAGAGCGCACAGCCAAGAGCGCAGCGCGCGTCGCTGGAGTGAGGGTGCCCGATGGCACGTCCGCGCTTCGTGCTGCTGGTGGCGCTGGTGGTGCTCTCAGGATCAGGGCTGCTCCGCGGCTACGAGCCGGACTGGCGCCGCCTGGAGGGCCTGGCGAGAGGGAAAGTGGAGGTGAGGCCAAGCCTGGAGGGCGGAGGGAGCTGGGTACCTTAGAGCATGTGCAGAGGGCCTGATGCGCCGGGGCCCGCCAGCTCCCTGGATTGAAGTCCCCACCCCAAACAAATGTGGTCTCCGCACCACTTGACAGATGAAGCGTAAAATGCGCTGGGCAGCCTTGAGAGAAGCGCTGGCCCTCAGCCGGAGCTTAGCCTCCCTCGCAAGGCTGTAGTGAGGCTCTGTGAACAGGCGGCAGTCACCGCCGCAAGCCTTTGAAATGCGGGCGGGACATTAGAAAGAATTAAGGATGTAGCGTGTGTGTTGTTTTTTAATGTTGCTGCTGTTGTTTGAAAGGCAGTATTTTTTTGGGGGGGGGGGGTTCGTAAAAAAAGAGAAAAGTGAGATTTGCTTTGCAACAGATCATGCCAAACAACTATTAAGCCTAGCATCAGACAGAGATTGCGCAGAGCTTCCAAGAAGGATGTCTGCCTTGTCTTAGCTGTTCTTTTGCTATTCAGAGGTATACTGCCCTGGCATGTGGATTTTCTATTTTACCATCATTCAGAGGGATATACCGTGGTACCTCGGGTTACAGACGCTTCAGGTTACAGATGCTTCGGGTTACAAACTCCACTAACCAGGAAGTGGTTGCTCCAGGTTAAGAACTTTGCCCCAGGGTAGGAATGGAAATCACATACCAGCGACGCAGCAGCAGCAGGAGGAGGCCCCATTAGCAAAAGCATGCCTCAGGTTAAGAACCATTTCAGGTTAAGAACGGACCTCTGGAACAAATTAAGTTCTTAACCCAAAGTACCACTGTACGGGGTTACCCTAGTTGAAGCTTAGAGCAGGGCTTCCCACAGTGTAGTCTGCAGGCCACTGAAGTTTCAGGCAAGTCTGCGGACCATAATTTACCATGTCTCTGAAGAACACTTACAGCTGGAATTCAGATTGTTGTACTATGGTTGACCTCTGAGACTCCCTGCCACAAGAGACAGTGATGACCACTAACTTGGATGGCTTTCAAGGAAGACTAGACAAATTCATGGAGGAGAGAGAGGGCTATTGATGGCTACTAACCACGATGGCTCTGCTCTGCTTCCACAGTCAGAAGCAGTGATGCTATTGAATCCAAGTTGCTGGAAACCACAGGAGGGGAGAATTGCTCTTGTGCTCAGGTCCAGCTTGCAGGTTTGAGGGCCTCTTGAGGAGGTGGTCTAGATAGGCCACTGGCCTGTTGCAGCAGGCTCTTCTTAGTGTTCTTAATGCTTCTGAACACCAGTTTGCATCTAGCACAGTGCAATAGAATTGCTGAAACAGGAGGGGAATGTCATCTTCTAAAACCCTCTGCAATTTTCAGGTGGTCTGGGGCACAGAGGGGGGGTTCAGTTAGAGAACCATGGGCTTAGAGGACTAAGGAGAAATTTGGTGCTATTCCCACATATTCCCAAGTCTGTCCTTGTAGCCATTTTATTTTAGAGGTGGGAGGGGAATCTAACAAAGCCCATTTATCCCTGAAGATGACGTGGTTGCATTGGTGGGGGGTTGTTTTTCAGTCTGCTAACAGGTGGCCTTGGGCACACCTGCCGCGGCAGGTTCTGACAAGCCCTTGGAAAGGATTGTCAAGGGAACAGGGGGCCAGGGAACAGCTGTTTTTTCATGGTGGAAGGGAAAGGCTGCAGAGGGCGAATGTATTTGTGGGGTTGTCAACAAGTTTCCTGGGACGCAGGTGGCGCTGTAGGGAGCATAGGACTTGATGATCAGAAGGTCAGTGGTTTGAATCCCCATGACGGAGTGAGCTCCCGTTGCTCGGTCCCTTCTCCTGCCAACCTAGCAGTTCAAAAGCACGTCAAAGTGCAAGTAGATAAATAGGTACCGCTCTGGCGGGAAGGTAAACAGCGTTTCCGTGCCCTGCTCTGGTTCGCCAGAAGCGGTTTAGTCATGCTGGCCACATGACCCGGAAGGTGTACGCCAGCTCCCTCAGCCAATAAAGCAAGATGAGTGCCGCAACCCCAGAGTCGGCCACGACTGGACCCAATGGTCAGGGGTCCCTTTACCTTTACAACAAGTGTCCTGGGCTTGCAGAAGTTTCTCCAAGAGCATCATAGAAACGTGGAATTGTAGAGTTGGAAGGGACCCTGAGGAGCATCTAGTCCCCTTGGTGTCCCATACAGGGATCAAACCTGCAAACCTGGCGTTACCAGCACCACGCTCTAACCAACTGAGCTGGACTCCCAACTCCCCATCAGACCCAGAAACCATCACAGTCAATGGCCAAGGACAGTGGGAGTTGACAACACAAGAAGAGAGCACTCACCCATCCTTCAGTTTCCAGCCATTGCTGTCTCCAACTGTGGAGGCAGAGCACAGTCATTATGCCTAGTAGCCGTTGTTCCAGAGATTTAATTATGTGTTCCATCAATATGTGCTTTATCTGTCCTGACTCTTCCAACTTTCAGCTTCATTCGATACCCACCAGTTTCTCTAGCCACTTCCTCCACACCAGGCATGGGCAAACTCGGCCCTCCAGATGTTTTGGGACTACAACTCCCATCATCCCTAGGTAATGGGACCAGTGGTCAGGGATGATGGGAGTTGTAGTCCCAAAAATCTGGAGGGCCGAGTTTGCCTATGCCTGCTCCACACCATGAATTTTTTAAATAAACTTTTATTGTGTCTTTCCATTTCTCTGAGCTAAAGAGCCCCCAAAGCTGCAGGCTTTCCTCAAAGGGCAATTGCTCCATCCTTTATCATTTTGGTTGCCCTGACCTGGGATAGCTCAGTCGGTAGAGCATGAGACTCTTAATCTCAGGGCTGTGGGTTCGAGCCCCACATTGGGTAAAAGATTCCTGCACTGCAGGGAGTCGGACTAGATGACTCTTGTGGTCCCTTCCAACTCTACAATTCTATAAAGGAGAATTGAGTTTTTTGCTGGCTGGCTGATGAGCTGTTGGGAGTTGGGTGTCGGACAACATCTGGAGGTCTGCAGGCTCCTCGTCCTTCCAGTGCATGAAACGAGTCTGGATTTCTTGGGAAGTGTGTTTGTGTTTGATGGTGTATTCATATTCTGTTTCCTCCCTTTTAAAGAGCTGTGGGGGATGACGGCTGAACCGCCTGCCAGAGGTAAGTGTCGCTTCGTTCCTGCTCGCCAGCACCTATCACTCACTTCCCCTGGGTGAAGAAGTGCTGCAACGGCTCATAAGACAGAAGGCAGGGAGCCCAACAGTAGGTGGCGCCAGAGAGCCAATGACAGGCAAAACCCAACACATTCTAGGTTTCCCCCCATCCTCCCCCCTGCCAGAATGGAGATGGAGGAGAAAGAAGCTGACAGGCACAGCCACCTCCTAGACTGACTGAAAGTAGGGAGGCGGGAAGGTGGGGACTGGCTGAAAGCAGTCTGGGGTTGGTGGGGCAGACTGGAGCAGTCTGGGGTTTCCGGGGAGCCACCACAGGAAAGGCCCTGTCACCAACAAAGCCTCGCCTGTTGATTGTAGGTTCAGAGAATAAACTGGGCTGGTGGGGCAGGGGGAGCTGTCTTATTGCATGTGTAATATTTGCATCTCATTCATTTCCCCCCCCATAGGCGAAGGCCTTCATCAATGAGGACTTGCCTCTGTAGTATCCTTTTTGTATGTTTGTGCAGGGCCTAAGCATTGGAGGTAGGGGAGGTAAAAGGGGGACATTAGCAAGGTCCCCAGGCAGCCAGCTTCGGCTGCAAGCCCATCGCCCCCAAATTATTTATTTATCCTCTCTGGCCCAGGAGCCCAAACTTGAGAAATTCTGAACTGCCGAGCCTGATGCCCTTTAGCATGCTGTCTGGGGCTGACGAGGGTCATAATCCAAAACCTCTGGACAGGGCTGTCTTAAGCATATGCGGCACCGGGGTGCAAAGAGTCACCCGGTGCCCACCCCCGAGGTTGCCCAGTCCCAGGCACGCAGGAGAGCGGAGCCAGCCAGCCGCCTCAGCGTCTCACTGGCTCGGTCGCCCCCGAACTCACAGCGCAGAAGAGCACGCCATGGCGCTCTGACCGACGGATGGGATCTTCCCTGGATTCAACTCTCTTTTTTCCCCCAACAAATTTTTTATTCATTTTATAACGCAAATAAACAACACAAACAGAAAAACAAACAATACAAACAGATTCTTGTCTTATCCTTATTTTTCCTAAACATTGTTAGGTGGGCTTCCCCAAATCCTCTCTATCTGATTTTCATTTTATCTCATCTTTAGCAGTTTACATATCATAATTTCTAACCATTTTTTTTATCACCCTTACTTTAACCATAAAAAACCTTCACATTTTATCACTTACAAATAATACTATTTTAAAATACACTATCTTCTACTTCTTTCCCTACAGCCTAAATCCACTTCCAAAGCTATTCTAAGATTCCCTGGACTCAACTCTCGGGCCCCGGACTCTTGGCCTGGCGCCCCTGAGAGCCCGGCGCCAAGGGGCCCCGCACCCTTAGCGCCTATGGGTAAGACAGCCCTGCCTCTGGAGGGCACCAGGTTGGCAGTCTAACCAGGCAGCTGATTTGCTAAACCTGCTGGCCAACGCAGCAGAACTTGGGTGTCCTCACTCACCCTTGCCTGAAACCCCAGGAGAGATGCTGCCAGTCAGTGTAGACAATATTGAGCTAGATGAGCCTGTGGTCTGGCTCTGTTAGGCAGCTTCCTTCGCACATACCCTTAACTGCCTTTTCCAGCCACAACCTTGACATGAAGCACCTCGCTGGAGCAGACCCCGAACTCATCCTGTTGAACTCACACTACAGAGAGCTGGAGGTGAGAGGGAGTTTTGATCTTCCCACACTGGTGTGACCCACCGGAGGATTTTTAGCTTCAGGCAGAACTGGTAGAGGTGATGCTCTTCACGGAATATGCAATTGCAGGAATAGTTTTGCTTGTGTTTCTGAATCGAACATGTAGGGCCCGCAACAAAACGTTGCAGCGCAGCGGCAAGAATCCATCTCCCTAAGAATCATGGGGGTTTCTTTTGAAATCTTATTTTTCAAGGAGGTTTCAATGGCATTGAAGGGATGCTTGAAAGTATGTGGGCAGCAGGTTGGTAAATCGCAGCCAGATTGGTTATTGTTGTCCAGCAAGCCAGCGATTGGGACTTTTAATTCCTCCTCCGCTGGACTAGCAAGATTAAGTTGCATAGTACTTTAAAAGCTCCAGGAATATTCAAAAGTAGAGGGACCGGGTGCAGCAGGCTTTTGGAGGCTTCTCTTCTGGAATCCATCTGCCAGATTTCAGCCATGGGCAGGTAAGATGCAAATCTTGCTCTGTGATGCTTAACAGGCTAATTAATGTGCTGTTCACACAGCAAAGGAGCAAAGGTCCGTCAAATATGGGTGTAGCCAGAATTTATGGCGGGGGTGGGGCAGGACACACACCTGTCATCATCCTCTGTCTTAGCAGATTCGGTATGAAACGTCTCAGCAAGAGTTGTTTTAAGTTACCTTCCTTTGACCCCAAGCGTTCAGAAAAATCTGCCAAAATCTCCAGCCATTTGAAAACCAGGAAGTTAAATAAAAAAATTAACATCCGGGAGTAGCTTGCATGCGGTTAACAAGTCTATTTTGCAAAATTACGAAGAGCCTGCCTTTTTAATCTTATTTTTAAAAATCTAAACTAAAACAAGTTTTCTTGGCTTTGCTGAAAACCTTTTCAGCTATTCCTTCTCTCATTTCTTTTTTTTCCAATGCAGTTTTTCTGCGCACACTCAGTAAGCGTAGGCAATTTCTACTTTTAAGTTAAGCATTTTTATTTGCTTACTTGATGGGGGGGCAGCTGTCCCCTGGCTATGCCCATGGGTCCAATGCCATCTGCATTTGGATACACTGGTGCCAGTCCAGCTGGGTCTCAGCATGTTGTTGCCACCTGCAAGTCTCTGGTTGACCAGGGGAAGGACGACTGTGGCTCTATGCTAGGACATCTGCTTTGCTTGCAGAAGGTCCCCGTTTCAATTCTCACTAGCATCTCCAGGTAGGGCAGGGAAGGTCTGTGGTCTGCAGCCCTGGAGTGCTGCTGCCCATCAGTGTAGCTCAGGGGTAGAGCATCTGCCAGCCTGTGTAAGCAGCACTGAGCTAGGTTGACCAATGCCCTGACTTGGCCTAAGGCAGTGCCTTATGCATTTATTTTGCAGAGAATTCCACTGAGCGATATGTCCCGCAAAGAAATCAACGAGCTGGTGCAGAAACTGGGCTTCTACCGGAAGGAGAAACCCGACTCGCCTGTCCCCAAAGAGTTCCAGCTTGCTCCTGCCCGGCCGCCCCCTGGTTCAGAAGGCGCCAAGGGAGAGCGTGCGGCGGAGAGCAAAGGGGCTGAGGGTGGAGAACTCTAGATCTGTTGTGCTCTTAAAAACCTCAGGGGTGTCTTGTGTGCGAGTGTGTGCAAGGGTTGAGAGCGTGGCTCATGTTTTAATACATGCACAAGCATAGCTGGGTGTGCATGGTAGGATATGTTGTTAGTATACGCAGGGTTGTGTGTGCACACCTGCCAGAGGAGAGCCAAGGAATGTGGCCTGGGCTGCAGAATCGATCCTTTTTTTAAAAAAAAGAAAACACAAGTTTCTAGACCTCATGGTTGGAAAGGTGTACGTGAAAGCGTCTGGGCAGCACCTGCTAAGAAGCCCGAAGAGGGCTGCACTAAATGACTCTTTAGGTCCCTTTCAAATCTACAATTCTATGAAGATTTGCAGCTGTCTTGAGTGCGGGGGTCTGCTCTTCAACCCCCCACCAGCAAAAATAGCAAGATATGTATATGCAAAAAATGAATATGCCACATTTGCAGGATATGCAACCAAATGCAATGTCCCCTCGTTGCAGAAATTTGGATTTCATTCTTTAGTTTGTTCTAGAGTAAAGGGCACACACTGCCCTGTCTGTGGAACGTGAGTAAAAAGTGGTGTGGAAGAAGCTGTGATCTGGGGTGTGGATTTGGGAGAAACTGTGCTCCCCCCACTGCCTGGGGAAACAGAGCCAGACCTGGACTGGATCACCTTGAGTCCCACCTTGGTCTGTGCACCATTTCTGTCTAGATTCATTCAATCATGCATAGCCCAGTTGGAAAGTTTGGCTCCGTGCCTCTTTGTATAGCTCAGAGACCAGGAACCTGTGGCCTTCCAGGTGTTGCTGGAATCCTTGCCCTTCTCTCCCCCCCCCCCCCAAGTTTTAGTTTTGGTGGCTGAGGGGAGCTGGAGACCACCAACATCCAGAGGGGGCCACAGGTTCTTCCCTCCTGCTTTCGGTTCAGACCACACTCCCTAGCCGCTGTTCCTTGCTCCAGGCCATAAGCAAGCCTTCGTGTTTTTCTGCAGCTGTGCCCCGTCTGCATGAGACAGGATGATACCCTCGGCTGAAAGCTCTTGGTGCCCAGGGTGGATAGTCAGTGTCCCATCAGGTTTCGGAGCACAGCGCGCTAAGGAACACGAGCTCAGTCACCCGCCCTACAAAAAACAACAACAACCCTCTTGCAGTTGTGCCTAGAAACAGTAAAGTCTTTTACATCCACTGTGCTGGTATCTGTGTCTCTGTTGCTGGACAATTAAAAGTCCCAGACTGAACTGGTCAAGGTGTTCCCCTGGGTCCTCGCCCCACCCACCCTCAGAAGCTCACTGTGATGAGGTGACCTTTTTCTTCCTTGAAGAGCACGGGGAGCTGAAGAAGTTGGAAGTTGCAGCCTTTCTCAACCTGTGGGTCCCCAGATGTTGTTGAACTACAACTCCCATCACCCCTAGCTAGCAAGGCCAGAGCTCAGGGATGATGGGAGTTGTAGTCCAACATCTGGGGACCCACAGGTTGAGAACCACTGTCTAGAGACTCTGTCCTGCCTCACCTGAGCAGCATGTTGAGTTGCTGGGAGAAAATGTGTCATTGCATCTCTCAGCTGTGCGCTGTCCCCTGCCAGTGGGGGAGGCAGGTGGAGGGCAAGCAAGACTCAAGGTGGTAGCGGTGCCCAGGCTCAAGGCGTGTACCCACCCATGCCCAGCTGCTGTTCTGCAGCACCGCATGGAGGCACCGGTTAGGAAGCACAGTCCTTGCCTTAGAGGGCACAATGGTTTCCATGCCCCGGGTGTTGGCAACCCATGCTACACCACTGCTGCTAACCCGCCTCACAGGGTGGTTGTGAGGATAAAATGGTTCGTGTGAGGTCCTTGGAGGAAAAGGTGGGGTGTAAATGCAATGACAGGAATACAAACTCCCCTAATCCCTGACCACTGGGCCAAGGCTGACGGAAGCCGGGAATCCAGCAACATCTCAGTGGCTCAAGAGGTACCTAGATCCTGCTACACACCAGCCTGCCGCTGGCATTCTCAAACAGCTGGAAGGCGCCAAGTTGCGCTAGGTGTACGCTAACCTTAAAAGGACCGAGCCCTGGAGGTTGGAGAACAGTACGAAGCAGAAACGGCCGTCAAAACAGTCTATCCAAACTTTTATTGTCTTGCTGGTGCCTACATAAACATCCTTGTGCTAGTGCAAGAACCGTTACAATTGGGCGCGTGGCTGAGTGCTGAGAGCGGTGTCCGAGGAGCACATCCCGCTGTCCGTCCCTCGCTCCAGGCTCCAGTCGTTCTCAGCTGGCTCATCTGCCCCAACCTTCCCATATTAATCAGGCGCTCAAAAGGGAAGGAGACTTGTGCAAAGGGCTGAAGGCTGATGCGCTGGGAACTCCCAGGAAGAGAGTGGGCATTGCTCGATGGTGCGCAGGCAGGAGAGCTGTTCCATACAGAGAGGCCACACCAGAGTGAAACCCACATGGTTTCCCCCCTCTCCTGCCATGTCTAAGCACCCAGAGTTGACCACAATTGCTCCTGGGCTGGCAGAGCCATGGGTGAAAACACACATAGGGCACATGGATGGGCAATACTTGCTTTCAGCAAACTGGTGGCCAAGAGATGGGAACTGGCATGCCCTGTGCTTGCAAGGGAGCCTCTGAGCTGGTGCAGAGTGTGCCCTTCACTACCACCATCCAGACAGGGAACACAGTTTGTTTCTCTAAAAAATATATCTGTCCTCTCTACCCCAAGCAGCAAAGAAATCCCACATCTCTGTCCAGTTACCCCACAACTTCAAAAACTGCACTTTTCTAAATGAGCTGATTTCAGGAGGCGTTTCGGTCAGGATTCAGGGGTGGCCCTGAGATCTCCTCCTATCCCTCGTCCAAGTTTCACCCTTTCTTGGCCAGGAAGGAAGGAAGGAACGTATTTGCCATCTGAAAGCCTGGCTTCTCCTACCCACTGATGCCAGCAGGGTTCAATCCAGAAGAGGCGCAGTCCCAGCCCAGTGGGGCCTGTACACTACATTTATAATTGGGTTCCTCTTCTGGAAGTGTGGGGAGGGGGGCACGAGGAAAGTGCAAGACCTCTGCCTCTAAGGTGGTGAAGGAAGAGGCCCTCTGCCATAGCTCAGTGGAAGAGAATCTGCTTTGCATGCAGAATGTTCCAGGTTCAACCCCCAGGCAGGGCTGGGGGAGAGTCTCCCTATCAAAAATCCTAGAGAGCCACTGCCAGTCAGTGTAGACAATACTGAGCTAGATGGACCAACAGAAGCAGTATAGTAAAAGGCTGCATTCAGCTTTATGGCAGGACATCTGCTTGGCATGCAGAAGGTCCCAGGTTTAAGTCCCAGCAGCATCTCTGGCTAGGGCTGGGGGAGAGTCTCCCTATCAAAAATCCTAGAGAGTCACTGCCAGTCAGTGTAGACAATACTGAGCTAGATGGATCAACAGTCAGAAGCAGTATAGGAAAAGGCTGCATTTAGCTTTATGGCAGAACATCTGCTTGGCATGCAGAAGGTCCCAGGTTCAAGTCCCGGCAGCATCTCCAGCTAGAGCTGGGAATGTCCCCTGAAAGCCTAGAAAGCCACTTGCAAGTCATGGTTGCCAATACTAAGATAGAAAGGATCAGCGGTTTGGCTCGACAGAAGGTAGCTATCTACGTTCCTAACACCTGGTGTGGGGGGGCACCTATAACCTGCTGAGCAGGCTCTGCACTTGCAACGATCATCGCAGTTCAAGGATTTGGGGGAGGTGGGAAGCAGGGACGAGTTAAGGTCTGCACACACAGTTGACAACGCCCCCCCCCCCCTTTTTAGCACGCTCCAGCATTTAGCTGTTCAAAGGTACGGACAAGACGCGTGGTCAGTCAATCACACCTGCGCAGGTCTCTGCCCGTAATGCTGCTCAGCCGTGCACGATGCAAAAAAAGGGAGTTTCGAAAAAGGAGGAAACGGGAATAACTTACAGTAAATAACGACAATGACAACAATAATATAAAAAGCACGTGCGGATGAGAAGGGCAGTCCCGGTTCTCTCCGTAGAGCGGTCTAAGCTCGGCCGGTCCCCTCCAAACCGGCCTGGATTGCCAACTGCCCAGCCTGCTGTAGCGGGGTGTGTGTTGGGGGGGGTGTTGGTTCCTCTTGCCTTTTTGCTGCTGCGGGTGGCTCCTGCCCATAGTAAGAGTTCTCTGAAAGCAGGGGGGAGGAGGTGGGGCTGCAGGAACACGGATCAGGACCAGAGGAGCAAGCAAAGACATCCTCCTTTCCCCTGCTGCCGCACCCAGGGTGGGTGGGTTGGTGGGGGACAGGCTAGGCTGGATGTTTCGGAGGGAAGGGTGGGGGTGAGGGGGGGCGGGAGAGGAAGGCTAGAAGCGCTGCTGCCTCATCTGGAGCTCGTGGCGCCGCAGGTGGTTGTAGAGGGACTGCACGTAGGTGAAGACGCACTTGGCGTCGGGACGTTTCCCCATGATCATCATGTCTTCCACGTCCACCAAGGGCACGCAGTCCACAAGCACCCTGCAAAAGGGAGGGGAGAGAAAGGGGGAGAGTAAGTGGTCAAGGTCAAGGTCCCCTGGACAGTTAAGTCCAGTCAAAGGCGACTATGGGGTTGCGGCGCTCATCTTGCTTTCAGGCCGAGGGAGCTGGTGTTTGTCCACAGACAGCTTTCTGGGTCATGTGGCCAGCATGACCAGGGGCGGAGGAAGAAGAAGAGTTTGGATTTGATATTCTGCTTTATCATTACCCAAAGGAGTCTCAAAGCAGCTAACATTCTCCTTTCCCTTCCTCCCCCACAACAAACACTCTGTGAGGTGAGTGGGGCTGAGAGACTTCAGAGAAGTGTGACTAGCCCAAAGTCACCCAGCAACTGCATGTGGAGGAGCAGGGAAGCGAACCCAGTTCACCAGATTACGAGTCCACCGCTCTTAACCACTACACCACACTGGGGGGTGCGGAGGTGCGGCCTGCTCCGGGTGTCAACACTGAGGGCGGGTGACAAAATGCTGGGCAGCACTCACCTCAGGGCCTGCAGCGCGCCCGAGCCACGTCTCTCTCTTGGGAGAGATGTGGTGGCTTGGGCGCCCGCAGGCTCCGCGCTGCCCAAATGGTCCGCCCACTGCCTCCCCCTCCCCCCCGCTGTAGGGCGGCTGAGTGGGAGGAGGCAGGCAGACCCCAGAGGCCCTCGCCCTGCCTATCCATGTGCCCTCGCGCCTTCCTCCACCACTGAGCATGACCAAACCACTTCTGGCACAACGGGACACAGTGACGGAAGCCAGAGCACACGGAAACACCATTTACCTTCCCGTCGCAGTAGTACCTATTTATCGACTTGCACTGGTGTGCTTTCGAACTGCTAGGTTGGCAAGAGCTGGGACAGAGCAACGGGAGCTCACCCTGTCGCGGGGATTCGAACCGCCAACCTTCTGTTCGGTGAGCCCAAGAGGCTCAGTGGTTTAGACTGATTCTTCCACCCACACCCACCCCCATAAACTAACCCCACGTTGTAGTGCAGGTTGGCAACAACAACTATCCCCGCCCCTCGGGGCTTGGGTTCAAATCCTAAGAAGTAACTACCCAGGTTTTTCCACCGCTATTCATTTCTGCAAGAACAGCCTTTGCACGGATGGGGAGACTGCAGAGCCGCCACCCCAGAGATAACCTGGGGGGGTCAAAGGAGCCATTGGCTATTGCAAACGGCAAGGAAACCTTTGATCCTGAAAAGAGAAAAGTTGCCCCTTCAGGAGTCTCGCCAAAACAACACTTGAGAGGGTTGCTAGCGTCTCGTTTTGAAAGTGTGAGCAGCCGCCTGGTGTTTATAACTTTGCAAAACATCTTTTAGTGCAGGGGTTGTCCACCCCTATATTGATGCTCCAAGAACAGTTCGCGCCTGTGAAAAAGCTGGTTTGGCCAGTGTGAGGACAGGATTCTGGACTAGTTGGGCCCTGGGCCTGATCCGACACGTTTCCACTTACGCTCTTAATGCCCACCTTCAATGTTAAGACCCTGAACCCCTTTCGGCTAGTGGTCTTTGCATCAGCTTTGCGCTGGTTTCCCGCCCGGCCTCCCCAGTCCTCAGCCTCGGGGTCAAGCATGTGCAGAGGGGGTGGGGGTGTGCAGGGAGGTAACCGCGAGGTTTAACGGGCTCCCTCCTCTCAGGCGATGGAAAATCTCCTGAGCGAGCCAGTGTGCCCTTATAAAGCCTTTGTTTAGCCTGTGTGATGGGCTGCTGTACCCAGTGTCCCGGGAGAACGAGGCTCTAGGGAGGCAAAGATATTAACAAGGAGTGCCTGAGTCACTTTTTCCAAGGCTCTCTAGCTCCTCCGAGACATATATGGCCGGGGCAAAATAAATAAAAATAAAAACCCACCCCCCTCCAAAAGAAGGAGAAAATAAGAAACCATCTCCATCACCTGTCCGTCTCTCTTTCTCTGCACCCTGGCCTGCGGAAGCAAGGGATTCTGGGAAAGGCAGGGACTGTCGCCACCGTTACCTGGCAGTTGTCAAAAATTAACTGCCCCTCCCGCAAAAGTGAGAGTTTTAAAATTTATTTTTACGATTGGTATTCGATTTCTTCCCCAGCCTTGACCGTGAGCTCCCATTGTGGGCTAAAGCAATCTAAAAACACAACATGGAAGAGCTAGTAACACTGGGAACAAGTAATATCGGGAGCCAGTGTGGTATGGTGTAGTGGTTAGAGCATTAGGCTGGAATCCGGGAGACCAAGGTTCAAATCCCCCCACAGCCACAAAGTTCACCGGGTGTGACACTAGGCCAGTCGTTGCCTCTTGGCCTAACCTCCCTCGCAGGGGTGTTGTGGGGGTTAAACAAGGAGGGTGTCTGCCCCCTTGAGCTCCCTGGAGAAAAAGGTGGAATAACGTTGTGGATTCTCCTTCCTTGGAGGTTCTGAAGCGGAGGTCGGGTGAACCTCTGTCATGGATGCTTTAGCTGAGATTCCTGCATTGCAGGGGTTGGACTAGATGGCCCTTGGAGTTCCCTTCCAACGCCACAATTCTATGATTCTATGAGATGCGGAAAGGAAAGATAAACATGGCACCTTCAACTCCTTGTGAGGGGGCAGGAAAGGTAATGCTTAAATGCAACCAGTCCATCAATAATAAACTGTGCCAGGGTGGCGAGATGAAATATATCCAGTTTAGCACCATTGTACAATGGCAGATCCTCTCAGCACCAACCAGCCCACTACGAAGAGCAGGCTGGATATTTTTTTCTTATTGATAAATGTATTGATAATAACCCGTCCTTCGCCAGCAGGTCTCCCAGAATTAAAAACAGGCCCTAGGGTGGGTCTCAAAAACAAGACATCTTAAGGGTAAAGAGGGAAGTCACAGGGAAGGTGCCAGACGCATTGCGGTGGGGAGGGAATTCCACAACTTTGGGGCCACCACAGAGAAGGCCCTCTGCTGGCCTGTCACCACCAACACCGAGGGCTGAGGAACTATCAAGAGGTGCCCTGCCTGCCGATCCCAGCACCCAAGGAGGTAGCCTTTCAGGTATTTGAGGCCTGTGTCATTCAAGGCCTTGAACACGAATGTGAGTGCCTTAAATTGGGCCCAGAAACAAAACAGCCACCAGTGCAATTGTCTTAAAATGGGGTTTTTAATGTGATATCGCAACAGAACCAATCCCCTTCCTCACCCTTTTATTTGCACTCCGCCTATCTAACTGCCCCAGCCACCCTGGGCAGCTTCTGACATATATAAAACACAAAAATACATTTAAAAACTTCCCTTCAGGGCTGCATTCAAATGCCCTTTAAAGGTTGCATAGCTGTTTATCTCCTTGACATCTGATGGGAGGGCGTTCCACAGGGCGGGCGTCACTACCGAGAAGGTCCTCTGCCTGGTTCCCTGTAACCTTGCTTCTCGCAGGGAGGGAACCGCCAGAAGGCCCTCAGAGCTGGACCTCAGTGTCTCCACTGAACAACGGGGGTGAAGATGCTCCTTCATGTATACTGGGCCGAGTCCATTTAGGGCTCTAAAGGTCAGCACCAACACTTTGAATTGTGTTCGGAAACATACTGGGAGCCAATGTAGATCCTTTAGGACTGGTGTGATACGGCCTGAGTGGCCACTCCCAGTCACCAGTCTCGCTGCCACGTTATGGGTTCGTTGTGGTTTCCGAGTCACCTTCAATGGGGCTATTGGGGTTGAGGGGCTATTGGGTTGTTGTTTTTATTGTCATTATGTATACAAGTGGTCGCTCAGGTTGCAAACGTGACCCGTGCGGGATGCACATTCACAACCTGCAACGTTCGCAACCCGCAGCGTCACATCTGCGCACACGCGGGTTGCGATTCTGCGCATGCGCAAAGTGCAATTTAGTGCTTCTGTGCATGCGCGACTGCCAAAACCCAGAAGTAACCCGTTCTTGTACTTCCAGGTTTTGGCGGGTGTGTAACCCGAAAAAACGCAAACTGAAGCGGCTGTAACCCGAGGTATGACTGTATTGTGGTTTTGTATCTTGATTTTATTCTGTGAGACCCCCGGGTATAGGGCGGTAAGTAAGTAAGTAAATAAATAAATAAATAAATAAATGGCCCACGTACTGAAGGTCCCCAAGCAAGGTAGTTTCTGAAGGAACTACCAAGGAACTACCATCTGCCTCACCCTCCGAATTTCCCTGCCTCCCACAATGCACACATGCAGAGACACGTATCTCCCCCCCTCACCCCTCCGCCCCCCCCCAATAAATCAAGAAGGAGGAGGAGATTCTCACCATTGCTCCGCGGGTACGAAGGTTAGGACTTTTTGGTTTTAACCAGCCCCTTCTGAACCAGGCACCGGTAGAACTCCTGGATGTACGTGTAAACGCACTTCCAATCGGGCTCCCTCATCCGGACCATGTCCTCCACATCCAGTAACTGGGGGCACTCCGCGTGCGTCCTGGGTGGTGGGGCAGGGTGGTGGGGTGCCAGGAAAGGGGAGGGAGAAGCCAGTGATCACAGCCCGGACAGATTTGGAAAGGGGGCAGGGAGGGACGGAGAGAAAAAGAAGAGAGACAGAAGGAAAAAAACAGAAGAAATACATAAATCCATTTCACATTCCTTTGTGTGTGTGTGCGTCAAACTTACATACATGCTTTTGGGGGGTGTCTCTCTGGCGTGCAATACAAACGAGGGTGGAAGGAGGGGGGGTCGATTGCACACGTGCGCCTGGGAGTCATTCCTCATACGGGGGGGTGGGATAGGAAGGGTAGGGTGAGCGTGGCCAGAAGTGCTGTTGTCGGGGGCAGGTGCCATGAGCAGGTGTGGGGAACTCGAACCCGGATCTCGACAGCAAGGACAGTCCGACAGACGGAAAGGGGTTGGGGGGGGGGGGAAGAAAAGGAGATGGAGGGGGCGGGTTGGGTTGGGAAGAAAGGCGCTGTGCTCTGGTGCCTATTCCAAGGTGGGGCCTTCCTTCTATATGGACGCATATAGAGAGAGTGGATGAGGGGGGCCAGAATGCACCCCGCTGCCTCATCCCATCCTACCCCAGCCTTGCAACAGCGCTGCGGCACAGCCGGGGTGCCTGAAGCTAGTAGAGGGGGGCGGGCACAGGACGACAGCGACACAGGAGGGAGAGCGAAAGCAGCCCAGGAAAGCACCTCTGGTCCAGATCGTGGAAGGAGGGGGTCGGTCGCTCTCGTGGTCCACGGAGAGGAGAGGGGAGCGAGGAAGAGGCAAGTGGGGATCTCTGGCAGGTGAAACCCTTCGCAGGCAAATGCCCCTTCCCCTCCTCTTGGGACAGGACACTGCATTAGGCCCGCAAGGGGGAGACCTGGCTCAGAGAAGAGGAAACTCATCGTCCCGCCAGCCTGGGACATCAACAGAACGAGCAACTAGGAGTCATTGTGCAGACCACCAGGCTCCTGCAGCAAGGCTCTGGCACTCGTGAAAACGTCCTTTAAAAAGGGATCACTCTCAGGTCTGCTAGTAAGGGAAGCAGCAACGAAGCAAATCAGGAGCAGGGGAAATGGAGGCCCTCAGTTTGACCCTCGGAAATCTCTGCAGGCCGCACCCTGAGTGGTTTTTGCCTGGCCGGGGGTTAGCCTTGAAGGCAGATCATGCCTCTTGCTTTCACACAGGAAGCTAGTGTAGAAACCAGCCTACAGTGGTGCCTTGGTTCTCAAACGCCTGGTACTCAAACAACTTGGAACCCAAACACTGCAAATCTGGAAGTAAGTGTTCCGGTTTACAAACTTTTTTCGGAAGTCGAACGTGCTCCGTTCTGAGTGTTACACTTCCGTTTTGAGTGTTACGCTGAGGTCTGTCTGATTTTGCAATTTATTTTGCTTTTTTGTTTTTGCGCCTCTTTTTGTTTTGTTTTTGTGATTGTGTGGAACCCAGATCAGCTACTGATTGATTGACTGTGTGACTGCAGTACATTGTTTATTGCTTTCATTTTATGGATCAATGGTCTCGTTAGATAGTAAACTTCATGTTAAATTGCTGTTTTAAGGGTTGTTTTTAAAAGTCTGGAACGGATTAATCTGTTTTGCATTCCTTTCTATGGGAAAGCGCGCCTTGGTTTGGAACGCTTTGCTTTTGGAAGGGACTTCCGGAACGGATTAAGATTGAGAACCAAGGTACCACTGTACTGTAAAAAGCTAAAATTTGCACTGCTTGCTCCGCACACTTTAGACCGGACCTTGCCCACCAGGGACTGCAGCCCTTGGGTGGAAAAAGGGTTCCAAAAAAGTGCTAAAATGCAGCATTATTTTGTCGTGGTGGTTACGTATTTTTAGGGCAAGGCATGTTCAAAAACCCTTATCCTGATACCTGCAAATGTGGGCGAGCGGTCCTGACTTTCCTGGGTGCTGTGGTCCGCAGGATCAGCCCAAACCTCTCCAGAGTGCCAAATCTTGCAAGTGGCCTGGCTCCCTAAATTTGCATGTGGAGAAGCAGTTGCTCAATGCTGCTCTGGAGAGGCCTGCTGTCCACCTCTGGTTGGGAAGGGGACTAGCAGCCCACGGGGGAGAAATAAGAGACGAGAAAGCGAGACAGAGAGAGAACTCCCTTCCTTGTCTTTCTGCTCAGACCCGTTCCAGGCACAGCACCCAGGGGTGTCCCGGCTCAAGAAGCGGCAGCGGCGTGCCCAGCCAGGCCCCGAGGGCGTCCGCAGCCCCGAAGTCGCTCTCACCACGCAACCCCAAGCTGCAACAGCGCACAACCCTATAAGAAAGACCTTGCAAAGAGGTGCAGGCACGCTCCTGCTCCTCCACACCAGCTCACAGTGTCCCAAGTGCGCCACCGCCAAATCCAAATTTTCCAGAGGTACCAGAACGTCTTCCGTCGTGGAAGAGCTCCTGCGCTCTGCATAAATAGCTGAGCCCCCTTCTCTTCCTACCTTGTGCGCGAGAAAGCAGCACGGATCGAGCCAGGGCCGGGAAAGGTCTGTCGGCAGGTTACGCGGCAAAATCCCAGCACGCTTGTGAGGCCCCGGCATGAACGGTTAGCTGGCTTGGGTGGTGCAAGAGCACAGTGAGGTGTAGTGGTTACAGCAGTCCTCCCCAAATGGGCAGTACTGCCCCCCTGGTGGGAGGCAGAAGGATCAACCAGGGGGGGGGAGGAATAAGAAGCAAGGGGGCAGCAGGGGCACACTGGAGGTGTAAATCAGACTTTGAAAAGTTGGAATCTCTACTCCAAGCCCACCAGTTTTGCTGGATTAATTAAACTAAATAGTTTTCATTGGATTTTGAGTAAGTGTGTGATTAACCGTTACTGTTTTGAAACTCATATTCTGTTCCTGAGCGGGTCATGCAAGCTGTCGTTCTGAATAATGCTTTTTCTAGGGTAGGGGGCATAGGGGATGAATTTATGGAACCAAGTCTGAAAAAGTTTGGGAACCACTGAGTTAGAGTGTCGGACTAAGACCTGGGAGACCAGGGTTCGAATCTCTGCTTGGCCACGTGAAGCTCACTGGATGTGACCCTGGCTGCCAGTCACCTCTCTCTACTTTAAAGGGTTGTTGTGGGGATTAAAAGGAGAGCGGGAAGACCACATGTGACAAATGCAATAAGATAAATAAATATTGAAGAAACAGCCACCTGTGCCCTTGCACGCCTCAAGAAGAAGAAGAAGAGTTTGGATTTGATATCCCGCTTTATCACTACCCAAAGGAGTCTCAAAGCGGCTAACATTCTCCTTTCCCTTCCTCCCCCACAACAAACACTCTGTGAGGTGAGTGGGGCTGAGAGACTTCAGAGAAGTGTGACTAGCCCAAGGTCACCCAGCAGCTGCATGTGGAGGAGTGGGGAATCGAACCCGGTTCACCAGATTACGAGTCTACCGCTCTTCACCACTACACCACACTGGCTCTCAAGAGATGCCTTTTGCCAGAGCTGTGTGTTTGTTGCAATTCTGCAGGTAACCACCAAAAGTACAACTGGGGCTTCAATCTTCCTAAGAACCCCAATCTTGCATTAAAAAAAAAAAAAAGGCGGAACAAGCATGTTTCTAGACCTCAAGGTTGCAAAAGCACTCTGATTTTCCCAGTGGACAGCCGAGACACCCTAGAAGTCAGAGAGGGATGGCTGAGCAGTCCTCTCCCTTCCTCAGGACTAGCAAAAATGAAATAAACTGTAAGCATTCCAGAAGCCTGCAAAAAAATAATAATCAGATTTTGCTTTTCCCAAGCCCAGGTCTTTCTTCCTTTTGATGAGGCCCTGCTACATGACACCAGCCTTCTCCAACCTGGTGCCCTCCGGATCGTGTTAGACAGACAGTGTGGGCTAATGGTCAGAGGTTTGTGGTCTAGCAACGCCTGGAGGTTGGGAAAGGCTGGTGTCTGCACAGAGGGAGTGCTGCTTTCTGTCTAGACAACACAGCTTAGGAAGAAGAACAGGGGACGAGAGGCAGGCCTTATTCCCCACCTTGGGGCTTTACTGGGAGGTCTCTCCCAACCCCCCCAAGTCATCCACCCAGTGAGACATTTTCTGGTTGAGAACCTCCCAGCCGGAAGCAGCACAGGTTTGTGCACAACTGAGCAGGAAACAGCCACAGCCCTGCAGAGAGGTGTCCGGTTAACTCATTGCCACAGGATAGTTAAGCCAGCCTTCCTCACTATGGTGCCCTCTAGATTGCTTTAGATGCTACAACTCCCATCATGCCCTGCCAGTGCAGCCATTTTGGACTACAACTCCCATCGGCCTCAGCCAGCACTGACGGCTTGGACTACAACTCCCATCATCCCCTGCTATAACGGCCCTTTTGGACTTCTAGCTCCCCTCACAGCTGTAGCACAAAGCCCATAGAGAGCACCAGATTGGCCAAGGCTGCGTTAGGCAGAGAAAGAGAGAGAGAGAGAGAGGTATGCCAATAACCCAGAAAAGGCGCTAGACCTCTTGAAGGAAAAACAGGCGCTGCACCCGCACTTCTCTCCCACACCCGGCGGGGGGCAGGAGAAGCCAAGGGGTACATACTCAGCCGCCGAGAACGCCATCTCAAAGTTGCGCCGCCGGTCCTGTGGTGAAAGCTGGGCATAATCGAAGGCCTCTGGGAAGAAGTTGTGGACAAGGGCGCAGAAGGCCATGCCGTCGCTCCAGCTGGAGGAAAAGTTCTGGATGTCGACGTGCTGCCGAGTAAAATAAAAACAAAATTTGAAAATTTCGTTTTATTTTTTAAAAAAATTGATCAAAAAACCTCAAAGCGGGGGTTCGCCAAAAGAAGAGAGAGATAATGTTAGCAGTAAGAAGAACGAGCAACACTAACTTAAAAATTTCAAAAAGAAAACAAGAAGAATGCACATTTAAAGAAGACTGGGAAATGTTTACTGAATATATGGGTGAAAATTGTGTTCATTTAAAAACGCTAGTTAACTTGAATTCAACAGTGTAAATCAGTTTTGATGAATGTAACAATGGATTACCGAATGGTTTAGTTCATGTAAAAGATGCAGGAATGTATGGTATGTAAAACAGACCTTGGAAATAGAAGAAGGGAAGCAATTTATTTAAGGTTATTTAAATGAATGTTTTGAAATGTAATTTAGAAAATTTAATAAAATTGTGTGTGTGTGTGTGTGTGTGTGTGTGTGTGTGTGTTAAAGACAACTCTAGACTAAAAAAGAGATGAAAACTCACACAAACTGCTTTAGGCTTGTCTAACAGAATATTTTTAGCAGGCTCTGAAAAAAGTACAGTGAAGGCATCTGCCTGATATCAATCAGCAGGGAGTTCCAAAGTGTAGGCGATGCAACACAGAAAGTTCCAAGTTCTTACAACTGCAGAGCAGGTATTATGTGGCTTCTGAAAGAGGGCCAGTTCTGTTGATCGAAGCTGTTGAATGGGGTATGTGGGATAAGGAGATCTCTCAATCTGGGGAAGCCCGGGCAGAAAGGGGGCACAGGCAAATGGCAAACTAAGTTGTCGGGCTGTGCCGAAATGGCAAAACTGACCGGAAAGCTCAGAAACCAGAGACACCAAAACTTTAATAGGAAATGGGAAAAAATTATAATTTACCTAGAAGACCACTGTTAGCAGTTGAAAACACTAGCAGGATTGCAATAACACTCGTAATGTAACGAGAACTATGGATATAATGGGGTTATAAAAAAAAAATTAAAATGGACTATTGAATAAACATGCAGTAGAAAAGAAGTAACAACAGAACCCGTGGAGGGAAGGTGAGAAGTCCAGAGATTTGGAGGAGTCTTTTAATTGTGGATCTGTCGTGGTAGGATTATAACTTTAAATTTGTAAAACCAAATAAAAATTATTATTTTTTAAAAAGGAAAGTGGGCACAGGCCCGTCGGGGGCACACTCACCTCGTAGCCCCGTGTCTTAGCACGGCACCAATCCAACAACATTTGCTTGATGCTGCTGGCGTTGGGGACCCCAAAGCTGCCCGAGCGCTGGACAGCCACCCGGGACACGGCTGGGTTGGCTGGGCTGCGGAGAGAAGAGGAGAGCGTAAGAAGTTGCCGTATCCCAAACCAAAGCATTGCTCCCATTGGAAGAAGGAAACGGCCTCCGATCGTGGGGGGCTTGCTTGGAATACCGTATTTTCCGCTCTATAAGACGCACCAGACGATAAGACGCACCTAGTTTTTGGAGGAAAACAAGAAAAAAAATATCCTGAATCCCAGAAGCCAGAACAGCAAGAGGGATCTGGCTTCTGGGATAGCCCACAAAGCCTCCACAGGGCAGCGGAGGCTTTGCGCAGCTAAGCCAGAAGCTAGAACAGCGAAAGGGAGTGCCGCACAGCGCTGCCTCTCCCTGTTCTGGCTTCTGGCTTAGCCGATGCCTGCATTCGCCCCATAAGACGAAAACACATTTTCCCTTACTTTTTAGGAGGGAAAAGGTGCGTCTTATAGAGCGGAAAATATGGTACATCCACAAAGGAACGCAGGCGACTGCCTGCCGCCTTCCCTAAAGCCGAGCACCGCCACCCACTCCAGGACTTCTGTGCCAGCCACCCACACCTCATCCGAACACGGCGGGGCTCCTCACCTTCCGCTCTCCTTCTCCAGCTTCTCGATCATGGCCTTCCGGGCTTGCGAAGCCGACGTCTTGGGCAGGCTCTGGGCCTTCATGAGCTCCTTCTTCTTCTCAGCCTGGCGACGTTCCAGGGCGGCCAGGCTGCCAGCACGCCCAGAGGTCTCGTCCTCTCGCTCGAAGATGCTGCCAGAAAGGGACAAAGGTGAGAAAGGGCAGCAGGGGCTTGGAAGGAGACTAGGAGGTCAACGCTGGCTTCTCGCTGGTTCCCCGCTTCCCTCTGCAAGTCTTGTGACCTTACTGCGGCAGCGAGACTGGTGACTGGGAGGGGTCGCTGAAAGATCTATATTGGCTCCCAGTACATTTCCGAGCACAATTCAAAGTGTTGGTGCTAACCTTTAAAGTCCTAAATGGCCTCGGCCCAGTACACCTGAAGCAGCGTCCCCACCCCAATCGTTCAGCCCTGACACTGAGGTCCAGCTCCAAGGGCCTCCTGGATGTTCCCCCACTATGAGAAGTGAGGTTACAGGGAACCAGGCAGAGGGCCTTCTCGGTGGTGGCGCCCACCCTGTGGAACGCCCTGCCATTAGATGTCAAGGAAATAAACAACTATCTGACTTTTAGAAGACACCTGAAGCCAGCCCTGTATAGGTATGCTTTTAATGTTTGATGTTCTATCGCTTTTTAAAATTATTATTAATATTCTGTTGGGAGCCGCCCAGAGTGGCTGGGGAAACCCAACCAGTTGGGCGGGGTATAAATAATAATAATAATAATAATAATAATAATAATAATAATTATTATTATTACAGCAGAGCCAGGGGGTTTTCATCTGTGGGTCTTTTGCTAGAGTGACCCCCACCAGCGGATGCCCAACACAGGCTGTTGAAGAAAAACCCTGTCCCCATTTTGGATGTGAACTCCCATCACGGCTGTTTTGAACAATAATTCCCACCAGCCCCCAGCCAGCACGGCCATATTAGACTACAACTCCCATCAGTCTCAGCCAGTGGGGCTGTTTTGGACTAGAACTCCCAGGAACGCCTTTCGCTTGCTTGGATGAAGACAGCAAGGGACGCACAAACCACACAAAAGGTAGCATCTAAAAATCCATTGCTCCTCCCACTTTCACCGCTGTGCCCTGCCAGGCGCTGGCATGTGGGCCCCAGAAGCAAATCCATCTCTCTGCCTGAAAAAGGTTCTCTGCCCCTGGGCTTAGCAGCTGAACCTCAGCTGCAGAAAGAAAACATGGAAGATGGCTGCCACGGAGCAAGCAAGAGGCAAGAATCGTGGCCGTCCTCCTGCACATGCCTCGCATCCTGCGATCCCTGCGTGGTAGGGGTTGGACTAGATGACCCTGTGTAGGGGTGCAAATATCCAGAGTGTGGGGGTCAGGTGGGATTGCTATGAGGAATTATGAAAAATGAAGCAAGCCATTTGTGTCCGCGACGAACACATTGCGTTGACTGGGTTTGATTCATTGACAATAGTTTCTGATCGAATCCCACAAGCCTCTCCATATCTACCATTTGCTTTCTCTACACCTGACAGGCACGTATAAGCATTCTGAAACACAGACCAGTTGCTTCATCGGGCATCCTCAGTACAAAAAGATAATAGGTTATTTTGATGTAGTTTGTTAATCTTTAGATAGATCTTAAGGGCCAGGAAGAGAGTTCACAAGGAGATGGTAAATCCTGCCTCTCCTGTTTATGACCTCCGGGATTTCCTAAAAGCATTCCTCCTTGCTTCCTCTTTTATTTACTCTGGACTACTATGCATGTTCAAATTAGCTCTTTGTAGTTTTAACTTTTAACTTTGTCCCACGTGGCAGTTTTGAAATGCTCAGAGGAAATCTGATTGGTTCTTACGAACATTGTGTAAAAAGTTCTTTTGTGAATAAAACGACCTGGGCCAAGGGGTGGACAGGATATTGGCATCTCCTCCCAGAGTCTTGCTGGTCAAGCTTCATGTGTATTCTATTAATCAGAGTCCAATCCTTCCCTGTTTTGGGAACGCTACAACCCTGGGGTCCCCCTGCCCACTCCGCAATTCTGCCGTTCTGTGAATACGACAGGAGCTGTGCAACTGGGAGAGGAGCTCCAGGAAGGACTCACCTGCCGACTTTCTTGGAAGACGATGTGCTGTAGGACGATTTGGTCTGGACAAAAGTGTTGCCGTCTGCTGAAAGGTTGAAGCGTCGAGAGGGGTGGGAGACAAACATAAGGACCTCAGGTACCATGGAGGCAACAGGGCGACATGCCACGGACTGCGCCAAAAATCACCCTTTCACGGGTTTCAAATTTTATCGTGTTTTTAGCTTCCTTAACGGGTTGTGCAAACCGCTCTTCCGAAGAATGCTTTTTTATAGCGTAGAAGGCACCAGGGATGAGTTCATGGAACCAAAGGGACAGTGGCCGAGAAAGGTTTGAAAACCACTGAGTGGGTGTGTTGGACCTGGACCTATTAGACTCGGGTTCGAATCCCCACTCAGCAATTTAAAGTTCGCTGGGTCAAGTGGCTGCCTCTCAGCTTAAACCTACTTCACAGGGTTGTTGTGGGGATTAAATAAGATGGGGGTGAGAAGGGGGCAGTGGTCCCAAAAAGTGTGGGAACTGCTTCTCTAACCACTACACAACACTGCAGTAACTTATTATGCTTTGCTCTTCCAATGTATTGGTGCTGACTTTAAAGCCCTAAACGGCCTCGGTCCAGTATACCTCAAGGAGCATCTCCACCCCCATCGTTCAGCCCGGACACTGAGGTCCAGCGCCGAGGGCCTTCTGGTGGTTCCCTCCCTGTGAGAAGTGAGGTTACAGGGAACCAGGCAGAGGGCCTTCTCGGTAGTGGCACCCTCCCTGTGAAACACCCTCCCACCAGATGTCAAAGAGAAAAACAACTACCAAACTTTTAGAAGACATCTGAAGGCAGCCCTGTTTAGGGAAGCTTTTAATGTTTAATAGGTTATTGTATGTTAGTGTTCTGTTGGAAGCTGCCCAGAGTGGCTGGGGAAACCCAGCCAGATGGGAGGGGGTATAAATAATAAATTATTATTATTATTATTATTATTATTATTATTGTCAGAGCTGCTTCCAGATCCTAGCTCACAGAGGATCACGCTAGCCAGCGATCATTAAACAAAAGTCTTTATTGAGTTACAGTTTCCATTCTCAAGCTGCTGCGTGCAACTCTACGTCTCATGCTTAGACCGGCGAAGCTCCGTCTGAGTCTCCGCCCCTTGTACACCAACTTAATATCCTAGCCCTGCTCCACCTTTTCCGCCTGACTGTTCTTCTCTGGGTCCCTCTGCCCCCCGGGGTCTCTTCCTTCCGGGATTCCTCTGACGCTGACTCCCCTGACTCTTCTCCCTCCTTTTGGCGGGCTTTGGGACCTGGCTCCCTTTCCGGGCTGCCTACTGCGCCACCTTCCTGTGCATTTGAACTTGGCGCGCGCGCCCAACCTTCCACCTTCCGTCTGACCGTTTCTTCGCTCCCCGATGGAGGTGTGGCCACTCCTGACTCGTGCCCTCCCCCCTGTTGTGAGTTGCCAGCGCTTGATCCCTGGTGCCCTTCCTCTTCCCTGCTCTCTGGCGGTGACGTTGGTCCCGATTTCCAACTGCTCCCCTCTGAGTCCCCTCTGGCTCTATCTTCCTGGGGTGTCCCCCTAGGCTCCCCCCTTGCCCTGGCCACTGGTGCTCCTTTCTGTGAATCTTCTGATTCACTGGAAAGACTCGGAGATCTCGGGTCGTCGTCATCACTCATCTTTTCTTCTGCCTCCTCCCCCTCGCTCTCTGTTTCCTCCCTTGCCCTTGCCTCTGCTCCTGAACCCCTGACAATTATTATTATTTACCCTTCAAGCCCAGACATCTCAGGAAACAGAGAAACACTCAACACCACAATAAATCTGCTCTCAGTCCCATTTAGCTTGGCAAGAAAGAATAGCCCTCCCTCTTCCTGGGAGCCCCTCACGGCAAGGAAGGAAAGAAAGGTGCAGGAAGAGCCTTACTTTCCGATCTCTTCACGTAGCTGGACTCCATCATCATCGTGCGGGAAGTCTTGCTGCCATCATCTGGGAGGGGGAAAGCATAAGAGGGTAAGCAGAGTGATTATGGATCAGGCCAGAGGCCTACCTTGTCTGGCGCCCTGTTCCCCACAGTGGGAAGCCCACAAGCAAGACTTGAAAGCTTTAGGCTTTTCTCCCTTTGTTATTCCGCCTCTGGAAGGTGTACTAAAGGCTAATGGATGATCTAGGCGAGATTCCTGCACTGCAAGGGGGTTGGACTAGATGACCCTCGGGGTCCCTTCCAACTCTACAATTCTGGGATCTAGTCTGACCTCTCCTGCCCAATGCAGGAATTCCAGCTGCAGCAGATGGTTGCCAGCCTCTGCCTCAAGACCTCCAGCAAGAAAGAGCGCTCCAAAATTCTAGGTACCTAGCCCCATAGCCAAGCAGCTATTAGGGTCAAGAAAGAACATTTCCCTAAAATATTCTCCCCAAATCTACCCTCCTATAACTCAATCCCCAGTTAGACCCAATCTTGTTCTCAGGGGAAGCAGAGAAGAAGACTTTGCCCCCTTCTGCCTGATGACAGCCCTTCAGCTATTACACTCCTCCTCTGCCTGATTTTCTCCCGGGTAAAAATAAACAAGTTTCCTTATTTTATTTAGACCTAACCATCTTGTCTTCCGCTGGGCCTGCTCCAATCCAACTAAATCCTTCTTAAAGCACAGCGCCCAGAACTGGACACCGGACTCCAAGCAGAGAAAAAAGCAAAAGTCTTATTTCTCACGACTTGGAAACTCTGGCGCAGGCGACGCCGTCTAAAATTGCATTAGCCCTTTTCGCAGCCGCATTACAGGGCTGCCTTGTTACCAGTAGCCGTTGCTACTAGCCTTGTTCTCCACACATTTGTCTAATCCCCTTTAGCGCCCTCCCAAGTTGGGGGCTGTCATCATTTTCAAATTCCAGAGTCCAGCTAGCTGCTGCATGAAGAATCCTTTCTTCTTGCCTGTCCTGAATCTTCCAACATTCAGATTCATTGGATGACGCAAAGCTCCAGTATTTGGCAAAATGCATCTCCCTATCTTTACCGGGCAGAATTTTATACCCCTTTACCATGTTCCCACATGCTCACCGTTTCCCCTAAACTAAAAAGAACCAAGCATTGGAAAAACACTTTCCTTGTAAGGAAGTTGCCCAAAACCTCTTAAACCAGGCTTCCTCAACCTCAGCTCTTCAGATGTTTTGAGACTACAATTCCCAGCATCCCTGACCACTGGTCCTGCTAGCTAGGGATCATGGGGGTTGTAGGCCAAAAAAACATCTGGAGGGCTGAGGTTGAGGAAGCCTGTCTTAAACACTGAGCTTGTGCTTTTCCAAACCTCTCTCAGCTCTACAATATCCTTTCTGAGGAGGGGCTGTGATGGGTCAGATGGAAGCCCTTAGCCTTGAAGCCAAGAAACTGCCTTAAAACAGGCCATCAGGACATGGAAGCTGCCTGACACAAAAAAAGAACATTGTGTCCATCTAGCTTAGTACTGTCTGCACTGACTGGCAGCAGCTCTCTGGAGATTCAAATAGGGGACACTGACAGGAATCGAACCTGGGACCTTCTGCACCAAAAGCAGGTGCTTTACCACTGAGCTACAGCTCTTCCCTTGCGCTGTCTGGCAATTGGTCCACCTAGCTCAGTACTGTCCACACTGACTGGCAGCAGTTCTGCAGGATTTCAGGCAAGTCTCTTGCAGGTGTACTTGGAGATGCTTTTGGGGACTGAACCCGGGACCTTTTTGCACGCAAAGCAGATTATCTGCTGGCCCTTCCTCACGCGTCCATCCCTCTATCCATCCCAGTGCTGCCTACTCTGACTTGCAGCCACAGCTCTCCAGGGTGCCAGCCAAAGAGAGGTCTTGCTGAGCCCCTTTTGACTGGAGAGGCCTTGGATTCGAGGGTGGAAAGGGTACTTCAGCCCATCATTCTCCCTACAACGGAGGAAGTCCCGGGAAGTGGACGGCATGAATCACGGCCGAGCGAGGAGCGCTTACGTCCCAAAAGAAAAGACTAACTCAGATGCTCTAAAACATGGCCAAAGAACAGATGACAGAGAGAGAGAGAGAGAGACGAGCCATTCTAAGCTTCAGTTGCCAGGATGAGGACGTGGAGACGGCCCGAGAAGGCACCAACCATCCCGGTGCAAAAAGAGAAGAAAAACTGCCAGCGGTGACCCCCGATACAAAGAGGAGAGATCAGGACAGTTTCCAGAGCAGAAAGAAGAAGGCGTCTCTCCACGGGGAGAGCAAGGACCCCAAAGAGGCCTGAGTTGACATCTGGGATGCGTGCTGCGTGTCTCCCCCCGGAAGCCATGCGCTCGGAAGGAAAGGCGGAGCATCCCCAAACCCCCAGCTGTTCCTTACTGGACTGGACAAGGCGCTGGGTCTTGGTGACGGTGCTGATGGCTGAGCCATCGGCGGACATGGCGCTCTGCCGGGCTGTGGTCTCTGTGGTGTGGGTGGCCCCTCTCGATTTGGCTTCCTGGATCCTCAAGCTGCGCTCCTTTTCTCGTTGCTCTGCAAAACGCCACGTCCCAGAGGGGTCAGGAACGGCGGCAAGAACGGCGGGAGGAGGGCAAGGCTACAGGAGCCACGGGGGGCCTTGCTGTGCCTTTTTAACAAACCAATCTTTTAGCGCTGGAACTCCCCGCCTATTGACAACCAGGCAGGCCCCTTCCTTGCACAATGCCGGCCGAAGACGTTTTTGTTTAGGAAAAGCTTATCCAGACATGTAGGAAGCTGGTCTGTGTTTTGTGTTGTTTTCATTTCACCGTTCCTTTTCATTTCCCTGAAGATGGCTTACAACTGTTGCTTTCAACAGCTTTTACTGATACAGCCATACCATGGAAGTCAAACGGAATCCGTTCCGGAAGTCCATTCGACTTCCAAAACGTTCAGAAACCAAAGCACGGCTTCTGATTGGCTGCAGGATGGTAAAAGTAAGTGTAATTTAAAAAATGATTAAAAATTATGATATATGTAAACTGCTAAAGATGAGGTAAAATGAAAATCAGATAGGGGGGACTTGGGGAAGCTCACTTAACAATGTTTAGAAAAAATAAGGATAAGACAATAATTTGTTTGTTTTTCTGTTGGTGTTGTTTATTAGTGTTATAAAATGAATAAAAAAATGGGGGGCGGGCGGAAGCCATGGAAGCTCCATCAGACGTTCGGCTTCCAAAGGAATGTTAAAAAACCAGAACACTTCCGGTTTTCGATATTCCGGGAGCCGGAACGTTCGACTCCCAAGGCGTTCCAGAACCAAGGTACGACTGTAGTTTCATAGTTCTGTACTTTTTGGAAACCGCTTTAAGGATTTGGTTTTGTGAGAACAAAGCCGTACATAAACCTTAGAGAATAAAATTTACTGTGGCCAGGAACCCTTTATTTCACAGATTTGTTAAATTTTAAATTTCACCCTTCCTCCAAGGAGCTCAACAGTAGCAGCTGTGAGTCTCCTAAAACACCACTGGTTTGATCCTCACAGCAGCCCTTGGTGGCGGGGAGTTAGGTCAAGGGACAGTAACTGGCTCAAGGTCACCTAGTGAGGAGGGAGGTTTCTTCACTCAACTGCAGATACGTACAGATTGCTGCATATCATAGGAACACAGGACGCTGTCTTACTCTGAGTCCATCCAGCTCAATACTTTACACACTGACTGGCAGCAGCTCTCCAGGCTGTGGAACAGGCATGGCCATAAAATGGACAATGCAGCCATGCTGGCTGGGGGCTGACAGTTGTAGTCCAACAGCAGGCTGGCGAATACTTGTGTGAATCCGGTGGCTTTTGCACAGCAATTCTCAGTGCCCATTTGCCTCCCACTCCTCTATAGTTTAAGTCTTCTCATTTGAGGACTAGATTTCTTGAAGTGTGCAATTATAAAGCTCCCCACCCCCCAAAAAAATTCCCAGGCAGGTACCTCGCTTCCGCTGGCGCAATTCCCGCATGGCGGCCCGTATCAGCCGCCGCTCCTCAAAGTCTGTGGTCTGATCCAGCTGCAGGGAGAGATAAAGAGGGGTTATTACTAGCACTGTGGTACCTCAGGTTACATACGCTTCAGGTTACATACGCTTCAGGTTACATACTCTGCTAACCCAGAAATAGTGCTTCAGGTTAAGAACTTTGCTTCAGGTTGAGAACAGAAATAGTGTTCTGGTGGCGCGGCAGCAGCAGGAGGCCCCATTAGCTAAAGTGGTGCTTCAGGTTAAGAACAGTTTCAGGTTAAGAACGGACCTCCGGAATGAATTAAGTACTTAACCCGAGGTACCACTGTACTACTTCTCTCTCTCTCTCTCTCTCTCTCTCTCTCACACACACACACACATACATAGCTTTTCTCCCTTCATTTAAAAAAAGGCATGAAAAGTCCTTCTCCCAACGAGGAAAAGCCGCTCAGAGAAATTTAATTCACACAGATGTAATTCTGCAAGCATGCAGGCGAAGGGCATTCAAGTTTAATTTTATTTTTAAAAACCTGGAGAAATGCTGCCAGTCAGTGCTGACGATATGGAGTTAGATTCTAGATCCTTGGTTTTATTATTTATGTTTAGAAGGATCAGCAGCCTAACTCAGTTTAAGGCAGCTTCTAAATTTGATCATCCCTTTATTTTGGAACCATGAGGACTAGGAACTTATCTTATTTTGAAGTCAAGCCCTTGGGCTCAGTGGTAAAACATCAGCTTTGCATTATGTTTCCATGATCATTCTGGCTGCACCTGTCATGGGCCAGGAATTGGCTTCACCTGTTGAGCAGCAGCCTGAAGGAGCAGAAGGAAGTGACTCCACCTGCTGCTGATCAGCCTTCTTGCTCCTGGTGTGAACCAGGTGGCTCCAGCTTTCTTAAGGACTGTTTCCGGCCACAACATTGGTGGTTCCTGGACAGACCTTGCCGCTTCTTGCTTCTCGTGACCTTGGACTCTTAGCTTTCTTGACCCCTGGACCGTCTGACTATGTGAACTGAGATTCTCCTGACCTTAGGACTGGACTGAACCTTGCATACGGACTCTGCCTCCAGGCAAGTACCCCCCTGAGACTTGGTTGGCTGGCATCTCCCGCCACTGAGCTCTGCCATGGCTGAGCAGCCTAAGGAATAGGACAGCACCTTTACCCACATCTAACAATTAGTTTCTAGGTCCAAATTCAGAGTGCTGGTTTTGACCTTTAAAGCCTTAAACGGCTCAGGACCGCAATACAGTGGTACCTCGGGTTACAAACGCTTCAGGTTACAGACTCCGCTAACCCAGAAATAGTACCTAGGATTAAGAACTTTGCTTCAGGATGAGAACACAAATTGTGCTCTGGCGGCACGGCGGCAGCAGGAGGCCCCATTAGCTAAAGTGGTGCTTCAGGTTAAGAACAGTTTCAGGTTAAGAACGGACCTCCGGAACGAATTAAGTACTTAACCTGAGGTACCACTGTACCTCAAGGATCGCCTCTCTCCATATGAATCTACCCGGACCCTCAGATCATCTTCTGAGGCCCTCCTTCGTGTGCCTCCTCCCTTAGAGATCCGGAGGATGGCAACATGAGAACAGGCCTTTTCTGCAGTGGCTCCCCATTTGGGGAATGCTCGGTTTAATTATTTGCTTGTGTTTTATCCTGTATTTCATTCTCTGAACCACCCCAAGATCTTTTGATGAAGGGCAGTACAGTGGTACATCGGGTTAAGTACTTAATTAGTTCCGGAGGTCCGTTCTTAACCTGAAACTCTTCTTAACCTGAGGTACCACTTTAGCTAATGGGGCCTCCTACTACCGCCACTGCGCAATTTCTGTTCTCATCCTGAAGCAAAGTTCTTAACCCGAGGTACTATTTCTGGGTTAGCGGAGTCTGTAACCTGAAGCGCCTGTAACCCAAGGTACCACTGTATATAAATTCTGTTCTCATCAGCCACAGCCAGTGTGACCAATGATTAATGTCCCCTAGTGCATTGATATAGTCCTCCTGGCGCCTCAATTATACATCTTTTGGCGCCAGGCAAAAACGTTCCTCTTTAACCAGGCCTTTGTCCGATTAACATTCTTATGTCCTTTAAAATGCGTTGGGGTGGTGCTGGTTACGGGTTTTGTTCTTGTTTTTATTCTACATTTTGTGGTTTTTATTTTGTATTTGGAACGTGTGCAGAGGAGGGCAACCAAGACAATCAAGCGTCTCATTTTATGAGGAGTGTTTGAAGGAGCTGGATATGTTTAGACTGGAAAAGAGGAGGCTGAGAGGAGATACGATAGCTGTCTTAAGAGCTGTCACGTGGAAGAATGGAGCAAGCTTGCTTTCTCGTGCTCCAGAGGGTAGCACTCAAAACCAATGGCTTCAAGTTACAAGAAAGGGGATTCCAACTGACTTTCTGACATTCAGGGCTGTTCAACAGGGGAACGGTCTCCCTCAGGAGGTTGTGGACTCTCCTTCCTTGGAGGCTTTTAAGCAAAGGTTAGATGGCCATTTGTCAGGGATGCTTTAGCTGAGATTCCTGCACTGCAGGGGTTTGGACTAGATGACCCTTGAGGGACCCTTCCAACTTTGATTTTCTGCCACCCTGAAATCTTCAAATGAAGGGTGGTACTGTATACAAAATTTAATAAACAAGCAACACGCTTTCGGAGGCTCAGTAGCGAGCAAAATGACACCCGCTTGTGGCAGGAGGTGATCCACCCCAGATCCAAACCCTCTCCCAAACATTGATTATTATTATTATTTATTGAATTGATTTATTTATTTACTACCAGGAGGTCTCAGGGCGGTTCACAGAACAAAAACATTTGCTCCAGACACACAGACAAACGCACACACCCTTAAAGGGAAAGGTAAAGGGACCCCTGACCATTAGGTCCAGTCGCAAACGACTCTGGGGTTGCGGCGCTCATCTCGCTTTACTGGCCGAGGGAGCCGGCGTACAGCTTCCGGGTCATGTGGCCAGCATGACTAAGCCGCTTCTGGTGAACCAGAGCAGCACACAGAAATGGCGTTTACCTTCCCACCGGAGTGGTACCTATTTATCTACTTGCACTTTGAGGTGCTTTCAAACTGCTAGGTTGGCAGGAGCTGGGACCAAGCAATGGGAGCTCACCCCGTTGCGGGGATTCGAACCGCTGACCTTCTGGTCGGCAAGCCCAAGCAGCGCAGTGGTTTAAGCCACAGCGCCACACACCCTTACCCGACCCCAGATATGTGAAATATATCATCACTGAAGCAGTCAAATACAACATTTCCTGTTACCCAGAGTGGACACACAGGGGAATGATGCTCCAGACAGGGAAAACTTCCTGTCATACAAGTTCTGGCGTATCCTTCCCCTGTCTGTGACCAGGTAGATGGGCAGACCCTAGAAAGGGGCTAGTCACACAGCCATCTTCCTCTTTTACTCTTTTGCCTTTTTTTGTTCTCTGCTGGCTCTTAGCCAGCAGCACATGGCTCATCCTTAGAGGATGGAAGCCATAAAGTAGAAAGTCCGAGGCCTAGCTCAGACTTCTTTTCACTACAAATGTAACTGTAACCACAAGATAAAGCCTGCCTCCAGAATATTACAGTGGTACCTCGGGTTACATACGCTTCAGGTTACAGACTCCGCTAACCCAGAAATAGTACCTTGTGTTAAGAACTTTGATTCAAGATGAGAACAGAAATCATGCAGCGGCAGCAGCAGGAGGCCCCATTAGCTAAAGTGGTGCTTCAGGTTAAGAACAGTTTCAGGTTAAGAACGGACCTCCGGAACAAATTAAGTACTTAACCCGAGGTACCACTGTACTGTGGACTGAATGTTAAGTAAACTTTATTCCTACTTTCAGTCAAGACTGTTGCATTATTATTATTATTTTTAAGAGGGAAATAAAAGGCAAAACTTGCCAGGAGCAAGCCAGACTGGACTGCTCAACTTAAAAGATTCTAACGAATCCATCAACTTGCTTCCAGCAATCTGCAAAGGAATATGCTCTGCTGCTTGCTCACTAGCGTGAGGGAGGAGGGGTAATATTTAATCCATATATCCTCTCCTACTTTCCTCAACATTCCCACAAGATACCCAACCCAGAAAATCAGCTATGACTGTTACCACCCTGCTGTGTGCCACGGAGTCCCAAATTCACGCCGCTGTCGCCAACACGTACCATCTTATCCAACACATGCTCTTCCTCAATTTTGCTCAGCTCTTCGGCGCTGAGGCGGCTTCGCTGGTGCAGTTCCTGGGCCTGCAGCTTCTCTTTCTCGGTGCCGTTTGACAACGCTGAGTCCGCTGCCTCCCGGTGCACCGGCACCTCGGCTTCCATCTGAAGCAAAAAAAGAGGATGACACCAATGTAGGTCAAGAGCAACTTGGAAGATCATACACGGGATCTTCCACGCTGATTTTCTTTTCTTTTTTACTCATTCCATTTATAGTCTTACCTTCTTTCCTCCAAGGAGTTCAAGGTGGCTTAATTAGTCCCCCCCCCCATCCCCATGTTTTCCCATGCATTTTTTTTTATTTTAAAAAAAATGTAAGAAAAAGAAAAGTTTGCAGAAGGAAAATAAGAGGAGAGAGAGAATGCCAGAAGTAAAGTAGCGTCAGTGCAAACACGGAACACAAATGCAGCCGAAATATAGCCGTAACTCGGAAGTCAAACGGAATCCGTTCCGGAAGTCTGTTCGACTTCCGAAACGTTCAGAAACCAAAGCGCGGCTTCCGATTGGCCATAGGAAGCTCCTGCAGCCAATCAGAAGCCACGGAAGTCGTTTGGGACGTTCGGGTTCCAAAGAACGCTCGCAAACTGGAACACTCACTTCCGGGAGCCGAAACGTTCGGCTCGCAAGGCGTTCAGGATCCAAGGTATTGCTGTGGTTTAACAAATACTTCTGCATACTTGGAAAAGGAAATGCCGTGGTCGTTACCGGCATTGTTGAACAAATAGCGGGTCAAACAAAAGAGTTAATCTTAAATGCCTTACTTTCTTATCACATGTACACCACACTAAGAAATATGGTAAGAATAAGCTATCATAAAATTAAAAAAGCATGGGTGTCTTGTAGCTAACTGGTTGTATTTTTTATGGGACTCCATTCTCCTCCCACCCCCCACCCCCCCAATTGATTTCATTCTTTAAAAAGAGAGCCGAGATTCTCCGACAGGTGAGTTCCATACTTAAATAGCACTTGTTTTCAAATACACCCAGGCCTGCATCTACCGAGGGGACAGCGGCTCTTTGGTTGATGGGCCGGCTCCAACACGAATCTCCCTGATAAACTGTGTCAGGGGATTTCTAGGGGGAGATTAGAAGGGCTTACTCAGAAGCGGTTTGCTGATCAGGGATCAAGGTGGAGCTGGCACCTCATCGCAGGGACTCGGGAGCACAATGCCAGCTCCCTGTCAACACGACCCACACACAATGCCACTTGGGATGCCCGCCAGGTTTAAAAGACACCACAAGGGCACCGGCACTTGCATAGAGCCGACAAGGGGGTGCAGGGCAGCAATAGGCATTGCTATTATTTATTGAATCTCCACCCTGCCTTTCAGCAGAGAATCACAGGCCAGTTTACAATACAGAAGCACAAAAATACATGCCGTAATAACAAACAAAAACGATTAAGCTTCCCCCCAGTTTAGAAGACCACAGATTGTTTAACCATTGGTGCCTAAAGATACATAATGAAAGCACCAGGCAAGCCCCACTGGGGAGAGCATCCCACAAGCAGGGTGCCACCACAGAAAAGGCCTGTTTTCGCGGTGCCACCCTCCATACCTTTCATGCCAATGCCAAACTAATCCCCCTAGAGCGGGCATGGCCAAACCTGGCCCTCCAGCTGTTTTGGGACTACAATTCCCACCATCCCTGACCACTGGTCCTGTTAGCTAGGGGTGATGGGAGTTGTAGTCCCAAGACAGATGGAGGGCCAAGTTTGGCCAAGCTTGCCCTCGAGTAAAGGATACATCAAGGGGCTTAGCTTGGTCAGGATTGAGTAGACACTTCCAAAGTTAATGCTAAATAAATGTCTTCTGGTAAATGAGCAGCTAGAGGGCAGTGAAAATTTGTGCCCTGGTCTTTTTAGATTCATCTGCCCATGTAGCAGCTGAAGCCAAAGGGGTGCATCAGATACCAGATGTGAAATATGTTGGCATTACAGTCATACCTCGGAAGATGAACAGAATCTGTTCCAGAAGTCCATTTGACTTCCAAAGCGTGACTTCCGATTGGCTGCAGGAAGCTGATGCAGCCAATCGGAGGACCCGCCGGACATTCGGCTTCCAAAAATAGTTCGCAAACCAGAACAGTCACTTCTGGTGTTCGGGAGCCAAAACTTTCAGGAAATATGCTGTTCAAAAACCAAGGTACAGTGGTACCTCGGGTTACATACACTTCAGGTTACATACGCTTCAGGTTACAGACTCCGCTAACCCAGAAATAGTACCTTGGGTTAAGAACTTTGCTTCAGGATGAGAACAGAAATTGTGCTCCGGCGGCACGGCAGCAGCAGGAGGCCCCATTAGCTAAAGTGGTGCTTCAGGTTAAGAACAGTTTCAGGTTAAGAACGGACCTCCAGAACGAATTAAGTACTTAACCCGAGGTACCACTGTACGACTGTATTTTCAGCTCTCCTACGCCACTAGAGGAATCTGCCAATGCGTCTCTGTGTGGGATGATGGGAGTTGTAGTTCATTTGAACAGCCGCCGGCTTGTCATCCCAAGAAAAGCACACCTGCTGTTGCACGTAGGGGGTTATGGGTGCTCCAAACAAGGAACGGAAGATCACTTTTCTAGTTCACCACAGAATCACAGCTAAGCAACCTGCACGCCACAGTCCCCCGCTCTGTCTGGAAAGCTCCAATTTACAACTTGACAGGTCCTTGTTGACGGCAGGACGATGTCCCGCAGGCTTCTGGCAAATCCCAGCACAAAACCGCCAGCGCCACGAGATCAACAACAGGAGAGGGGCCCAGCTGCTAGCGGGGCTCGCAGATTCCTGGCCGGGGGCCCCAGAGCTCAGCTGCTTGTAAAGAGAAGGAGCCTTTCTAACAAGCCGCGGCTGAGGAGGCTGCCACTCACGCGCCTCCCCGGCTCTCGGCCAGTGAAAGGCGACCCCGGGCAGCTGCTTGGGCAGGAGTTTCGCATCCCCCACCCCAGCTGGCATGAAGAGGAGGAGGAAGGGCCTGGCTGGTGCAGGTAAAGTGCCAAGCCACAACCACTGGGCTCTGCACACCTGTCGCCCGAGCAGGCGGCTGTAATCCCAAACAGAGAGGCAGCTAATCCACCCTGGGTGGGTTGAGCGGGGGGCGCAAACAGCCTGCTCTGTGCCCGCTCCAATCCAAGGCCAAGAGGGCTGTGCTTGCCAGCCTGGTGCTGCGACAAGCAGGAGAGGGCTGGCGTGACATTTGCCCACAATAAAGGGTGACCATGAACTTCAGAACTTCCTCCCACAAACCCACCGATTGGTGTCAGGGGAGAAAGTTGCTTAAGCAATATACAGTACATATATGTTTGTTTCTAAATGTGTGTGTGTGTGTGTGTGTGTGTGTGTGTGTGTGTGTAGCCCTGGCTTCTGGGAGAAGCCTGACATTCACCCTTAACCCTACAGGCGGTAGCAGCACCTGTTCAGCTTGGCACTCTGCACATGCCTAGAGGCACCCTTCTTCATTATGTAACATTACTTCAAATTGCTGTTTCTTTAATGAAGCAGACTGGCTGGTGTTGGGGAGGCAGGAGAGGGGAACATGCTAGGGCTGGGAAACCATGATGGGTGTTGCTTTTTCCTACATACACCACGAAAGTCAGGGGGGTGAGCAGAAGCGCTCTAGCTAAAGGGCAGGGCATCTGCTTCGCAAACAGAAAGTCCTAGGGTTTGATCCCTGACAGCAGGGCGGGGAGGAAGAAGGCAGTGGCCAGCCACACAGACGACCCCAGGTGCAACAGCAAGGGCACCATATGCCATGGCACCGCTGGATCCCTGAAGCTGCCAGCTGCGGCTTAACCCGATGATAGCCTCCCACCGGCACCATGCAAGCGGCAGCTACCGGGAGCCACCCTCTGGAGCACCATGCAAGGGCAGAAGTGGCTCTGTGATCGGTGCAAAGGAAAAAGGGAGTGAGGAGGCTGCCCGCTGGCACTCGCACAGCCAGAGAAGAAATGAGGGCAGGGCTGGCAGGCAGGCAAGCCCCACTCTATCTATCATTTTTATTTTAGTTTTTACAAATAACTCTTGCATTCAAATATAATCAATTTTTCTCTGAATCCTTGGACTCCCCTGTGATTTCCAACATACTTCCTTTTATACTGTATCTTATAATATCATTCAAACTTATATTCAAATTTCCATTTTGTAACCACAGAATTATTACCATACAAAGTGTTATATTGGTCCTGCTAACATTTTTAACTGTGTAAAGGTAAAGGGACCCCTGACCATTAGGTCCAGTCGTGACCGACTCTGGGGTTGCGGCGCTCATCTCGCTTTATTGGCCGAGGGAGCCGGCGTACAGCTTCTGGGTCATGTGGCCAGCATGACTAAGCCGCTTCTGGCGAACCAGAGCAGTGCACGGAAACGCCGTTTACCTTCCCGCCGGAGTGGTACCTATTTATCTACATGCACTTTGACGTGCTTTCGAACTGCTACGTTGGCAGGAGCAGGGACCGAGCAACGGGAGCTCACCCCGTCGCAGGGATTCGAACCGCTGACCTTCTGATCGGCAAGTCCTAGGCTCTGTGGTTTAACCCACAGTGCCACCCGTGTCCCAGATTTTAACTGTGTACAGTGTTCTTTAAGATAATCTATATTTTTTCTTTCCAGTCTCTATTAAATTTCTTATCATCCTGGTTTCTGATTCTCCCTGTCACTTTTGCCATTTCGGCATAGTCCATCTTGGGCATGCGATCTTCTCTGCTTGGGACCTTGTCCTCCTTCCCCACCCTTGTGTTGGGCTCTGGGGGCGGGCAGGAGCGGGCGAGTATCAGGTGGCCTGGTCAGGCTCTCCATATTGACGCATGCAACACCGCTGCAGCCAGGGGCAAGCGGGGATTCACGATACATCACCTGCTCTGAAATCCATCTCGCGATTTTAACTTTCAACTGGTTTCAGGCAATGTATTGCTACGTCGCCCAGGCCTAACTACAACACCTGTCAGATGGGAGCAAGATGGGCAGGCAGGGCACAAGAGAGGGCACACCTCCCCGGATGCCAAAACCCCTAACCCGTCCCTACCCATGTTTGGCATAAGAGCACGACTCACAAAACTCCCGCTGCGAGAGAGGTGGACCTCCGAGTGCCTCCTGGTGCTGGCGAAGGTGGGCGGGTGGGCCGTCGGCTGCCCAGCCTCCTCGGTGCCCGCAAAGTGGGCGCAGGGATCTTCCGCCTCCAGCAGCAGGGTGCTGGGGTCCTTCTCCTCCTCGCCCAGGTAGAGGGTGAGCAGCGCCACGTCCCGGCTGAGCCGCCGCTGCTCGGCCCGCAGGGCGGCATTCTCCTCCCGCAGCTGGGCGAGGGCGGCAGCCAGCGGGCGCACCGAGCCCAGGGCCACCTCCACGCGGTGCTCGACGGCCTGGCGCCACGCCTGCAACTCCTGGCGGACCTCCTGCAGGGCCTGCCGCAGGGGAGCCTCCTCGAACGGGGGCGGCTCAGGGCTGGGGGTGGGCACCCCGGGCATGGCGCAGAGGGGCAGTGCCAGGAGAGAGAGTGCAAAGGAGCCCTGAATGGCGGGACCACGGCTCTCTGGTGACCGGCGGGGCTGAGCGGGGTCTTTTGTGTGGCCGGGGCATCTATTCTTGTCCCGCAGAGGGACGCTTCCCGGTGACAGACAAAGACAGGATGATGGAGTTGGGCCAGGTGGCCGGGCTGTGTGGGTGGGGGGTAGGCTGGACCCAGTGCAGGGAGAGGCAGGGGCTGCCTTGTGATGGCAGGGGAAGGGTGCCCCCTGGGGGCTGCAGAGGCTGGTGCTGTTAGAAGGGCCGTCCTCTGGGCAATTCAGAGCAGGGGAACAAGAAGAAGAAGAAGAAGAGGAGGAGGAGTCTGGATTTGATATCCCGCTTTATCACTACCCGAAGGAGTCTCAAAGCAGCTAACATTCTCCTTTCCCTTACTCCCCCACAACAAACACTCTGTGAGGTGAGTGGGGCTGAGAGACTTCAGAGAAGTGTGACTAGCCCAAGGTCACCCAGCAGCTGTATGAGGAGGAGCGGGGAATCGAACCCAGTTCACCAGATTACAAGTCTACCGCTCTTAACCACTACACCACGCTGGTGAAGGAGGGAAGAGTGCGACTGCTGCAAACAGGGATCGGCAGCTTGCTTTGAAAGAAAAAGATGGAAGGAAGAAGAAACACCAACCAAGGAAGAGTGGATAGTGAAAATGATGGACTACAGTGGTACCTCGGGTTACAGACGCTTCAGGTTACGGACTCCAGTAACCCGGAAATAGTACCTTGGGTTAAGAACTTTGCTTCAGGATGAGAACAGAAATCGTGCTCTGGCAGCGCGGGAGGCCCCATTAGCTAAAGTGGTGCTTCAGGTTAAGAACGGACCTCCGGAACGAATTAAGTACGTAACCAGAGGTAACACTGTATGTCAAAATGACTGGGAAGATGATAGTAAATTTTAAAAAGAATGGTATTAATTTATAGAGTACATTAAAGAACAATGTAAAGATTTGAAGATGTTAGCAGGATTGATATAGCACTTGTAAATTTTTAACAGGTAAAGGATTTATTTAAAGTTGGATCAATGTAATTAGATGCGGTTAAAATAAAATAAAAATGTATCTGTGGAAACCCAGAAGGGGGAGGAAGGAAGTCCGGGGGTTCAGGGAATCCTGCAATTGTACAAATACTGCTGGATTTAAGTTTGAAGGGTATTAATGATGAAAAACTGAAAATATTTTTTTAAAAAAAGAAAGAAAAAGGGGAAGAATCTTGGGACATCCGAGTTAGAACCCGAGAGCCAAAATCCCGGCCCAAACAGTCGAAATGGGGTTGTTGTTGTTGTTAATTGAATTTATATACCGCCCTATACCCGGAAGTCTCAGGGCGGTTCACAGAATAAAATCAAGATATAAAACCACAAAATACCTAATAAAAATAAAAACGACAAGCCTAACCCCCCCCCCCGCCAACACCCCCCCCCATTTTAAACAGGCATTGGATGTAAATTGGATTAACCAAAGGCCTGGCACCTAAAGGTGTATAATGAAGGCACCAGGCAAACTTCCCTGGGGAGCACATAATGGTCATGTATGGAGCTGCAGGGCAGCCCTGGGTTCACAGGTGTGTGGGTATGAGAACTACTGAAAAAAACCATTCAGGGATAAAGGAGAGCATCCCTCCTATCACGGAGGCAGGAAACAAGGCATGCCAACAACAGATGAGGCGATCAACTTGTGTCTGAACTGAAACGCATCACTACAAATCACAGGTGAGGAATCATATTGTCAAATGGTTTTACACGGGGGGACCCCTGCAGTGAGAAAGCTAGCACATGGAAAAGAGGAACCTTTCTTCCTGAGGAGCTAGCTTTCCCTGTGCATGGATTTTTTTAAAAAAAATGCTATGGGGGAGCATTTAAGCACTCAATCCCCTACCTGGGGTCTGAAGCAGCACAGACGGGCACGGCCTCCCTCTGCTGTGGCTGCGAAGCAGGGACAAAATCCCAACCCACCACCTACTCCTGGCTGCCAACGCTGCTGGACCACCTTGCTGTTTGTCCCGGTCGTCAGACAAGCTGCAAGGCAGCAGAGGCGAGGAGTGGGGGAACACACACACACACACACACACACACACACATGACACAGAGTTCCGACGCAGCTGCCGCTGCTCAGATGGCCTGGCCAAGGTGCAGGGATATTGCTCCAACCTGAAGATGGGGGCTGCAGGACAGGAATGCGGGGAGAGGGACGGAAGAAGGAGGCCAGCTCAACTCACCTGAGCAACTATTTCCAGGCCCAGCTCCAGCCTCCTGCACAGCTTCCTGAATAATGCACATGGCTGATGAAAAGAGCGAGTGATCGGATTCCCGGCCCTCTGTTGTTGTTCTGTCCCGCTCAGAGCATCCCCTGCCCTACAAACTGCCTGAGCTCCTCCTCGTAGCTGCAATCTCGCTCTTCACTTCCACCCTCCTGGCCGGCTGCCACACACACACACACACACACACACACACACCCGTCCCGGGACCAGGATCCTTCCCACGCTCTCACCTGCAGGGGACGGTCACCCAGAGGCCCACCCGGAGTGAGTTGGCACAACCCTGTCGCCCGTCGGCGCAGCTCCTCGCGGCAGCCCACCCGGATTCCGGAGCCGCAGGTCGCCTAATGCCTTAACGAGAGGCGACAGGCCGGCAGGGACAAGCGGGACGAGGCATTAGGCTAATTAGCCCGGGCAGGAGAGCTGCCGGCTTGCTCCACAACCAGGCTGTGAGAGGCAGCCAGGGCATGGCTGGGAGCGCTGGCAGAGTGGGGGGGGGGGGGTTTGCAGAGCTGGTTCAGAAAAGGGCACCCCAAATGGTTCACCTCCCCCATGAGGGAAAGTTGCATCACCTGGAGTTTTTTTTTAAGTTTAGAGCAGGGTCTTTAAGCTGTCTTCGGACTACAACTCCCATCATCCCTACCTAGCAGGACCAGTGGTCAGGGATGATGGGAGTTGTAGTCCCAAAACAGCTGGAGGCCCAAGTTTGGGAAACCCTGGTTTAGAAGGAAGGCGAGTAAGATTGAGGTGTAAAGAAATTATGCCTGGCAAAGAGAATGTGGATAGAGAAAAGTTTGGTCTCTCTCATAACACTAGAACTCAGGGACATCCAATGAATTTTGAAGATTCGGGACGGAGGGGGGGAAAAGACCCTCTTAATGCAGTGCATAGTTAGACTGTGGAACTCCCTGCCACAGGAGTTGGTGACAGCTTTAAAAGAAGATTGGGCAGAATTGGCGGAAATGACGGGCAGAATCTGAGACCAGGGAGAAGAGTCGGTGAAAGAAGACTGGAAAAAAATTAAGGACTATTTACAGAAATATTGTAAAATTAAGGAACTTTAGAAGGATGTTGGATAGAAACTAAGAGGTTTTTAGCTGTAATGCTTTAAGAGACATGGAAAAAAAAGGTTAACAATTGGGTAAAAGATTAATGGTAAGGATTTGCTGAACCAACAAATTGAATTTGAATACAAAGAAGGGAGGTATGAGGAGGTCTGGGGAAATAAGAGTAAGGAAGATAGGTTATGGAACATTATTGTGTTTTTAACTGTTTTATTTTGTATGTTTTTTCTTACTTTTTACTTTTTTGCTGTAATTTATACTTTTTTCTTTGTTTTCTGTATTTTTGTGAAACTTTAATAAATATCATTAAAAAAAAAAAAGCAAAAAATAAAATTAAAATAAAAGAAGATTGGGCAAATTCACGGAGGAGAGGGCTATCCATGGCTACTATAGCCATAGGGACTACGCTCTGGTTCCACCATTGGAGGCAGCAAGGCTTCCGAATCCCAAATCTTGTGCTGGGGCCCTGCTTGCTGGCTACCCACTGAGGCAGCTGGAGGGCCCTTGTAAGAACAGGATGCCGGGCATTAGACGGTCACTGCCTCTCCTGCGCAAAGCCCAAGTTGTGCCCTTCGCTCTGCCTCTCACAGCTGCAGAACTGACGCAGCCCTCCGCCCTCCCTGAGGCTCCACGGCTTTGTGGAGGGCCAAGGGGACTTTTTGTTTCCCCCACCTGCAGAAAGAGGCATGATCAGAGGAAGGAAGGAAGGAAGGAAGGAAGGAAAGGAAAGGAAAGCAGAAGAAGGGCAGGGAGCGGGAAGACTCACCTTATTAAGGCTGGAGCTGCTGCCGCCATGGCTGGAGCTGTCGACGCTGCTGCTGGTGGTGGTGATTCGAATGGGAGTGCTTCTCAACCCCAGGGTGAGTTCTGTGGCATGGGGAGAAGGCACAGGTGTGAGAACCGGCGGCCAGGGGTCGGGGCAACAGGAGGGCTCCAAACTGGGGCTTCGGGATTTGGCCAGCTTTTAAGCCCGCAAGTTGCCAGTCCGCATGAAAAGCACAAGTTACTAGTCCACATTAAGTTCTGAAGTTAGTCATTCCCTTTGTAGAAACAAGGCATACCTGAGCTAAAGAGCACCAAGTCCCTTCTCCCCAAAGCTTGCGCCTACCTGCTTGGCAGGAGTAGGTAAGGAACCACAAAGGACACAAGCCGGGGAGGGGCTGTATTTTCGCCAGCGTAGACTTGGCGCATTGCCACCCGCCCTTCTCCCCAAGCCCTGGAGATTCGGTGGGCTTCAAACCAGACGCTTTTTAAAAAGCGGCTGGCGCTCTCCTAATAGAAAACAGAAAGCGGCAAGCTGCAGTCAGGTAATGTAGCGGAGATCATGGAATATATCCAAGTTTCTGACATCGTGCGCCAGCCTTCATAACGCTCCGGGAATGAGCCTGTTCTAGATGGGGAAGGGCGTGGATCGCATGGCAAATCGACTTCCAAGCTCCGAACCCACCAAGTGCCCAGAGTTGCTTTCTCTAATCTGCTGCCTTTCCAGGTGTTTTGAACTACAGTTCCCATCAGCTTTTATCAGCACAGCCGTAAGGCTGACGGACGGTGCCTTCCAAAACATCTGGAGGGCGCCAGGTTGGCAGACGTTGTCGTAGAGAACTGGGTCAAATCAAAAACTAGGATGATTAAAGGAAACATCACCGCGATTCGGTGTTTCGAACGTTGATGTGGTTTTCACGTATCACCGTTGCGTTCGTCGCTTTGACATTTTAAAATGAAATTGAGGCATAAAAGGGTATGTGCATGTGTATTTTTATATCCTGCCCTTTTCTCCCCGCTCCTCATTTAATCCCCTCAGCAACCCTGTGAGGTAGGCCAGGATGAGAAGCTGCGACGGGCCAAAGGGGGCAACCCAGTGAGCTTCATGGCCAAGAGGGGGATTCGAACCCTGTTCTCCCATGTCCTAAGTCCGACCGCAGCACCGCCAAGGGCTCAAAATAAAAAGTCAAGACTTCAAAGGCTTCATGGGGGGTGGGTAATCTGAATTTGCACCCAATCCCTGAGAAGATCAATCCGACACACTCCGGCCACAGCGACAGACGTTTATCCCACCAGGAACAGGAAAGTTTCCAAGTGCTGAGACCACACACACACACACACACACACACACACACAGGAGCTGCTGGAAACATCATGCAATTACAGTGGTACCTCTGGTTACGTACTTAATTCGTTCCGGAGGTCCGTTCTTAACCTGAAACTGTTCTTAACCTGAAGCACCACTTTAGCTAATGGGGCCTCCCACTGCAGCTGCGCTGCCGCTGCGTGATTTCTGTTCTCATCCTGAAGCAAAGTTCTTAACCTGAGGTAATATTTCTGGGTTAGCAGAGTCTGTAACCTGAAGCGTATGTAACCTGAAGTGTATGTAACCTGAGGTACCACTGTACGGCAAGTGTTCTGGCTCAGTGGTAGAGCAAGCCCTAAACGGCCTCGGTCCAGTACAGTGGTACCTCGGGTTACATACGCTTCAGGTTACACACTCCACTAACCCAGAAATAGTGCTTCAGGTTAAGAACTTTGCTTCAGGATAAGAACAGAAATCAGGCTCTGGCGGTGCGGCGGCAGCATGTGGCCCCATTAGCTAAAGTGGTGCTTCAGGTTAAGAACAGTTTCAGGTTAAGAACGGACCTCCAGAATGAATTAAGTACTTAACCCAAGGTACCACTATATATCTGAAGGAGCGTCTCCACCCCCATCGTTCTACCCGGACACTGAGGTCCAGTGCCGAGGGCCTTCTGGAGGTTCCCTCACTGCGAGAAGTGTGGCTACAGGGAACCAGGCAAAGGGCCTTCTCGGTGGTGGCGCCCGCCCGGGAACGCCCTCCCATCAGATGTCAAAGAGAACAACAACTACCAGACTTTTAGAACACATCTGAAGGCAGCCTTGTTTAGGGAAGCTTTTAATGTTTAATAGGTTATTGTAGTTTAATATTCTGTTGGAAGCCGCCCAGAGTGGCTGGGGAAACCCAGCCAGATGGGCGGGGTATGTATGTATCTATGTATGTATGTATGTATGTATGTATGTATAAATAAATAAATAAATAAATAAATAATTGCAGAAGTTCCCAAGTTCAATCCCCGCCAGCATCTCCTGAGACGGCTGGCAATGATTCCTACTTGAAACCCTGAATAGTTGCTGCTGGACAGACCAGCGTCCTGATTCAATATTAGGCAGCTTCCTATTTAATTCAGCACTTTTTTTAAAAAAGCAAACCAAAACCCTGGGGACTAAAATCTTAATTTATCCTCAAGAGAAGGGCTGTAAACTCAGCGGCAGATTATCTGCTTGCTTTGCATGCAGAAGGTCCCAGGTTCAATCTCCGGCAGCCCCTCCAGGCGGGGCTGGGAATGTCCCCTGCCTGAAAACCCCTGGAGAGCTGCTGCCGGTCAGTGCAGACAATGCTGAGCTGGATGGGCCAACAGTGTAAGGCAGTTTGCTGAATTACCTATGCAACCCGCAGCTGCAAATTCCCACTGGCCAGAGAAGCCCTTGTCACCCAAATCTCTAGCCTTTTAAACCTTATGGATAACAGATATTTTCCCTTATAAAGGGGCAGCAGCAACCTGGGAGCAACCTGGGAGAGGAGAGTGCTTTAAGTCCCTGCCACAAAATGCAATTTTGCAGAATAGAGGGTTGTAGCTTCATACAAAAAGCATCAGCGGAAGGTCCTCGGTTCAGCCTCTCCAGGTTGGGCTGGGAAGGATTTCCTGCAGAGCCGTTGCTGCCAGCCAGTGAAGGCAACACTGACCTAGATGGACCAACATTCTGACTTGCGCTGCACGAAGTAACTCTGGAAGGGGGTTCCTGGTGCAAAGCGGCGCTTGCAACTCTAAAGCAGGAGACAAACCTCTGCCGGCAAAGCAGAGGCTGCCAATTCCATGCAGGCTCGTGGCATTTTGTCCTGACTTCTCTGAAGATTTTCGACTCTCCCTGCAGAAGGTTTGCCAGACCAAACTACACCCACCCACCCAAGTCTGTCCTGCAATTTCATATTTTGGGGGCAAATTGGCTGGCATTTTGTGGGCAAAGGCTCTGAGCTTTAATGCGTGCAGAAGAGGCAGAAATTCAACAAGCAGGTAGTGCCACAGACAGGGAAAGATGCTTCTCTGGGCAGAACTTTAATCAGGGGAGAAATCCACAAGGTGCAAAACACGCATTCTCTGCCCTGCCTGCTGTCCTGGAAATTCCACTCCTTTCGGCAAAATTCTCCTCGCTTGCCTTGAAGGTTCCTACAAGACCAGGTCCACTTCAAAAGTCACTTTATGGGATGTCCGGTGGCAATTGTGCCATCATGGAATAGTTAAAGAGTGTCCAACCAGAACCCGGGATAGATTGAGGTTCGAATCTACACTCAACCAGGTGAAACTCACTGGGCAACTCTGGGTCAGTCACTATCTCTCAGCCTGACCTACCTCACAGGGTTGTTGTGAGAACGGAGGGAGAACCACATGCGCTGCCTTGAGCTCTTTCCAGGAAAGAAACACAGTAAATAAACGATTCTGTCCAAAAGGAGCCAAACCGAGAAGAAGCAGAATCACAGAGTGGGGGGCAGGGACCTCATGGGTTGTCTAGTCTGACCCGCCGCAATGCAGGAATCACAGCGAACAAATTGCTGGGTGCTCTCCCTAAGGAACTTCCACAGAGCGGGCAGAAGTGCCTATAAGACACTTTTGCCCCCGTGCCAACCTCCGAGGGCGCCGGACGGTAACGCAAATGCACAGCCCGCGGTGCCACTCACCTGCCCGCTGGTTCCCTGGGGTCGCCACGATTTGGCTCCTGAGGGGCTGGCTGCGGCCATCCTTGATCTCAATGGTGAAGAGGGTCTTCATCTCGTCGCTGGGCTCGGCGGCGCAGAGGTTGCGCGCCCGGGCTGGCAGAGGGCTGCGGGAGGAGGAAGAGCTCAACGGGGGGACATGGGGCTCCTTTGAGCCGGAGGAGCTCCCCGGAGTGTTTTCAGCAGAGGGGCGGGCAGGTGCCCACTTGCTCCCCTGCCATTGGCCGGCCTGGCTCCGCCCCCGGGGGCTGGCCGCCTCTTTAGGGCCAGCCGGACTCTCGGCGGGAGGCCTCACTGTCCCGGTCTTTGCCTGGATGGCGGAGGGCTTGGCCGGCTGCTGCTGCTCCTCTGCACCCCGCTGCCTGCTGGCATCCTGGAGGGCACGGCCGGCAGTGCCACTGCTGCCACCCCGTGCCCCGGCAGGTAAGTCTCCTGCACGCGGGGGGTTCAGGAGCTGCTGCTGCTGCTGCAGGATCCGGGCGCCTTTGCCCGCACTCTCCGCCTTCCGGGGGGGGCCCGCAGAGCCGGCCGGCTTGGGGGGCTCCGAGCTGAACTTTCGTGCGCGGTCCAACACAGAGCCGGATCGCTGGAAGGGCTGATCCCGGCGGGAATCTGCAAGACAGAGAGAGGGAAAGGGGTGTGCTTGTCGGCTTGGGAACAGAGGAGAGTTTATGCATCACATAAGCTGGGAATCTGGCCAAGAACGCTTCTGAGCTCCTCCCAGAGTTTATACACACTTAAAACAATAACAGAAGGAGCATCGCCAGCACAGGCAGTGTGAGCGACTCTCAGAGTCCTTCCCTGTCCCAAGAAGGAAGATCAAAGTTAGGAAGCCCCAAATCCCCAGCTTGTCAAAGAAACATAGAATCGTAGATTTGGAAGAGACCCTAAAGGTAAAGGGACCCCTGACCATTAGGTCCAGTCGTGACCGACTCTGGGGTTGCGGCTTTATTGGCTGAAGGAGCCGGCATACAGCTTCCGGGTCATGTGGCCAGCATGACTAAGCCGCTTCTGGTGAACCAGAGCAGCGCACGGAAACGCCGTTTACCTTCCCGCCAGAGCGGTACCTATTTATCTACTTGCACTTTTTGGCGTGCTTTTGAACTGCTAGGTTGGCAGGAGCAGGGACCGACCAACGGTAGCTCATCCCATCGTGGGGATTCGAACCACGGACCTTCTGTTCGGCAAGTTCTAGGCTCTGTGGTTTAACCCACAGTGCCACCCGTGTCCCAGTAGGGAAGGGACCCTAAGGATCGTTTAATCCAGTGTTTCCCAAACTTGGTTCTCCAGCTGTTTTCAGACTACAATTCCCATCAGCCCTGACCACTGGTCCTGCTAGCTAGGGATGATGGGCGTTGTAGTCCACAAACAGCTGGAAACGCAAGTTAGGGAAACACTGAATTCTAGCCCTACACGCAGCAATGCAGGAATATGTAGCTGGCAATCGAACCGGCAACCTTGGCTTTATCAGCACCGAGCACCAACCAACTAAACAACCCTTCTCATTTCTCTTACAAAATTAAGCATGGGTGGGTTACATGGCTAGGAGGGAAAACTTCTCCCTGCCAGATAAATCCCCCTGCCCGATCCACTTGGTCCACAGCACATCATTTCTCAGCAGAACTCAGCTGAACATTCGAAGATTCGGGATGAAAGCAAAGCTGTCGGCAGGCGACATGCGATTAAATCACAGAACTCGGGGCTGCAGGAGGCCATGGACTCGATGGGCCACTGGCCTGGTCCAGCAGGGAAACTCTACTTAGGTTCTTAAAATCTAAAACAGCTCCCACAGAGGAAGGCTCTTTTCGGACGGAGGAAGCTGCCTACTGCTGAATCAGACCGCCAGTTTGTCCAGCTCAATGTTGCCTCCGGTTGCCCACCGCTGAGAGCCACAAGCAGAGAGAGCTGCTCTTGCACTCGAGTCCTGCTTGCGTGATTCCCACTGGGATGTTTGGTTGGCCTCTGAGAATCTAGTGCAGGACAGGACAGGCCATTAGCCCAATCTTGCAGGGATAGATAGATAGAGTGAGCAGCGTCTGCACTGACTGGCAGCAGCTCTCCATGGTTGCAGGTGAAGGACATTTGCAGCCCTCCTTGGAGATGCCAGGGATTTAACCCGGGACTTTATGCATGCAAGGCAGATGGATGCTCTATACTGCAAAGCTGTGCCCCTTTACTGATTCAGACCATTAGTCCATCTAGCTCAGCACTGTATACACAGACTGGCAGCATCTATCCAGGACTTCAAACCTGGATATGCTGGGGATCAAAACTGGGGCTGCCTGCAGCAGAAGCATTGTTGGTTGTTTGTTTGATAATATTTTTATTTACTTAATTTTATTTGGGTTGGCAAGCCACTCTGGCTTAAATTCTTATGCCTCCAGGGACACCGACCAGAAGCCCCCTAAGTAAACTGGGCAAAGCAGCATAAGGTCATAAGAAGAGGCTGGCTGGATGAGGCCAAAGGCCCACCTTGTCCAGCATTCTGTTCTCACAATGGCCAGCCAGATGCCTGTGAGAAAACAGCAAGGAGTGTGTTGTTGTTGTTGTTGTTGTTGTTGTTGTTGTTTGTATGCCGCCCTACATCCAGAGGCCTCAGGGTGGTGACAACATAAAATCACAATACAGTGGTGCCTCGCAAGACGAAATTAATCCGTTCCGCGAGTGTCTTCGTCTAGCGGTTTTTTCGTCTTGCGAAGCAACCCTATTAGCGCCTTAGCGGATTAGCGGCTATTAAAGGCTTATCGGCTTAGCTGCTAAAAGGCTATTAAAGGCTTAGCGGCTTAGAAAAAGGGGGGGGAAAGCGGAAAAAAAAATCTCAAGACTCGCAAGACATTTTCATCTTGCGAAGTAAGCCCATAGGGAAATTCGTCCTGCAAAGCAACTCGAAAACGGAAAACCCTTTTGTCTAGCGGGTTTTCCGTCTTGCGAGGCATTCGTCTTGCGGGGCACCACTGTATAAAAAACACAAAATGCATAACAAAAACCACCACATTTCTACCACACGTCTTAAAAGGGCATTGGGTGTTGATCAGTAGGGTGGTTCATAAAAATTTTTGTTTGAAAATGCCTGCTCCAAAGGTCTTATCTTACTACACTAGGGATTATATAGCTATATCTGGAATTTCATGCGTATCAGTTAATATCTTGACCCTCCTCCACGAAAACAGCTGTTTACTTGGCTGTTTTCCTATGTCGTGAAGGCTGAAATTTCAATTCAGTGGAGCAGGTAAAGGACCCCTGACAGTTAAGTCCAGTCGCAGACAACTATGGAGTTGCGGCGCTCATCTCGTTTTCAGGCCAAGGGAGCCAACGTTTCTCCACAGACAGTTTTTCCGGGTCATGTAGCCAACATGACTAAGCTACTTCTGGTGCAATGGAACACTGAAACCAGAGCAGAGCACGGAAACGCTGTTTACCTTCCCGTCAGAGCGGTACCTATTTATCTACTTGCACTGGCATGTTTTCTAACTGCTAGGTTGGCAGGAGCTGGGACCGAGCAAAGGGAGCTCACCCAGTCGCAGGGATTTGAACCGCCGACCTTCTGATCGGCAAGCCCAAGGGGCTCAGTGGTTTAGACCACAGCACCTTCCTAAAGAGGGATAAAACTCATCTCAGTATCCTGAGTGTCTGGGTAGTCTTGCTTAAACAAAAATGTTTCAGGCAGGCATCTAACTGAGTAGAGCAAAAGCACTTTCCTGATGTCCAGGCAGAGAGTCCCAAAATGTAGGTGCTATTATACTAAATGACCAATTTCTTCCATGCAGAATGGCCGTGGCTCAGTGGAGGCGCTTCTGCTTTGCATGCAGAGCGTCCCGGATTCAAATCCCCGCAATCTCGAAGTAGGGCTGGGAGAAACCTGAAACACTGGCGAGCTCCTGCTGCCACCCAGTGTAAAAGACATGGAGCTAGATGGAGCGACGAGAGGACTCAGTATAATGGCAGCTTCCTATGTTCCTGTTTAAAAAGGGCCACGGCTTAACGGTAAAAGCAGCTGCCTGGCATGCAGAAGGCCACAGGTTCGATCCCCAACAGCACCTCCCGGTAGGGCAGAAAACGTCCCCTACTTGAAACCCTGGAGAGCTGCTGCCAGTCAGTGTCGATACTATTGAGGTAGATGCACCAATGATCTGACTCAGTATAAAGCAGCTTCGTATATTCCTATGTCTACTGTTGGGTCTGGATAGCTCAGTTGGTTAGAGCATGGTGCTGATAATGCCAAGGATGCAGGTTCAATCCCTGTATGGGACAGTTGCATATTCCTGCATTGCAGGGGGTTGAACTAGATCAGTGGTTGCCAACCATTTTTTGGCCATGCCCCACCTAGGTAAAGGTAAAGGGACCCCTGACCATTAGGTCCAGTCTTGGCCCACTCTGGGGTTGCAGCGCTCATCTCGCTTTATTGGCCGAGGGAGCTGGCGTACAGCTTCCAGGTCATGTGGCCAGCATGACTAAGCCGCTTCTGGCGAACCAGAGCAGCGCATGGAAACGCCGTTTACCTCCCTGACGGAGCGGTACCTATTTATCTACTTGCACTTTGACGCTTTCGAACTGCTAGGTGGGCAGGAGCAGGGACTGAGCAACGGGAGCTTACCCCATCGCGGGGATTCGAACCGCCGACCTTCTGATCGGCAAGTCCTAGGCTCTGTGGTTTAACCCACAGCGCCACCCGCGTCCCATGCACACCTAAGCATCTCTAAAATCCTGATCCCCCCCCCCCCCCGCCGGTGACATATAATTCTTTTCTTATTCACATGGAAGAAGCCTAAAAGGCCATTAACTTTGTCTAGACCAGCTTCTAAATTGCCCCCCCAATTGAATTCCCCCCCTCCGTGTTGCATGTGCCCCACGTTGGGAACCACAGGACTAGATGATTCTCAGGGCCTCTTCCTACTCTACATTTCTATGATTCTAAGGCAGCTTCCTTTGGAAGGCATAATAAAAATAAAAATAATGCAGAACACCTGGGAGGGGGCTGAAACAAAACCCACACAATGCCATCTCTGTCCTGTTGGATAAGTAGCAACTATGCCACAGAGAAGGAGAGAGAGAGAGAATGAATGTCCCCCTAACACAGCCATGAAGCAATCCGTTGCTAGGCCAGACGGTTGTTACCTGTGCTGGTTGCCTGGCGTGGCGTCGGTTGTGTGGTTTCACCGCAGTGGGCATCTGGAGGGGCAGGGGTCTGGGGGGCGGCACTGGATGGAGCTGCTGAGGAAACTGTCAAGGGGGGGGAAGAGAAATGAAGCTATGTTAAAGAAAGGTTCTGAAGCTTCTCAAGGGCTTAAACCAGTGGTTCCCAACCTTTTTTTTTTTTTTGGGCCATGCCCCACCTAAGCATCCCTAAAATCCTGACACCCCTACCCCACCCCGTGACATATAATTCTTATTATTCAAAAAGTGAACTCCTATTCACATGGAGGAAGCCTAAAGGGCCATTCAGTGTTAATAGCTCATTCTCAAATTGCCCCCCTTAGAAATCAAATTGCCCCCCACCGTGGGGTGTGCGCCCAACGTTGGGAACCACGGGGTTAGACAAAGGGGTTCTCCAGCGGGGAAGGAGCATAGCTTGGTGGCAGAGCACCTGCTTGGAATGCAGAAGGCCCCAGGTGAAACCCCAATGGCCCCTCCAGGCATCTCCCTTGGAGAGCTGCTGCCAGTCAGTGTCGAGAACACCAAGCTGAATTTTCCCAGCCCTGCCCAGAGGACTGAACCTGAGACCTACTTATGCACAAAGCAGGCACCATCTGTCACTGAGCTTGTGGCATCTTCCGCTTTAAGAAGAGCTAAGATTCTAGTCCTCACTGTTCTGGATAAAAGGCCAGATTGAAGGGGAATGTAGTAGTAGTAGTAATAGCAATAATAATAATAATAATAATAATAATAATAATTTATTTATATCCCGTCCTCCCCAGCTGAAGCCGGGCTCAGAGCGGCTAACAACAATAAAAGTAACACAGTTTACATAAAATCACTATCAATTAATTAAAATACATTCTAAAATCAATTCATTCTAAAATCAATGTAGGAAGCTGCCGTATACCAAGTCAGGCCACTGGGTCCCTCTAGCTCAGTACTGTCCACTCGGACTGGCAGCAGCTCTCCAGGGATTCAGGCAGGGGTCTTTTCTCAGCAGAGGATTGAACTCAAGACCTTGCGCAGGCAAGGCTGATGTCGTGTCACTCAGTTACAGCCATAATAATAGCTGCGAAGGGGGGTGATGGTGCCTGGCCTTAATAGACAATAATGATGCAAAAGGTCTTCAAAAACATGCAATAGCAGGACAGCCTGTCCCAGTTCCCCACTTGTAAGAATTCTCGTTGCCAGGAGTTCCCATTCCATGGTGTGTGTGTGTGTGTGTTTGTTGTGCAAGAAGAGCCACAACTTCTGCCCTGTGGCTGAACTTTGGGGCCAGAGGAAAGGACGACTCTTCATAATTATTCCTTTCCGACTGTTATTAAGCACTGGATTTACGATTCGCCCTCCCTCCCGAAAGATCCCAGGGTGATGAACTGCAGAAGAGCAACAAAAGACGTCAATGTGCTTTTTTATTTTTTAAAAAAACACCTCCCGTCGGTTTCCGCAGCCGGCCTCGCCAAACTCTTGGGAGTCTCTGCACCCTTCGGGAAAGTTAAGAAGGCGAGAGAGGCAACAAGGAACGTGACTGAAGATTGGAGATTCAGTCGAAGTGGAGGGAGAATGTGTTTGCAAAAGGGGGCCCTGGAGCCTCCTTGATCTGCCAGGGAACAAGGGGGGGGGGGAGAGAGACTGGGACAGAGCAAAGCCCAGAGGAGAAAGGAAGACGGGGTGGGGGGTGGGAGGGAGAAGGCAGCTGAGGATGGAGCGAGGAGCCGTTCCTGACCTTATTGGGAGAAGGAATGCAAAAGGTCCAGCTTGGCGGAGCAACAGATTCCCTTTCATGGCCCTTGGAGGAAGCCTTAGACGCTGCCTGGCAGAAGGGGGAAAAGCAGGGAGGGGATGCAAGGACAACCGCAGAGAGAGGCCCAGGGCCCAAAACAAGGGGCACGTCTCCCAGGGCCAGGGCCTTTGCAGCAGATCCGGGTCGAGGGGCCTGACCCCGTCTTTGCGGAGTCTGACAGAGGATGGGACAGGGGTGGCCGGAGTTTTTCCAAAATTGAAGCTGGGGTGAAGAGAGGGCGAGGTCTAAGGCTTGGGCAAGGATGTTGCCGGGATTAAAGGCTAGATGAGGCATCTCCAGCCAGATGGGCGGGGGTATAAATAATAAATTATTAAATTATTATTATTATCTCTCCCAGGGCTCGCGCTCAACTCTCGTAAGCAAGTGACCCCACGCCGTCAAGGCCAGCCTGTGGCCAGAGAGCTCTGGGATGCCTTACAGGGCCTACTACACACACACACACACACACACACACACCATGATTCCAGACACGGGTAGGGTTTCTAGAAAGGAAGGTGTGGGCCGCCGGTTGGGGCTGGTGGGAGTACATGCATGATGAACACACAGCTCTCTTTCAGCAGAAGGGAAAGGACGCCACTTGGGGATGGAACACAGCTCAGCGGTAATGCATCCGTTTTGCATGCAAAAGGTTCCAGGTTCAATCCCCGATGACATCTCCGGGTACAGTTGTGAATCCCTGGAGAGCTGCTGCAGGTCAGTGTAGGCAGCACTGGCTTAGGTGGACCAATAGGTCACTGGCCGGGCATCTAATTTGCGTGCAAAAGGTGCCTGGCTCAATCCCCAGAGGCATCTACAGGTAGGGCAGGAAGAGGCCCTGGTCTGAAACTCCAGGAAGCTGCTGCCAGTCAGTGTTGACAGTACTGAGCTAGATGGACTTAACATAAAGCAGCTTCCTGTGATATGGGGGAAGGTCATAGGTCAGCAGTAGAGCATCTGCTTTGCATGCAGAATGTCGCAGGTGGAATTCCCAAGATCTCCAGGCAGGGCTGGGAAACGCAGGCAGTTGGTGTAGATCAGGCATCCCCAAACTCGGCCCTCCAGATGTTTTGGGACTACAACTCCCATCATCCCTGACCACTGGTCCTGTTAGCTAGGGATGATGGGAGTTGTAGTCCCAAAACATCTGGAGGGCCAAGTTTGGGGATGCCTGGTGTAGATAGAAAATACTGAGCCAGATTGACCAGGTTTCTGGCTCAAGTATGGCAAAGGGCCACCAGCTCAGCCGTAGTGCATCTGTTCTGCATGCAGAAGGTGCCGGGTTCACTGCCATGCAACATCTCCAGTTAGGACTGGAAAGGAAATATCCCTGTCCAAAAACCACTGGAGGGCTGCTGCCGGTCAGTGTAGACAACACTGAGCTAGATGGAGCAAGGGCTTTGGCTCCGTCGAAGGGACATTTCGACATCCTCATGTTTAAGGGTTCCCCAGCCACACTGGCTGCAGCTAACAGCATATCTAGTGCAGGCTGACCCACAGCATCCCAAAGGCAGCCCCCCTCTCAATAGGCTCAGCACCCCCAGTGCAACCCAGCACCCATCAGCCAATGTCCACCAGCCTGTTATGCTTGGCTCAAGACCTTACCACTTTCTCTGCTGTCCACGACATCTGCTTCCTGCTCTGGGGCTTGAGGTGCATCCTGCGGGAGGTTGGAGAGAAAATAGGGTAAAAATCAAACCCATTGCCCAGCCACGCAGGTTGGCAGATCTCAAAAGAGCAGCCAGAATTCACCCCACCAGATCTGTGTCTGCCCCTCTCTTCCTCACGGGCCAAATTTTGCCCGAGGCAGGTCCCACCCACCTGCTGACCACCCGATTTATTGCCTTTACAGTGGTACCTCGGTTTACGAACCCAATCCGTTCCAGAAGTCCGTTCTTAAACCAAAATCGTTCTTAAACTGAGGTGCGCTTTCCGTAATGAGGCCTCCCACCACCGGTGCCCTTCCACCGTTCGGATTCCGCTCTTAAACCGAGGTAAAGTTCTCAAACCAGGACACTACTTCCGGTTTTGTGGAGTTCGTAAACCGAGGTACCAAACCGTTCGTAAACAGGGCTGTTCTTAAACCAAGGTACCGCTGTATACGCTATCAGCTGAAGGCTGGCGCACATGGTTCTCCTCATTTAATCCCCACAACAACCCTGGGAGGTAGGTTTAGGCTGAGAAAGCGCTGATAACGTCAAAGTTGCAGGTTCAATCCCTGACATTTCCTATTCCTGAATTGGAGGTGATAGGACTACTTGATCCTCAGGTCCCTTCCAATGCTATGATTCTATATGGCCAAGTGGGATTTTGAACCTTGATCTCCCAAGGTCTTAGTCCGACACTCTAACTCAGTGGTTCCCAAACCTTTTCAGGCCACCGTACCCTTAGCTCCATAAACTCATCTCTGGTTCCCCCTACCCTGTAAAAAAGCATTACAGTGGTACCTTGGTACTCGAACGGCTAGGCTCCCAAACAAATCAGCTCTCAAACGCCGCAAACCTGGAAGTAAGTGTTCCAGTTTGTGAACGTTTTTCGGAAGCCGAACGTCCGACGCAGTTTCTGCTTGAGTGCAGGAAGCTCCTGCAACCAATCGGAAGCCACGCCTTGGTTTTCGAACGGTTTCGGGAGTCGAACAGACTCCCGGAACGGATTAAGTTCGAGAACCAAGGTACCACTGTATTCAGAAAAGCAGTTTGCATGGCTCGTTAAGGAAGAGAATGGCACACTGAAGTTCAAAACAGTAATGATGACGTTCACATTTATTCAAACTCCAACCATTTAGCTGAATTAGTTCAACCAAATTGATGAACTTGATCTAGAGATAGCAGTCTTTCAAACTCTAATGGTTATTTACACTTCCAGCACCTGCCCCCACCCCCAGCTGCTGCCTCTTCATGCCTCTTAGTGCCTCCCCAGGTAATCCCACCATCCCACCAGTGGGCCCTACCACCCACTTTGGGAACTAATGCTCTAACCACTACACCTCACTGTCTCTCTGTTGCAATGACATCGGGTGACAAGCCTCTCTGACGGTGATGGGCTCAAGGACCTGGATGGGTGGGGTGGGCTGGCGTTGCACTGAACGCCTCTGCTAAAACAGAGGTCTTTCCCCTTCATTTTATGAAGGGGGTTCTCAGTGCAACCCCTCTTGGGATCCTGGAGCGAGGGCCGCCCACTGCTGGCTGCTTCCTCTCTAGCAAAAAATAATAATAATGTTGGGAGTTACAGCAGTGTTTCCATTCTGCTATAGTTCCTGTTCCACCAAAAACGACATTGTTTTCTTCTCTTGCTTTTTACATGTGGCAAATACAGTGGTACCTCGGGTTAAGTACTTCATTCGTTCCGGAGGTCCATTCTTAACCTGAAATTGTTCTTAACCTGAAGCTAATGGGGCCTTCTTAACCTGAAGCTAACTTTAGCTAATGGGGCCTCCTGCTGCCGCTGCGCCACCAGAGCCCGATTTCTGTTCTCATCCTGAAGCAAAGTTCTTAACCCGAGGTACTATTTCTGGGTTAGCGGAATCTGTAACCTGAAGCGTCTGTAACCTGAAGCGTCTGTAACCTGAGGTACAACTGTACTAGGCGGAAGGGCAAATGATGCCTTCTTCCCTCCCTACCAGCCACACCCTCTCACCCCAAGGCCACACAGCACCTCACATGCACCCTGAAAGTTCCTGCTTGCCTAAAATGTGTCCTCGGACCCTCAAAACGAAGGATGGAGAGCTGTATAGATACTACCCTACTGTAGAATGTGCATTCGTTGCCCCGCCCACTTTGACCCCTGACCTCTCGCATCTCCACCATGCGGCCCCTGGAAAGTTGCCCAGAAGGGAAGGTGGCCCTTGGGTGGCAAACCTCTCCCCACACTTGCACTATTCATCCCCTTCCTGTGAGGTTAGGGGGAATGGCGCCCACATACCTGTTCTCTCGCAGTCTCTTTGCTCAGTAATTTCAGGGAAGCCTCTTCTTCCTGGGAGGAATCGCTCACTGCGCTCGGAGCATCTGGCAGCCCTTGCAGAGGCTCGCTGGCAGCAGACCCTCCTTCGGGAGCTCTCAACCCCTCGCGGTCTTCTGGAGCGGAAATGCGGCCGGTGCCCGTCTCCTCCTCGGAAGCGGGAGGCGATTCAGTCCTGGAGTCGCTGTCTCGGGAGCTGGCCTCGGCGCTCGACTCTGGATCCGGCCCGCTCTCTGACAGCGAGGGTGGCTCGGCGGGTGCTTGGCCGGCGACAGGGTCCAGCAACAGGAGAGTTCCCGCGGGGGTGGAGGAATCTGCCGGAAAGGATGGACAGGAAGGAAGGTCACGACCGGCGGAAGAGAGAAACCCCAACCCTTAGTTCCCCGACCCTTGATCGCAGAGGTAGACTCACCCGGCATGTCTGCTGGCTTCGCGTCCTGACGCTGCTGGCTTCGCAGCTCCCGGATCTGGGCCCTGATCAATTCCCGCTCTTGCACCTGAGGAGAGATGGGAGAGGGAGAGCGCGGCGTCAGCCGGCATCACTCTGCATACGACTCGGCGACCTCACCTGAGCACACCTGCAGCCGCAAACATCCACTTGCATACTGCCACACCCTTTCGATCCGATGCCCGATTAGAAAAGTAGCTTCCAAAGGATGGGCTTTTCACCCTTACGGGCGTCTGTGCATGTGCAAAGTGGCAGCAGAGACCTGCGTTTGCAACGGCAAGCCCAGAGGCGACAGGGTTCTGAATCGGCACGGAATCAAGGATCCAGGTTTTTTTATTTCGTTTTTTAAGCAAGGTCTTTATTCACCTGCAGGGAGGTGTCCCCAAATCACCACACAACAGGTCAGGTGTAGCACCTCAGAGAAAGAATCTGAGAGGCAGACAAAGGTTTGGTGACAGCCAGCCGAGGGCAGCATCCAGCAGACGTGTGTACACACACACACACACACACACACACTACCTTGTCACACCCATCCAAACGCTCTCCTCAGGTCCTGCTCTCCAAAACAAGACGAGGGTCCAAAACTATGGGAGCCGTTGAAATTAGGGAGCCGATCCCCCTACCACAACGAACAATTAGGCAGAGCGTGCATCTATGTGGGAGCGGTTGCTAAGCAACCAGATGCAGCCCCCTCCTCAAAATAATCCATCCATCCAGGTTAACTCTGGGTTGCTAGGCAACCACAGTCCCCGGTCCCCTGACTCTTTTTCAAAGATGCTGAACAGAATGTGGGAATTTGGGGGGGGGGATGCGTGGAGGGAGGAGAAATTTGAGAGGGGGCTTTGCACGGGGGGCGGCAACAGGGGAGAGACCACCCGCACGACTGTTTGAAGGCAGCCTTCGACAAGCATCCAGTGCCCTCCAGGTGTTCCCGGACTACAACTTCCATCGGCCACAGTCAGTGCAGCCATTTTTGGATTGCAGCTTCCAACTCGGCTGGGGGGGGGGGAGGGTGGGCTGGAGGGAGTTGACGTCCAAAACTACCGTAGGGCCCCCCCACCCATGCCCCATGTCTTTTCCAAAAAGCAACCTGGCGGAGGAAGGCAGTGATTTGGATTGGGGCCGCAGCATGTGCCAGTTTAAATGTAGAACACAGCTCTCTTTTTAAAAATTCACCATGATTGAATAAGGATGCAATATCTCTCTCCCTCTCTCTCTATATATATGTATTTGCCCGTCTTCATGGATTGGAGTTCAAAGTGAGCAAAACCCCACGGAGGGAAGACAAATGTTTCTGCGTCCATCTAGGTTGGGGGGTGAGTTGGAGGGGTGTGTGAGCATGGCAACTCCAGACACCCTTCATCAGAAACAAGCTTCTAAGCAAGGACCTGGCTAGACCGAAATCTTCCTCTCTTTTTTTTCCCTGGGAGAAAACTGCCATCTAGTGGACAACTCACACCACTGCTCGGGAAACCCAAATCTGCAACGCTGCATTTCCCACAAACCCTGCAGGGCGCGATGCTCGCGGGTGAGCCCAGAGTCCTGCCAAACTGAACAAGGACCGAAACGGCAGCAACCAACGGCCCTTCCAAGGCGAACCCCTGCAAACCACACCCCTCGGCTCACCCCAGACCTCCTAGGAGAGAGGAGGGGAATCTGTGGCCCTCCAAGCTAAAACTCCCACTGTCCCTGACCCCATTAGCTGTGCAACAACACCAGGACAGCCACAGCTCAGGTGGCCTGGGGGCCTGCTTTGCAGGCAGTACGATACAGGTTCGGTCACCAATGGCATCTCTACGTAGGGCAGGCAGAAAATCCATGCTTGGAATCCCGGAGAGCCGCTGCTGCTGCCAGTCAGTGTAGGCAATATTGGGATGGATGGATCAGGGGGTCTGACTACATCTAAGGCAGCTTCCCGGCAGGGACATAGCTAGGGGGTAGTGAGGAAGGCTCCCACCAGGGGTGCAGGTGAGGGGGCCCCTGCAAAATCGGCTTTAAATATGTCCATAAATATGTCTATAAATAAAAATATCGATTATTGCCTCATAAGAAAAAGTTTTAAATAGACGGTCTTTATATGATATGCAGGGGCCCTGTTTTCCCCTATTTTTTTCAGTGTCACATTCCTTTTTCTTTAAATTTCACAAACTCCAAATGCGCACTATTTCACGTTGCATACTTAAGAATTACATGGGACGCGGGTGGCACTATGGGACGCCGGTGGCACTGTGAGTTAAACCACAGAGCCTAGGACTTGCCGATCAGAAGGTCGGTGGTTCGAATCCCTGCGACGGGGTGAGCGCCCATTGCTTGGTCCCTGCTCCTGCCCACCTAGCAGTTTGAAAGCACCTCAAAGTGCACCTTCCCGGCGGGAAGGTAAACGGCGTTTTCGTGCACTGCTCTGGTTCGCCAGAAGCGGCTTAGTCATGCTGGCCACATGACCCGGAAGCTGTACGCCGGCTTCCTCGACCAGTAAAGCGAGATGAGCGCCGCAACCCCAGAGTCGGCCACGACTGGACCTAATGGTCAGGGTCCTTACTTTACTTAGACTCACAATGTTTCGGCCAATCTGTGAAAGAATTCATTACAAGGTGAAGTGCATGAGGAATGGAATGGGTGGAGGGTGGGAGGTTGGAGGAGAGGCAGAGAGAAGAGCTGATTTGTACGTTTGTGACCTTCTTTTTGCACATGACTTCCGCTCACCTCAGAGATGTCCCCGTCCGCTGTGTTTCCTTCCCTTCCTTTGACCGCCAGGGCCTCATCCGTCTCCCGCCGGTTATAGTAAGCTTTCCCCGCCAAAGCTGCAGCTTGAGAGAGGAAGAGAATAAATAAAGCAGGTTTCGCCTCTGGAGGTTTGCTTCCTTGCACGTATTTGCAACTCCTCGCATGCGGCCCTCAACTGACTTCCGCAAGGCCCCCGTGCTGCCTCTCCTCCGGCCAGCGGATCCTCTTCCCCGCCACAGACCCGCACGCTCTTCAGCTGTTCCCACCATCCTTCTGCCCGCTGCCACCCAACTGAATGGCGGCGGCCAAGGAATGCACCAATCAGCATGCCCCGCAGCTGTCCTCACGGCCAATTGGCTGGGCGGCATGCTTTTCTGCATAGTTGACAGGTGGGTGGGGCCCAGGCCTGCCCACCACCAGCATGGATCCAGCCAATGGCCTATCTAGTCCAGCATCCTCTTCTCCCAGTGGTCAACTAGATGCCTCACCTGGGAAACCCGCAAGCAGGATTCTCACCCAAGAGCCATTCTCCCCCTCTGCAGTTTCCAGCAACTGGCATTCAGAAGCCTTGCCGCTTCCAATAGTGGAGGCATCATGGCTAGTAGGCACTGAAAACCTCCACTACCTCAAATTTATCTGATCCTCTTTTAAAGCAGTCTACAGGGCTGTCTTGGGACGCGGGTGGCGCTGTGGGTTAAACCACGGAGCCTCGGACTTGCCAATCAGAAGGTTGGGGGTTCGAATCCCCGTGACGGGGTGACCTCCAGTTGCTCGGTCCCTGCTCCTGCCAATCTACCAGTTCGAAAGCACGTGAAGGTTCAAGTAGATAAATAGGTACCGCTCCAGCGGGAAGGTAAACAGCGTTTCTGTGCGCTGTTCTGGTTCGCCAGAAGCGGCTTAGTCCTGCTGGCCACATGACCCGGAAGGTGTACACCAGCTCCCTTGGCCAGTAAAGCGAGATGAGCGCTGCAACCCCAGAGTCGGTCACAACTGGACCTAACAGTCAGGGGTCCCTTTACAGGACTGTCTTACCCATAGGCACTAGGGGTGCGGGGCACCCGGGCGCCGGGCTCTCAGGGGTGCCAGGCCGAGAGCCCCGGGCCCGAGAGTTGAATCCAGGGAAGAACCCACCCATTGGTCGGAGCACCACGGCGTGGTCTTCTGCTGCGGGCGGCTCTGCGCCGCAAGTTCAAGGACGACCGAGCCAGCGAGACGCTGAGGCCTGGAACTGGACAACGGGGGGCGGGCACTGGGTGGATCTTTGCACCCAGCGCCGCATATGCCTAAGACAGTCCTGGCTGTCTAGGTTAACGGCCATCACTGCCTCCTGAGGAAGTGAGTTCCGTAGTTTAACAATGTACCGTGCAAAGGGGTTCTCTCTCTTATCTGCCCTGAATCTTCCAACAATCGGCTGGATGTTCCCGAGGGCGGTATGCAACAACTTTTAAAAGCCATACAGTCATACCTCGGGTTGAAGTTGCTTCAGGTTGAGTGCTTTCGGGTTGCGCTCCGCAGCAACCCGGAAGTAACGGAACGAGTTACTTCCGGGTTTCGCCCCGCACGCATGCACAGACGGGCAAAATTATGTCACGCGCATGCGCGGAAGCGGCAAATCGCGACCCGGTTGCGTTTACTTCAGGATGCAAACGGGGCTCTGGAATGGATCCCATTTGTATCCAGAGGTACCACTGTATTTAAAACAATTTGTTAAGGAGCCACAATAATAAGCAACAAATACAAATAAGCAAAATGGTCTCTCAGGTGTTCCTTCCGCACTTTCGCCAGCCCCCTCCTTTCCGGCCCTCACATTTCCTGGAAGACACACACAAACTCCCTAGGGAGGCTTCAGGTCTCTCGTCCTCCCCTTAAGTCAGAGCCCGTCGTACCTTCAATTTCTTCAGCACGCAGTTTGCGAATGGCGGCACGGATCAGTTTCCGTTCCTCGTATTCACTGGCCGCCCGCATCTGATGGGAGAAAAGAAAAGGTCAGCCACTTTTACAGGCCGGCTTCAGGCCTGCCTCGTTCTCCCCAAGTCAAGGCCAGCTCTGGGTCAACTGGGTGCAGGCAGGATCGATGCTGTGAGCCCCAACCTGCACATGAATACCCGCTGGTTAGACAAGTGTGTCATTTTTATTCATTTTTTAAAAAATGAGGAGAAACATGGGTGATCTCCACATGGTGAAACGGAGGGGCCAACACTGAGAAGACCCTGCTTGCTTTTCAAGGAGGGACCTGTTGGCCACAGCCAGACATCCTAAGATGCAGCATTGAAGGGGTAGGGTGCAGAGACCAAACATGCCCCCGCCCAGGCATCTCCGTCTAGCCCTGGGTGCTTTCCCAAGGACACACATCTTCGAAAGCCACACCCCCTCTCCTTGGGCCACACCCCTCTCCAGCTTTGCTTCACGCCTTCCCTGGATACTTTTGAACAGCTGAGATTTTATTATTCTTATTTCACAAAATTTAGGCACTGCTTTATTGCAAAAAAAGGGGGTGGGGTTGGTTTACCTCAAAGGTAATACAATAAAATTATCATTCGGAAAAATTCACAGGTAAAATAACAATAGAATATAAGCAGATTAAAACTCGCATCAACGTTCTATGCATCTGGGTGGGCTTATCTATTTTTTTTTAAATGTTTTTAGCGGGCTCTGAAAAGAGTACAGTGAAGTCGGCTGCCTGATATCAAGAGGCAGGGAGTTCCATAGGTGCTGTCTCACTGAAAGATCGATTTCTGACAATGGGGAACAAGATGTGACCTGGGACTCTAACCATGCCTCTTACTTGCGTGGCTGGAGGCCAGAAAGAGGTAATGGAGTGTCTGCAGAAACCAGCCTAGCGTCCTAAGGCAAAGTGCACATTCATTGCTCTGTCTGACTTTGACTCTGGCCCTACCCGCCACCAGCATGTGGCCCTCAGAAGGTTGTCCAGGAGAGAATGTGGCCCTCTGGAGGAAAAGTGCCCCCCCCCAAAATCCCTGAAATACAGGGACAGTTACATGAGCTGGCCACTAAATGGCACTCTTTCCTTGCCAAGGCACTTAGCAGCGGCCGGGGAAAGAGACAAACGAGGCAGTTTTCTCCCCAGAGCCTGGAGAATGTCGGATCCAGAACTCCCAGCCAGCTCAGACCCAAGTAAAAAGCTGCAGGAAGGAAGCCAGCAGCCTGCCACTTTGCAATCGTGAAGTTCATATCGACATCAAGCTTCTGAAAATTCAGAGCGTTTCCCAGAGAGTTCCCGCACTAAAAGAACCCATTTCTTACAAGTGCAGATTGAAGCGGTCGAGTGGGGGTAATCTCAGAAGTAAACGAGTCCCAAGTATATTGCAAACTGAGACAGCTTATACTGAGAGAGGATGGGGCTTGCCCAACAGCAAGGGACAGGATTCGAACACGGGACTTTGGCTCTTTGTTCGGTCTCTTTATCCCCTCTACTTCAAAAGCCAAGGCAGGCACGTTCAAAAGAGGACAAGGTCCCCAAGCCACTCACCAAAGCAGTCAGTTCCTCCACATCCTGAATGGTTTCCAACTTCCCGGATAGGATGTCCAGAGTTTTCTGCTGCTGCTTCTGCTCCTCCTCCAGCCGCAGTGATCTGTAGGGAACAAGGCACAAGGGACACATCTTCAGGTGGGGGGTGATGGCTAAGATCTGTGAGACCATTGGGCCAGTAAGCTGGCAGGGAGGTGTCTTGGCTAACCCCCTCCAGCATATCAGGGACAGAAACCTTCCTAGAAAGTCGCTTTATACTGAATCAGATCAGTGGGGTCCATCTAGTTCAGCACTGCCTACACTGACCAGCAGAGGCTGTCTGGGATTTCAGATTGAGATCTTTCTTTCCCATCCCTACCCGGAGATGCCAGGAATCGAACCAGCGACCTCCTTTCTGCATGCAGAGCAGATGCTCTGCCTCTGAGCTACAGCCCTTCACTATCCAGAGTCAGACCATTGGTCCATCTAGTGCAATAAGACCAACACTGGCTGGCAGCAGCTCTCCAGGGCTTCAGGAAGGGAGTCTTCCCCGATTCACATGATACGTGCGTAGAGGGCAACGCACATCAGCAAAGCCACCTGCAACCCTAGAGATTCCGCAACCCTAGAAATTCCACAACCCTAGAAATTCCGCAATCCTAGAAATTCCGCAACTGATTCTGCAATTATTTAGAAGTAATGGGGGGAGAGGCTAAGCAAGCAGATTAGAGGGGGAAAGAAAGGGGTTCCCGGGACCCACCTCAGCACGTTCTCCTTGTTCTCCTGCCGTTCTGCACAGCGCTCCGTCCGGAAGCGCTTGGATGCCAGCGCCTCCTCGTCTCGCTCCAGCTCCTGCCGCCGCAGCTCCCGGATGGCGGAGCGGATCTGCCGCCGCTCGGTCAGGTCCAGCGTGGCCTCCAGCTGTGTGGGGAGGGAGGCGTGGCAGCAGCGAAAAAGGCAAATGGTCACTCCAAGATGGATAAAGGGTATCGTAGAGACCGGCTCCACCCACCCCACTCTGGCCCACCTCGGCTCAAAACTCTCAAGATTCCACGCGACGGCGCACACAATGGAGGCAGTGTCCCGGCTGACACAGGGGACCAGTGTCCCTGCAGCCACCCACTCTCCCGGCACGGAGCCCAATGACTCACGCACGCGACTGCCACTAAGCCTCGGACGGTGCCCAGGAGACCTCCACCCAAAGAATGGCATCGCTGGGCACACACACACGGGCCTGGGCAGCAGGGAAAATCCCTAGGGGTGGTGGTCTCAAACTGGGAACCACAAACCCCACACAACACTTGCAGAGGTCAAGAGGAAGGGATAACCTCTCCTACCCTCTGGTTCCGAGCACGCAGCGGGCAAGGATTGTCACGGTCACTTTAACAGATAAAAAAAGCCGATTTGTGTGATGCCCTCTGCCGTACTTGAGGGCAGATACCAAAAGATTCCTTTTTTAAAAAAATAATATTTATTAAAGTTTCAAAAGAAGAAAAATCACATTAATAAAAGAAAAAAAATTAACACTAAAAAGGAAAAATACAAAGTAGAAAAAAGAAAAAACAGTTAAAAACAATTCCATCTTTTCGTCACTTCTTTTACATTTACTTGTTTCCCGGACCTCCTCATACCTCCCTCTTTTGTATTCCAATTCAATTTGTTAATCCAACAATTCCTTTCCCTCCTTTTTAGTCCTGATCTTTAATCTTGATATTATAACATTAGATTTTTACATATTAAAAACCAATTTTTCCACATTCTTTTGTACCTATACCGCTGATGAAATTGATGGACTATATGGCAGATGAAATTGATGGACTATATGGAATTGGCGGAAATGACTGGCAGAATCCGAGACCAGGGAGAAGAGTCGGTAGAAGAAGATTGGAAGAAATTTAAAGACTATTTACAGAAATATTGCAAAATTAATGAATGTTAGAATGATGTTGGATTGAAGTTAAGTGGTTTCTAGCGGTATAGGTACCAAAAGATTCCAACTGAGAAACAACTCTGGGAAATAGACGGAGATTACTTTCATATGTGGTGGACCTGTGGCAAGGTAAAAAGATTTTGGGAGTTAATCTATAATGAACTTAAGATATTTAAGTATACTTTTCCTAAAAGACCAGAGGCATTTTTGCTAGGTCTGGTGGGAAAAGAAATTAAAATAAAAGATCAGAACTTGTTCATGTATGCCACAGCCGCCGCAAGAACTTTACTGGCCCAAAGATGGAAAACAGAAGATTTACCAGCCATCCAGGAGTGGCAGGCGAAGATGATAGATTTTGCGGAACTTGCCAAATTGACAGGAAGAATCCGGGACCAAGAGGACCAGAGATACAATAACAATTGGAATAAATTTATTGAATATATAAAGGAGAACAACAAAAATATTAAGACACTAGCAGGACTGGAATAACACCTCCAATGTAAAACAGTAGAGTTATGACAATAATATACCCCAAAAGTATGTGATGTATATACCAGCGATCGGGAGGGAGGGAAGTCAGGACTCGGCAGAGTCAAAGGGATTATAATGTGACAATAAGGATTGTTGGAAAAAGAATTACATGTTGAAAACAATAAAAAATTATTTGAAAGGGAAAAAAAAGTGAAACAACTCTGCCCCTGGGGAGATGGCAATCAGGAAACAGTGGCTCATGTTCTCGTGTCCTGTCCCCTTTATAAAGATCTGAGGAATGGGATCATTACCCCACTCTTACTTACCATCCCAGGCCGCCCATCTGCGGCCACACTTTCTTTTATCAGATCAAAATGATCGGACAACAGCAAAGGTTGCTAGGTTTATCAAGGGTGCAATGAGATTAAGGGCCACTATCTGAACGATAATCTTGGTCATTTGATTGCCCTTTTTATCCATTGTCGTCTTTTTAATTGTATATACTGTTTGTTTTATGTTGCTGCGGCTGTTGGCTAATGCGAATAAAGTTTATCTCTCTATTTTCAAGCAGATTTGTGGCACCAGAGGCCCATCTGCAGTGCACCCTTAAAGCAGTATCGTGCTGGTTTGAACAGCCACAGACGGCTTCCTGCAAAGGCTCCTGGGAAATAAAGTTTGCGAGGGGTACTTTTAGGAGGTCCCTATTCCCTCCCTCGCGGAACTACGGTTTCCATGGTTCCCTGGGGATGGATTGTCAAGCCGCTCCAGGAATTGCAGCATTAAAATTACCAACAAAAACTGGACGTTAAGAGCAAGGGCTGCATCCTTAATAAAATATTAAAAAAAATAAAAAAAATAATAATAAAAAAAGAGCAAGGGCTGCATTTGCACCAGACGTTTAAAGCGCTATGGTGCCACTTTTTAAATTCGTTTCATTTTTTGCAGGAAACTTTTTTTCGCCCAGGAAGCAAGGTAACATACATGGTTCTCTCCCTCCTCATTTAGCCCACACAACAACCCGGTGAGGTAGATTTAGATTGAGAAGCAGCAATGGGCCCAAGGTCACCCAGTGAACATCACAAGGCCAAGTGAGAATTTGAACCTGAGCCTCTCCCGGGTCCTAGTACAGTGGTACCTTGGTTCTCAAACTTAATCCATTCTGGAAGTCCCTTCCAAAACCAAAGCGTTCCAAAACCAAGGCGCGCTTTCCCATAGAAAGTATTGCAAAACGGATTAATCCGTTCCAGACTTTTAAAAACAACCCCTTAAACAGCAATTTGACATGAAATTTACTATCTAACGAGACCATTGATCCATAAAATGAAAGCAATAAACAATGTACTGCACTCACACAATCAATCAATCAGTAGCTGAACTGGGTTCCACACAGTCACAAAAAGAAAACCAAAAGAGCCGCAAAAACAAAAACGCAAAATAAATAGCATAAACAGAAAGACCTCAGCATAACACTCAAAATGGAAGTGTGGCACTCAGAATGAAGCACGTTCGGCTTCCGAAAAAGTTCGCAAACCGGAACACCTACTTCCAGTTTTGCAGTGTTTGGGTTCCAAGTTGTTTGAGTACCAAGGTGTTTGAGAACCAAGGTACCGCTGTACAACACTCTAACCGCTACACCACCCTGGGCTCTCATTTAAACTGTCATGGCTGCACACCTTTTCCTAGTAGGGAAATCTCTGGACTGCAATTCCCATCATCCCCAGCCAGTGTGGTCTGTAGCCGGGGACGATGGAAAAGTGTGGTCTGAGAACATCTGGAGGGAAAGACATCCCCCGATCAAAGCCAAGCCACCACTGCGGGTGTCCCGCTTCCTGCTGGGCGTGTCCACGACCCTCCCTCTCTCAATCTCTCTACCCCCAGCCCAGCCCTGTACAGCAGTCAGGCCCCGTCTCATTTCCTGGATGTGGGGTGGAGTAAGGGGTCATGCTTCCCAGCATTCAGCCTCGCCACAGCTGCATTTCCTGACCCCTTTTGTCTGAGTCAGGAAGGGAGCTGCAGAGGCTGCTCTCTGGAATGACTGGATTCAGAGACGGAATATGGAGGAAAGGCAGCGATGGGAACAGCGAAGACATTTCCTGCAGCATCTGCAGAGATTGCCAACACACATACACAACTCAACTTCACAGCTGACAACAGCGCTCTCTCTCTCTCTCTCTCTCTCTCTCTCTCTCTCTCCCACACACACACACACACACACAAGCACACAGATAAGAGGGGACGCGGGTGGCGCTGTGGTCTAAACCACTGAGCCTCTTGGGCTTGCTGATCAGAAGGTCGGCGGTTTGAATCCCCGCGGCAGGGTGAGCTCCCGTTGCTCTGTCCCAGCTCCTGCCAACCTAGTGGTTTGAAAGCATACCAGTGCAAGTAGATAAATAGGTACCGCTCCAGCAGGAAGGTAAACAGTGTTTCTGTGCACTCTGGTTTCCATCACAGCATCCCGTTGCGCCAGAAGCGGTTTAGTCATGCTGGCCACATGACGCAGAAAGCTGTCTGTGGACAAACGCCGGCTCCCTCGGCCTAAAAGCGAGATGAGCCCTGCAACCCCATAGTCGCCTTTGACTGGACTTAACCATCCAGGGGTCCTTTGCCCCTACCTTTACAGATAAGAGGAGAGTTGGCACTGCAGTCAGAATAATCTTCCCCAACCTGCCGCACTCCAGATGTTTTGAACTACAACTCCCATCAGCCCCAGGCAGCATGTAAGGTAGTTCAACATTGCGATTCCCATATTGCAGACACAAGAATGGAAGGAGAGCTTGCTCAGTCAGGCCAATGGCCCATCTAGGCCAGCATCCTGTTCTCACAGTGGCCAGCCAGGTGCCTCAATGGAAAACTTGCACAAGAGCAATTCTTGCCTTGCGGTTTCCAGAAACAGGGATTCAGTAGCATCGCTGCCTCTGACCGTGGAAGCAGAGCAGAGCCACCGTGGCTAGTAGCCTTGAATGGCCCTCTCTCTCCTCCATGATTTTGTCTAGTCTTCCTTGAAAGCCATCCAAGTTAGTGGTCATCACTGCCTCTTGTGGCAGGGAGTCCCAGAGGTCAACCATAGTACAACAATCTGAATTCCAGCTGTAAGTGTTCTTCGCAGACATAGTAAATTATGGTCCACAGATTCAGAAGCATTGATGCCTCTGACTGGAGGCAGAGCATAACCATCTCGATAGGCCACTTCTCCATGAATTTATTTAATCCTCTTTTAAAGCCATCTAGGTCCCTGTGGCAGGGAGTTCCAAAGTTTTAACTATGTGCTTGTGTGAAGTTCTCTCTTTTATTGGTCCCGAAACTTCCAACATTCAACAGATTACAACCATTAAAAAAGTAGTCTTAAAAACAGGTTTTTTTAATGGGAATTATAGGGACAGAACTAGCTAAACAGTATAGAAACTTATTCATGTATGCGACTACAGTGGCAAGAATGTCACTCGCCCCCAAAATGGAAAGAAGCAGAAGTCCCAGCAAAGGAAGAATGGATACAAAAACTTACAGGATACTCAGAAATGGTGAAACTTACTGGAAGAATAAGAAATCAAGATAACAAACTTTTTAAAATAAAAGAATAGAAATGGTTTATTGAATATTTAATAGATAAATTGTATACAGATAAGAACATTGGTGGGATTATTCTAATAACCTGTAGTTTCATAAGAGTATATATTTAAAGTAGATGGAATAAATGAGCAAATTAAGTAAAGTTGGATAGGCAGAAGATATTAAAAATGAATTTAAGGAACCGCAGAAAGAGGGGGAAGGAAGTCAAGTTTCGAAATGTTATAGTGATTGTAAAATTAGTGAAATGTATAAATGTGAAAATAATAATTTAAAAAAAAAAATAAATAAGTTTTTTTTAAACTTAAAACCACCGCAAATAGAAGTGCTCTTTTGTGGGGGGCAGTGTGGGGAGGCAGAAGCCCAAGGCAACAAAGAGTTGTAAGATGTGCGCTGGGGTCTTCCTGTTGGTGCAGAAAGAACTGGGGACCCATTTTGCCCACCTAGCCTGGAAAACAGTTCCTGCTCATGTGGCATGTGAGGCAATCAATGGTGAAAACATCTGTCCATCACCCACTAGGGCTCTCTCTCTCCACCCTATTCTCCCTCGCATGGCTGGCCACTGGCACAGCTACAGTTAGACCGGGAAGGACAGTGCCAAGCCAAGCAACAAGGGAGGGAGTCCACCGCGGCATTTCCCTTTGGATGCTGAAGGCAAGAGGTCACAAACAGCTGCTGCAGCAGCTGGAAAGAGCCAGGGCACACCAGAGCCCCAAGAAGAGGCACAGACCCACTTCAAAACTCTCCGCACAGCTTTGATGCATCCTTAAAATACCCAAGAGATGAGCTCCCTGCTCCGAGTTTCTCCAGCCCACTCGGAAAAGAGGGGGGGGGCATACCCTTCATGGTTTGCCACCCAATCAGTCCTCTATATACACGAGCAAAGAGGGGGGGAACAATCTTTGCCCAATGCATCATTAATTTACAGGATTTGCAGTCACAAGATGTGCTGAGCGAAGGTCACCGGTTTTAAAAGGGTATTAGACCAAACGCATGGAGAAGGGACCATTTAGCCACTATTAGGCAGTAGAACCTGCAGGTCCAGTGGCAGTCTACCTCTGAATATCGGGAAGAGCAGATGTACAAGAGGGCTGGCTGGTACTACCACGGCCCCTGCCAGGTCTACTCTCCCAGCCAGCTCTCCTCCTACACTCCAGGGGGGAAGCCTTTTACAAAGCCAGACCACACTGGCTGGCAGCAGCTCTCCAGCGCTTTATGAAGCAAGGCCGACCTGGAGATCCCCTGCATACCAAGCAGATGCTCTCTACCACTGAGCTAAATCCCTTTCCCGAGTGAGAACATTGGAAGGCGCCTTATAGCAAGTCTGACCACTGGCCCATCTAGCTCAGTACTGCCTACACTGACTGGCAGCAGCTCTGCTGGATTTCCGGCAGGGAGTCCCTCCCAGTCCTACCAGGGACCTTTCGCAAGCACTTGAAGGCTGCACAACCGTCACCCCTACCCAACAGACAAACGAAACAGGCAGAAACTTCGGACTTGCCTGGCTTCCAGGGGTCTGAGGCAGACGGATGTGAAATGCTTGGAAAGGTTTTGGTTTTGAGGGGTGGGGGGAAGCGATTTCAACTTGGGGGGGTAGGAAGGGCAGTCGTCAAATGTGAACACACAAAGAGAGAGAGAGAGACCCCAAGGCCACGTAAGCAGCCCAGGGAGGGTGGAGGCCAGAGGCAGCCCTCCGGGCCCTGCTGACAGGCCAGCCCCGCTCTGCGGCCAGAGGTTGCTGGGAGCCGCAGAGCGGATTCCAAGAGGAGCGCGCAGGGAGAATTCGGCGTCCTGGGCTGCCCTACGCCCTGGGAAGAACAGGACATGCTGCGGCCCCAGCTCACGCTCCCCCGCCGGGCAGGAAATTAACGGTTACGAGCGGCCGGCCTAGAAAAACAGGGCCTCAATTTAAAGCAGGGAGTTAGCTAGGTGGAGAGGCAGCTGGAGGCAAGCAGGACTCTGCGGGGCCAAGACGCCGCTGTTTTCCCAGACCAGGAGTGGAGAGCAACAGGGAGCAGTGCCTTGAGAAGCAAAATCCAGATGTTGGAGCAGCCGACGCAAGGAGCCTTCGATGCTTTCAGACAAGGGACCTTCCTTTCACCCAGATGCGCATTTCTTAATTTTCTGTTGTCTGGCTGTATTGTTACCAGAACTCTTAATAAAGATCAGCCTTGCTTTCACTGCCTGCGCTCATTCGTCTCCGACCGATAAATTTGGGGGACACTTGTCTCCTTTTAGATGAGGAGTTTTGCCATTAAAAAAAGGCACTGCCTATTTTCTGGTGACAGTATAAACACCAGCGGCCTATGCCTACAGGCTGATATGGATAGGTGTAACCTAGGCTCAGGTTTTTGCAGACACGTAACCTCGCTAGAAGGGACGCGGGTGGCGCTGTGGGTTAAACCACAGAGCCTAGGACTTGCTGATCAGAAGGTCGGCGGTTCGAATCCCCACGACGGGGTGAGCTCCCGTTGCTCGGTCCCTGCTCCTGCCAACCTAGCAGTTTGAAAGCACGTCAAAGTGCAAGTAGATAAATAGGTATCGCTCCGGTGGGAAGGTAAACGTTGTTTCAGTGCGCTGCTCTGGTTTGCCAGAAGCAGCTTAGTCATGCTGGCCACATGACCCGGAAGCTGTACGCCGGCTCCCGCAGCCAATAAAGCGAGATGAGCGCCGCTACCCCAGAGTCGGCCACGACTGGACCTAATGGTCAGGGGTCCCTTTACCTTTAACCTCACTAGACCTTATAATGTAGTAGTTTTTTCAAAAATGAAAGAGCTCTTCCTCCAAGGAGCATGAGGTGGTCCCCTTTTATCCTCCTAACAGCCCTGGAAGGTAGGCCAAGCCGGAGCAAGCTTCAAACCAGACCTCTCTAGCTGTGTATCTATTAGACTACTCCCGCCAGATATAACCCTCTTCCTACACCGCAGCTAAAACCACCACCTGCCCTCCATTTGCCCTGCAGTGGGATTTGGGGACTCCCCTGCAAAAAAAAAAAAAAAGAATCCTGAGAACTTAGTTTATGAAGGGTGCCAGGAACTAGGGTGCCGTGACAGGGTGAACTACAGTTCCCAAGATTTGTTTTTCATAGGGAAAAAGCCATGTGCTTTAAACATGTGGTGTGCACAGAGTCAACATTTTTTTAATATATCCCATCAACCCTGAAAGGCAAACACAATTTCATACTGGAATAAGAAGTACAGTGGTACCTCGGGTGAAGTACTTAATTCATTTCGGAGGTCCGTACTTAACCTGAAACTGTTCTTAACCTGAGGTACCACTTTAGCTAATGGGGCCTCCAGCTGCTGCTGCTGCCGCGCTGCCGGAGCACAATTTCTGTTCTCATCCTGAAGCCAAGTTCTTAACCTGAGGTACTATTTCTGGGTTAACGGAGTCTGTAACCTGAAGCGTATGTAACCTGAAGCGTATGTAACCCGAGGTACCACTGTACGTAAAAAGTGAGTGGGGAAAACTTTCCCCCCAGACTTTTACTGCATTCAAGCTCTGAGTTTAATTTCACAACTGCCTTTAAGTTTCCTTTTGTTTTTAAGCATTCACAAATCATTTTTTGCCCTTTGTACCAGTTCTGGGAGAACCTCGTAAAAGAAAAAGAAAGCACAACTGAGTTTCTCTCCCCACACCACCCTCTTTTCAAAAAGACTCCGTTCTTATGGGACTTTGAAAAGAATTCCCTTATATATATTTTTTTCAAGTTTTGCAGCTTGCATTTTTTGAGGGGGGGTGGAGGGGGTAGTAAAACATGCACCCCCAAAATGAAGGAGAAGGGGAGTCCAAAGATGGGCAGTTACAGCTGGAGAGTGTGCATTGGTGTGATCCAGGTACAAGACTGTGACCATTTACCACCACTGCCCTTTTGCTAAACAAAGCCAAGCCTCAGTGAGTGGTGCTTAATTCATCAACTCGAATTAGCCAGGCTGGAATTCCAAAGGGATTCCCACCCACTTCCTTCTCCCACTACAAGCAGGCATTCCTGGACTCGGACTCACAGAGGCTGGAGGTAGCTGAGCATCCTGGGAACAAGATCTGCATCCCACACAGGCAGGAGCTCCAGAAGGATAGGGTGCAGGGGGAGGGAGCCAGCCACCCCTCCTTTTGAGAATGGTACGTTCCCAGACTCTGGTACACTGCCCTCACCCTGGAGGTTCCACTTAGTTCTCCTGGACAACAGCAGGAGAGAGAGAAGAACAGAAATCGTGCTCTGGCGGCGCGGTGACAGCAGGAGGCCCCATTAGCTAAAGTGGTGCTTCAGGTTAAGAACAGCTTCAGGTTAAGAACGGACTTCCGGAACGAATTAAGTACTTAACCAGAGGTACCACTATAGTGACCTGTGAGTGATTTTCAACTAAGCTTTACTCGGTTTTGTTATAGGAATTCTAAGGTCTCAAATAAAGTCATAGTCATACCTCGGGTTGATTGTGCTTCGGGATAAGCGTGTTCGAGTTGCGCTCCGTGGCAACCCGGAAGTAACGGAGCGCGTTACTTCCGGGTTTCGCCGCTTGCGCATGCGCAGACGCTCAAAATGACGTCACGCGCATGTGCAAAAGCGCCAAAACGTGTCCCGCGCACAGACACGGGTTACGTTTGCTTCTAGATGCAAATGGGGCTCCGGAACGGATCCTGTTCACATCTAGAGGTACCACTGTACCTCGCAAGTCTAACAGAATCCATTCCGGAGGTCTGTTCGAATTCCAAAGCGCAGCTTCAGATTGGCTGCAGGAAGCTCCTGCAGCCAATCGGAAGCCGTGGAAGCCCCGTCGGATGTTCGGCTTCCGAAAGAACGTTCAAAAACCAGAACACTCACTTCTGGGTTTTTTATTGACTCCCAAGGCGTTTGGGAGCTGAGGTTTGACAGTATGGAATAAATGTTGATAATTGCACAAGGTAAACACACATAGGTAAGTATAAAAGTCACATGTCTAAAATAGTACAGGAGAGCAATCCTAAAACCATCTTGGCTCTCTTAAGGGCTCTAATATTTCCTCTGCCTCCTTAGTCCTCTTTGCCCGAGAACAGGTAGGCAGATAGCAATCAGCGGAAGTTCCTGAAGGGATTCCTTTCCTATATCTATAAACCTCCTTTGTATTGTCATTGTCTGCTGGCATCCTGATGGTCTTATCAAATGCTAATGTTTTGTGTAAACTGTGTCTGGAACTATGTAAAACTTGCTAAATCCTCAGAAATAACACACCTTGGCCTGCCTGAGCCACAGCTACCCCACTTTATGTGAGAGGTAATTTCTGACTGTTTGTAGAGAGGATGTCCTGCTTCTCCACGCCAAAACGTAAACACTTAAAAGAGATGTTTCTTCTGAGCTCTAGGTCTCTCTTGCCTCCTTGCTTGGAGGGGAGGGAGCTCTGTTACAACAGAAAAATAAAGATCTGCCTTGCTTTCACTGCCTTCTGCCTCCATCCATTCATCTCTGACGGATCATGGACTTAGGGGACTCAGTCCCTTGGAGAGTTGGGCAGCAAAAGCCAACAATCCTTATTTTTCTATATCAGTTTTCAACCAGTGTCCTGTGGCACCCTGGGGTGCCTTGAATGTTGGTCAGGGGTGCCACAGGCCACACTGGCCTCAGTCCCTCTTTCCTTCTTGTTTATCTGCCTCCCAAAGGCTTGCACAGCTGTTTGTTACAGCAGCCCTGTCTACAAGCTCCCCAGGTGAATGGTGCCTCTGGGCCTGGCCATGGGGTGCTTCTCAGGCCCCCATGGGGCAGTGTGAGGAGGCACCCCTCTTTGGGGCAGGGGCAGAGGCTCAGACACCAGGGGCGGCAGCTGTAGCTGCCCAGAGGACTCCCAAGGAGAGGGGAGAGGAGGAAGAGGGAACACTCCACCAGGGAGTGTGTTTGAAAAAGGGTGAGGGGCTGCCAGCTCTGTAGGCAAGGGGTGACGCAACTGGGCTCCTGAGCCCCACAGGGGTGCCGCAGAAAGAATGCAGTTGGTCCAGGGGGCCGTGGACCCAAAAAGGTTGAAAACCTCTAATTAGAGCAGGGGTCAGCAAACTTTTTCAGCAGGGGCTGGGTCCACTGTCCCTCAGACCTTGTGGGGGGCCAGACTATATTTTTTGGGGGGGTGGGGAATGAATGAATTCCTATGCCCCACAAATAACCCAGAGATGCATTTTAAATAAATGGACACATTCTACTCATGTAAAAACTCGCTGCAGATTTAGAAGGTGATTGGGCCGGATCCAGCCCCCGGGCCTTAGTTTGCCTACCCATGGATCAGAGCAAACACCCCGCTGAAATTAATGAAACTGACAGGGCCAGTGTGGTGCCTCTCCCCCCCCCCCACTTAAGAGCACAGGGCGAGTACTTGGAAGACCAGGGTTCGAATCCCCCACTCAGCCACGAACCCCTCTGAATGACCTTGAGCCAGTCCCTGTCTCTCGGTCTTATATTAAAACAATATTTTTTATTTTTAAAAATCATTTAACATATTGATGATAAAAACCATTCACCCCCTCCTGGAATAGAAGAAAAAGCCCAAACCCTACAAAAATTCTATAATCCACCCCACTAGCGGTATGGGGAGGGGGAGGGGAAGTGTTTCAGGAACTTAACCCACCCTCATTCCCATCTGCAGGGAGACACCCCCCAGAAGTAAAAGCGGCCTGCCACACCCCACATTTCCTCCTCCCCGCCCAAAGGGGGCGGCCACAACCTGGAGCCCTTGATTCAAGGTGAATGGGAGACAAAAGAGGCATTCAAACCAGCCAACCCGAGGAGGGTGGCACCCAGCCAGCACCTTGCCCTGTGCCAGCCGAGGCAGTGGCAGGCAGGATCCGGGAGGCAGATTGTGCAGGTGTGCCAGTCGGCCTTCCCTTTGCCAGCTAGCTGGGTGAACAGGTGAGCCCCAAGCAAGGGAGGGAGGGAGGAGATCCAAACAGGTAAAGACTCAGAACTCCTTATCTTCCACCCCACCTGGCTGAAAAGGGACTTAAGCTGTTCTCTCCCCACTCCTTGGGGGTTGGCCTTGTTACCTGGCTAGGTAGGGAGGAGAGAGAAGGGCTGTGGTTCTGTGCCAGAGCATCTGCTTTGCATAATAATATTAATAATAATAATAATAGTGTAGACAGTCCCAGTTTTGATCCCCAGCAAGTCCAGGTAGGGCCCTTGCTTGAAGTCCTGGATAGATGCTGCCAGCCTGTGTTGACAGTGCTGAGCTAGATGGACCAATGGTGTGAACCAGTAAAGGGGCACAGCTTTGTAGTGTAGAGCATCTATCTGTCTTACATGCATAAAGTCCCGGGTTAAATCCCTGGCAACTCCGAGTATCTGCTGCCAATCAGTGCAGACAACACTGAGCTAGATGGGCCAACAGATAGCCGAGTATCTGCTTAGCATATAGAAGGATCCCTGGTTCCATTCCCAATGGCATTTCTAGGGAGGGCTAGGAACACCCCCTGCCTGACACCCTGGAGAGCTGCTGCTGCTGCCGGTCAGAGTCAGCGATGCTGTGCCAGATGTACCAATCATCCCGAATCTGCCGAGGACTGCAGCTGCGCACCAGTCCTTTTCCTTTTTCCACCCACCCTTTGCTGGAGCACACACAATCCCCTCCGTGCCCAGCCCTCAGGAATGCATTGGCAGGGGGAAAAAGTTATAGGGGAAATCTTGCTGGTATTTGGAGGGGGGCATGGATGGAGGCGGCAGTGGGGCAGAGGAATGCAAGCACAGGATGGGTAAAGACGGGGCAGAGAGGTGGGAAGGGGAGGAAACCTGGCTGAAGGGCAGGAGCGGAGAGAGAAGGAAGAGAAAGGGAGAAAGGGAAAAATAGAGAAGAGCATAGTTTTCTCCTTATATGGGCTAATCCCCTCTTAGCCTGAGTGAAGAAGTAAGACCAGCCTCCAGTCTCCAAAAGTTCAGAGAGCAGGATCAAAATAACAAGGGAGAGACCTCCAAGCCCCCCACCAACAAAAAGACAGGGGTCCCAGTGGGGCAGGGGAATTCTAACCCTCCGCAATTTCATCATCGGGCTGGGTAGCAAAAAATAAAATAAAAAACCCGCACGGATCAATAACAATGTTGTTTGGCTGTTATTTTACAACAAATAAATCATTTCCACTGCAAAACTGTAACATCCTTGACTTCATGTTGTCCACTACTGCAACAGTTGTACTGTGAATTTGCTTGAACCTTTGTTGCCTGCATATTTTGAAAACCTGTGAACAAAAATATTTGCTGAAAAGTAATTTCTGATGGTGCACTTTTAACCAAGTCTTTTTTAGAACCAGGTAGACACCACCTTGAGCTCACTGGCGGAAAGGCGAGATCTAAATGTAGTAAACAATGTTATCTGTGGGTTAAAGGAGGGCAGCTTCTGAACTCGCCTCCCGGGTCACCCCAAGGGAACTGCGACTGAGAACAGGTAGGGCTAATTGTCAAATATTGTAAAAATATTCCATGAAGCTGCTTTGAAGGAACTGGCTTGCAGCTTTAAAAACTGGCTTTTTGCTTTTTAAATAGACACAGCTACGTGTTATTTCAGTTTAATTTTCCTCTTCTTCTTTCTTATTAATTTTGCAACTGCAGGCAGATCTGGGCTTTTGAGCCAAGAGGGAAAGCGTTCTCATTTATATCTTCTCTAACATTGTTTAAAAAGGTAGATTAAATGAATATACTGTCTTGCTTTTTAAACTTTGCACAAAATTGTTGGCACATTATAAATTGAGTCATAATAACCCTTAGATTAACAGCTACATTTTTAAAAGGCAATTTCATTGTTTCCACACTAAAGAGTTGTAACTATTTACTTTCGGAGCTAACATAAGTATCAGATTGGTTGATGATTAAAGTTTTTTGTTGAGCTGAGGTAATGCTTTAAAACTACCCGACCAAATCTTTGACCCGCAGAACACGGAAGGTTATAGAAAGCCTGTTTTCAGAGCACAGAGAGACTAAGAGCACCATTTTTCCTCACAACAACCTTGAGAGGTAGGCTAGGGTGGGAAAAAGAAATACTGAATTGCTGCCCAGCACATACCTTACAGGCCGCAGAACCAAGCAGGGATTGGAGCAGAGATTTCCCCATAGGCAAACCCAACACACTAAACCAGAATTAAAGGGTGCTGGAGATTTAGAGGGAAACAAGTCCGAGGAACTACAAGACGATTTTTGGCAAAACCTCCATGCCGTTCCAGGCACCAATTGGTTCTTGAACCTTCCTTCGCTGAAAACGACAGCTAACCCATATGACAGTCAAGTACTGTAGAGACAGAAGCTGAACCACAGAGCTCCTTCTTAATGAGGACTAGAACCACAGTTTTCCATCTTTAAACCAAAAACTGAATCAAGTATCACATTCCATTATACTATTTCGGCAACAGAATCCGGGTTCAAGGCTGGTCTGGAACAGATGGGAAGATCTGGGGAAGCTGGTCTGTTTGCTATGCATCTGGGCACCTCTTAAGGTGCCTGGATAGCTCATTTAGTTAGAGTGTGGTGCTGATAACGCCAAGGTTGCAGGTTCGATCCCCGTATGGGACAGCTGCATATTCCTGCCTTGCAGGGGGTTGGACTAGAATTCAGGCAAACTCGGCCCTCCAGATATTTTTGGCCTACAATTCCCATAATCCCTAACTAACAGGAACAGTGATCAGGGATGATGGGAATCGTAGGCCAAAAACATCTGGAGGGCCGAGTTTGCCTATGCCTGGACTAGAGGATCCTCAGGGTATCTCTTCCAACTTTATGATTATATGATATCATAAAGAAGAAAAAAAATTGCATGGTAGTTCCCAAGTCTGAAGGAGCAGGTCTTAAGTCATAGAATCACAGAATTGGAAGGGACCCTGAGGATCATCTAGTCCAACCCCCTGCAATGCAGGAATATGCAGATGTCCCATACAGGGATCAAACCTGCAACCTTGGCATTATCAGCACCAAACTCTAACCAACTGAGCCATCCTTTACTACGCTTTACAACAAGCAGATGCAATTTTGAATCAATCACTGGTTTCAAAGCCACAGTTTTTTTCGTCTTTTGAAATACCCAAAAGACAACCAGCTACGAGGCTGCTAATCAAGACATAAGAGCAACCAGGTAGGGTTAGCACATGCAGGCATGTGATTCCGCAATTCTGCTTCCTGTGTGCTCATCCAAACAGAACGAGAGCCCTCTGGAGCAGGCTTCAAGAGATGGGAAGGACTGGAGAAAAACCAGAAAAATTGGGGGTGGGGTTTTTTCCCCTATTTTTCTGGGGGGTTTTCCAGGCCTTCCCACCTCTAGGCTTTACATTTTCAAAAATAGGCCCTGTCAGGGAGAGGAAGGGTGGGATATGTAAAGTGCAGTCAAAACCAACAATTCACGATTGCTAGATAGGTGCAGGGTAGGAGCCGATGCTCACAGAGTTTTCCTGTAACTTTGCTAGGGAGAACTCTTGTGAGAAACACTCTCTCTGTGTCCTCACAGATAGAGGACATAGCTATATTGTGTTTTTCAGTTTATTTGTTGTTGCGACCATCGTGGCCATTTCAACCATCACTACAAAGAAATATGCCTTCTCTTCATATGATACAGAACGCACCTAGATACACCATTAAAAGACAGTGCATAGCTGTGCAACTTCAGTGCAACTTGAATGGCTTTAAAAGGGGTTTTGCTAGTCAGTTTTGCCATCTCGGCATAGTTCATCAGCTTGGTTTGCCATTCTTCTCTTGAGTAGGGACTTTATCTTTTTTTCCATCTCTGGGGTAGTAGCATCCGGGCGGCTGTTGCTCCGTATATGAAAAACTGACTGGAAAACTCAGAACCCAAGAGGACAAAAACTTTATAAAAGAATGGGGGAAAGGTATAAGTTACTTAGGAGACCACTGTAAGCAGATGGAAACAAAAGCAGTATTTTGATTTCACTTGCAGTGTAAAAATTACCATGGTTTGATATAAAAATTGGAGTATGGATGAATATGCAGTAATAGATGTTTAAAATGAGACTCCCATGGAGAGGACTTGGGGGGGGAGGGAGTCCCGAGGTTTGGAAAATCTATTTATATAGATTTTTTTTAAAAAAAAAATCTGTTTATTTGAACTTTGCATTTGTAAAACCAATAAAAATGATTTCAAAAAAACAAAAGAGGTTTTGACAAATCCATGAAGGCTATCAAGCCACAATGGCTATGCTGTCTCCATAGCTGGAAGCAGTAATGCTTTTGAAGACCAGTTTGATGGAAACAGCAGGAGCTTGGGCTCAGATCTTGCTTGCTGCTTTCCCACAGGTATCTTGGTGGGTCACCGTGAGCAGAAAATCTTGGACCAAAAGGGCCATTTGGCTTGATGCAGCAGGTTTGTCTTATATACGGCTGACTCTTGAGCTGGGCATGTTTAGCCTGGAGAAGAGGAGGTTAAGGGGTGATATGATAGCCATGTTGAAATATATAAAAGGATGTCACATAGAGGAGGGAGAAAGGTTGTTTTCTGCTGCTCCAGAGAAGCGGACACGGAGCAATGGATCCAAACTACAAGAAAGAAGATTCCACCTAAACATTAGGAAGAACTTCCTGACAGTAAGAGCTGTTCAACAGTGGTGGAGTCTCCTTCTTTGGAGGTCTTTAAGCAGAGGCTTGACAAGCATATGTCAGGAGTGCTCTGATGGTGTTTCCTGCTTGGCAGGGGGTTGGACTCGATGGCCCTTGTGGTCGCTTCCAGCTCTATGATTCTATGATTCTATGATTCTAGAAGGAAGGCTTGCAAAGCTAGGGATGTGGCCTGAGAATCACATATCTTCTGGTCCATGGACAGAGCAATTTTCCTTGAAACAGCACTTGAGCATTTTCTTTACACCATCCCAGAAGGTAGCACATTTGCCCGATGGGAGAAGACAGCTGAGAATTAGCACAGGTCCTGATCACAGTGTGTTCCCAGCTTGAGGCAAACTAATCTTGTTGTGGCAGGAATGGGGGGGCAAGGGGGAGTTGCTGGTTAACCGAAACCTGGCATTATATGCACGTCACCAAGTTTTTAAGGGGCCTCTAGGCAAAAGCTTCTTTGGCACTCGGGCTGAAGGATAAATCAAGCTAGCAGGTTGTATTTTTAAGCACCTCACAGAACAGGCTTTTTTTGCCTGTGAAGCCGGTATTTGCCACAACTCTCCGTAGCAGCAAAACGGACAAACAGAACGACGCTTGTGCAAACAAATAGAAGAACAGGAGATAGCAGAAAACACAAGGACACGGTGTGCCGGTCACCTGCCTCTGGCAAACCGGCGACCAGAGCAAAAACAGCCCCAGGTGCTCAGAGTAGGTGATGGGATGAAGCGTACCTCAAGGTAGGAAAAGGATTGCGTGAACTTTAAGACGGCACGATTTGGCAGCTCAAGTGTCCCCAAGTGCCTTGTAAATAGTTGACATTTAGAGCATTGGACTAGGCCCTGGGAGAACAGGGTTCGAATCCCCACTCAGTCAGGAAGCTCATTGGGCGACCTTGGGCCAGCCACCGTCTCTCAGAATAACCTACATAGCAGGGCTGTTGTGACGATAAAATAGAGAGGTGAAGAATCATGTTCACCACCTTGAGCTCCTTGTAGGAAAGGTGGGATATAAACATAGAAATAGTAGTAGTAGTAGTAGTGGATAATAATAATACAATGATCCTATAAGGTAGGCTGCTGTTATTCTTCCCATAGTCTTCCCTGAGACCTCCAGGTATAGGGCGGTACAGTGGTACCTTGGTTCTCGAACTTAATCCATTCTGGAAGTCCGTTCGACTCCCGAAACCATATAAAAACCAAGGTGCGACTTCCAATTGGCTGCAGGAGCTTCCTGCACTCAAGTGGAAGTTGAGTCGAACGTTCGGCTTCTGAAAAACATTCGCAAACCGGAACACTTACTCCGGGTTTGCGGCATTCAGGAGCCGATCTGTTCGGGAGCCAAGCCGTTCAAGAACCAAGGTACCGCTGTATATAAAGTCAATAAAGAATAATAAAACAATACTAATATTACAGATTGGACAGAGCTGCGAGGACAAAGGGCTACTATCTCCAGCACAGATGACGTGAGATTTGAAGCTGGGGTTCATACCTCACGCTCAGCCCTGACACTACTTGCACTACGTTTTGAGGTGGTACAAGACGGAGCCATAGAACCCAGCTAGCGACAAGTTTGTAGGGGCTGCGAAGGAAGAGTCTATTGCAGGGAACATCAACATGCAACTGCTTGGGGAGGTAGCCTCCAACCATACCATTAAACCCAGAATAACTGCTCTTCAGTCACATTACATTGAGGAAACAACTCAGTTGGTTAGAGCGTGGTGCTGATAATGCCAAGGTCACAAGTTTGATCCCCGTATGGGACAGCTACATATTCCTGCATTGCAGGGGTTGGACTAGATGACCCACAGGGTCCCTTCCAACGCTACAATTCTAGGATTCATTCAAAGCACTTTAGAATGGCTTCCCCCCCCCCAAAGAATTCTGGGAGCTGTAGTTTGTTAAGGGTGCTGAGTGGTCAGGAGACACACCCCCATTCCCCCTCACAGAACTACCATTCCCAGAGTTCCCTGGGAAGAGGGACTGACAGTTAAACCACTCTATGGATTGAAGCTGGACGACCTTCTGCATGCAAAGCAAGTGCTCCACTGAGCTCAAGCATCCAGCTCAGTGTTGTTTACACTGACTGGCAGCAGCTCTCCAGGGTGTCAGGCAGGGGGGGTCTTTTCCCAGCCCTACCTTAAGATCAGGGGTCAGCAAACTTTTCCAGCCGTGGGCTGGTCCACCATCCCTCAAACTTTGTGGGGGGCTGGAATATATTTGGGGGGGGGGAATGAACAAATCCCTATGCCCCACAAATAACCCAGAGATGCATTTTAAATAAAATCACACATTCTACTCATGTAAAAACACGCTGATTCCCAGACTGTCCATGGGCTGGACTGAGGATTGAGAAGGCGATTGGGCCGCATCCGGCCCCTGGGCCTTAGGTTGCCTACCCCTGCTCAAGATGCTATGGACTGAACCTTGGAGCTTCTGCGTTCCACAAGGCTGATGCTCTCCCACTGAGCAGCAGCAGCATCTCCCAGGTCACTCAAACAAGCGACTTCCTCTCGCAGTGTTTCTTCAAGCTTGGGTCCCCGAGTCGTCGTTGGGACTACACCTCCCATCATCCCAACTAGCAGCGGCAGCGCTCAGGGATGATGGGAGTTGTAATCCAACAACAGCTGAGAAAACACAGCTAGGCCAGTTCTTTTAGAACTAGCGCAGTAGCAAACAGCCCCTGCATCTCCCAGCCCACCCAACACCTCTCCAGGTGTGATGCTCAGCCCTGAACAATCTCCAGACATCTCTTATCCAAAGGGTGGGGAGATGGAGAGGTCCAACAGGGAGAAGTTTCTCCAGGAGAGAGGGAGAGAGAGAGATGTTCCAACCTCCTTCTCCAGCTCTGAATGATGTATATCCCCTCCTGGGCAGGGCAGGGCACTGGAAACGGAATTTGGCACAGTGAAAAAGAGAGAGAGAGAGAGAGAGAGAGAGAAAGGGGGGGGACGATCTGGAAGGCACACAAAGAGCCCTTGTAAAGCTCATCAGCTCATTTCAGGGCCAACAGCTCCAGGGACCAGGTGAGCCAAAATGGGCTCTGGGACGGCTCATTTTCAAAGGGCGCCGGGCACCCGCTTGGTTTGGCAGGCAAAGGACACCTACAGAAAATGCAAAACTGGCAAACTTTTACGAGAGGAAAGAAACGTCACGTGCCGGCCATAAAACCAACGGATTCCTGTTGCCTAAGAAGCTTCCACTTCCCCAGCCTGGAAGAGCCCTTCTGGATCAGGCCAGAGGCCTGTTTAGTGCAGCATCCTGTTCTCACAGCGGCCCTAGCCAGATGCTTAAAGGTAAAGGGACCCCTGACCATCCAGTCGCGGACGACTCTGGGGTTGCAGCGCTCATCTCAATTTACTGGCCAAGGGAGCCGGTGTACAGCCGGTGGCCAGCATGACTAAGCCGCTTCTGGTAAACCAGAGCAGCGCACGGAAACGCTGTTTACCTTCCCGCCGGAGCGGTACCTATTTATCTACTTGCACTTTGACGTGCTTTCAAACTGCTAGGTTGGCAGGAGCAGGGACCGAGCAACAGGAGCTCACCCCATCACAGGGATTCGAACTGCCGACCTTCTGATCGGCAAGTCCTAGGCTCTGTGGTTTAACCCACAGCGCCACCCACGTCCCAACCAGATGCTTAAAGGTAAAGGTAAAGGTACCCCTGCCCGTACGGGCCAGTCGTGTCCGACTCTAGGGTTGCGTGCTCATCTCGCTCAAGAGGCCGTGAGCTGGCGCCGTCCGAAGACACTTCCGGGTCACGTGGCCAGCGTGACGAAGCTGCAGCTGGCGAGCCAGCACCAGCGCAGCACACGGAAACGCTGTTTACCTTCTCACTATAAAGCGGTACCTATTTATCTACTTGCACTTAAGGGTGCTTTCGAACTGCTAGGTGGGCAGGAGCTGGGACCGAACGACGGAAGCTCACCCCGCCGCGGGGATTCGAACCGCCGACCATGCGATCAGCAAGTCCTAGGCACTGAGGTTTTACCCACAGCGCCACCCGCGTCCCTCACCAGATGCTTATGTGATGCCTAAAAGCAGGATCTGAGCTGGGATTCCCAGCAAGTGGCATTCAGAGTCATCCTGCCTTTGGAAGCAGAACACAGCCATCGTGGAGGCAGAACATAGCCTGGCAATGTTGTTAAGACTACAACTCCCATCAGCCCCAGTCAAGCACAGCCATATGAAGCAGGGGCTGATGGGAACTACAGTCCAGCGATAAAGCGAGCCCTCAACCTGCCCAAGGTTACATTTCGGGGATCACTCTTAAAAGCCAAAATCAGATATAGTCGAAACACACTGAGATGAATAGCGGGAGGGACTGCCCAAGTTTACACACACACACACACACACACACACACACACACACCCCAGATGCATGTCCTCTTTACACCCCCTTTTTAATTATTATTTTTTTAAGTTGCCAAGCATGTAAAGCTGAATGCGCACTAGTTAAATGTGTGTTCGTTGTGGGATTACTGTACATAGAGGGCACCAGGCTGGAGCTGGGCTTACAAGAGTCCACGTTGCATTTCAAGTCTATTATTGGCAAGCTGAGTGACCTCGCCTGGTGGCTTGCAATTTCTAAACAGAGGTCAGGATTGGGCCCTTCCTTTGTGCTTATTCGGAAGCACGGTGCACTCAATAAGCTCCCTTGGCAGGTGCAGAATTCTGCACCCATGACATCAGCTGGGACTGATGGGAATTGCAGTCCAAAACATCTAGAGGACACCAGGTTGAGGAAGGCGGCCATTGAGTTGCTGCTGGTCAGTGTAGGCAGTACTGGGTTAGATGGGACTGATGGACTGACTCAGTGTACGATGGCCTCAATGTCAAAAACGATGGCCAGTATATGACGATGGTCATATATATGGGCCGCTACCAGCTCTGCAGAGAAGCTGGGCTCCTCCCTCCATCAGCTGTCACCTGGCAGCAATAGCTATTCCATCAGGATAAAGTAAGGAAGAAAGAGAAGGGACGCAGGGCCACTCCATTGATGCAACAGGGAAGCCAGCACCTTTTGATGGCATCTCACCTTGAGCTTTTTCACTTCAGGTGGTCATGAGAACTTGTACTCTGCTTACTATTTCCTCTGCCCTCCCAGTCCATTTTCCTTTTGTGCCATGTACTTTCAAGATTTTATGCCTGAAAGCAAGGTAAACCATCCTGCAAGCCTTCATTAAGGATTTTAAAAAGTAATAATCTTGTAGTAATAATAACAACCAAGATTTATTGTATTCAGAAAAGACCCGCTGAACTATTGCCCATTCATTTTATTAGATCTACTATTCTGAGTATTACTTAGATTGGGGGCAATCCAGTCAAATGGGCGACATATAAATAATAAAATTATTCTTAGTAGTAGTACTATTTTTCTCCCATTTCATGGTGGAAGAACATGTTATGGCCGACAATAGACAAGTCTAAGAACATAGGTCCATCTAGCTCAGTATTGTCTACACTAACTGGCAGCAGCTCTCTGGGGCTTCCGGAACAGAACAATCCCAGCCTTGCCTGGAAACTCTAGAGACTGAACCTGGAACCTTTTGCATGCAAAGCAGATCCTCTTTCACTGAGCCAGAGACCTTCACTGTACAGCATCAGACCACTGAGTCCATCCAGTTCAGTAAGATCTGCACTGACTGGCAGCACCTGTCCAGGGTTTCAGCCACAGGACGTTCCAAGCCCTGCCTGGAGATGTCAAGGATTGGACCTGCGTCTTTCTGCCTGCAAAGCAGGTGCTTCCAGACACTCTACCTGGAGTGAAGACTACCTGGAGGCCCCAAAATACACCACCTTGACTTCCATGGTGAAAGACAAATGCACAAAAAACCCCAACCCTCTGTCGTTCTTCAATCGAAGATCTGCAAACCTCCCAGGCTCTGAGACGCAAGAAGGGTGCTGGGTGGAGAAGGCACTCTTGAAAGCCCCCTGGCTTCACTCTGGACTCTAAGAGCACATGAAGAACAGTGCTGGATGAAGTCAATATCCCATCTAGTCCAGCATTCTGTTCTCACAGCGGCCAACCAATGCCTGTGGGAAACCCACAAGCCGGACTCGAGCGCATTTTGCCTTATCTTTAAACTAAAAAGTCCCAAACACTGCAACCTTTCCCCCTGGGGGAGTTGCTCCACTCCCCTGATAATTTCAGCTGCCCCTTTCCAAGTTTTCAATACCCATTCTGAGATGAGGCGGCCAGAACGTACACAGTGCTCTCAATGCATTTGCATCATAGATTTGTACAACTGTTACATCGGCAGTTTCATTCACTCCTAACGATCCCTAGTGTGGAATTGGTGATCTGAACCCACAAGTAGCCAGCGATAGGTACCCAAAACTTTCTTAAATCCTCTGCAGCAATCTGCAGGCACCTTCCATAGGGCAGGCATCCCGGGAAAAACTCACCAATTTCCGGAGCGCCCCCTCGTCCATGCTTAACAGCCTCTCCTCCGACATGTCCCCCGGTCAACGTCCAGCTTCCCACCTTCTGCCCCCCACCAAAGAAAAGACCCTCACAGTGGTCTCAAGACACCGCTTCCGTGTGCAAACTCTGGGAGCGTGGCCCGCTTAGCATCCGAACAGCCGGCTCGGAGGAGGAACTCTGGAAGAGAACAAACCACAGCTGCGTTAGGCGGGGGGGGGGTGGAGAGGAGGGAAAGAGATAATAATTGGGAGGTCTTTCCCCCGGAGTCATTAAACAGGGTGTTGAAAGGCAAATGGAGTCAGGGCAGCCAGATTCACTGGCTGCTAATCCCCAAACTGGAAAAAGAGACCGTCTGAACGCCAGTCCTGGCCGAGAACATCGTAGATCTCTCTGTCTCTCATGCACACACACCGGCCAACTGGCTTCCAGGAAACTCTGATGAGTCCCTCAAGACACACAACCCCAGACCTAGAGAGAGAGAGACCTCTCCCCCTCTCTCAACTCCGTTTTCCAAGAGTTTGGCCAGGCAAGGAGCCTCAAGCAGAGCGCCAGAGTTTCTCAACTCATCAGGGAGAAAAGCTTTCCACCCAGCTCAGACGCATACCGATTCCAAAGCCTGCCAAAAAGGCAGTGGGCCAGCTAGCATCTTGCCCACCCAGATACCCAACATATTGGGGGGGGGGGGAGAAGGGCTGACTCAGGAAAATAAGCCTCGCGGAAGTCGGCACAACTGACTACTCACAAGAAATTGCTTCATTTTAATTGGGAGTGACAAACATGCAGGCAGCATACTTACCGGGCTGGTGTCATCACTGACACACACAGAGAGATATTATATATATATCCAGACACACGAGGTAACACAGGGCTGATAAGAAATGAATGGAAACTGATTTGGACCAGACACACGAGGTAACACAGGGCTGACAAGAAATGAATGGAAACTGATTTGGACCAGGAGAAAGAGGCTTCAGGTGCCTATTCAGACATCAGACTCCCTTGGATATGTTGCATCCTCTCCACAAGCCTACCTCACAGGGTTGTTGAGAGGATCGAGCAGGCTGACCCAGACATATATTAGCCTGAGCTTTTTTGGGGGGGGGGGTCAAAAGACAGTAAATAATATACAGTGTATATTGATTTAAGTCGTTATTTTTAAAAGTATCCGTGGGAAAGGTGGGGGCATAGCCCACAGGCAGTTTAACGTGCAGTTATGCAAGGTCTTTCATCCAGAGTGGAACAAGAAACCCAATAGTTTCGAGGTTCAATAGATCTAGAAATAGAAGGTCTACATGGTTATGGCACAATGACTATTAAAATAGTGAAAAAGCAAGGGAATGCTAACTTTTAAATCTTTCTGCAGCTCCCAGGTAAGTGCCAACCGATGTCCACACACACACTCCAGCAACGACAGCACCTGGTACTTCAGGGGCCCAGAACCAGGTGTCAGGAAAGGGCAGCAACACACGAAGTTAACAGCAAGTATAGGAGGGAGGTGTGGGGTGAGAAATCCCATTTAATCCAGATTAAGGAATTTCATTGCACACGCACATCTCTTTAGTAGCGCTTAAATGTGTAGCCTTTCCTGAAACCGATGTCCGAGTTGCGCACCCATTTTCAGGATTACCGACAAGCCAGACGCGCTGTCCAGATTTGGGACACACATCCTCTTCAATCCGGATCTACTAGCCTCACACATCCTCTGCAATCCGGATCTAGTCCACTGCGGTTCCCGAATCCAGTTAACCCGTTGACTTCTCTTCCTCTCAATAAAGACCCGCTTTAGGTTGGCAACACACCCTTCCCAGTCCGGATTAGCCATTCACCACCCCCCTCCGCTCACATTAATCCGGATTAACTATTTACTCCCCCCCCCCCGCCTCACACACAATCAAGAACAAGGCACGCACCTCGGCAGAACCGGCAGAGCCATGCAGGAGCCAAGCCCTGCCCCTATGCACTTTTCAAATCCCGATACAGTTCCGCACCCTCCGGCTCTCGAAGCACTTCTGAGCCAGCAACCCGCGCCGCGCCGCCAAATCCCAGCCTCCTCCTTCAAGGCCCCGCCCCGATTTTCTCAAAGGGACCAATCGCAGGGCGGATCTGGCTCCGAACGCTCGCGTAACAGCTCTCCACCTTGCGCTATTGGTTCAATTCAATTAGGTGGCCACGCCTCCCTATGCCTGTAAGCCCGCCTTCCCCGCTTGGCATGCTGGGGGTTGTAGTTCAAGGTGGCACCCCGGGATTGAGGACAAGACTGGCTTGAACGACGTTTTTTAAGAGAAAACTCATTGAAATTAAAGGTACTTAGCAGCCATTTCTGACAAGCTGCTTAGAGTTATTGTATCTCTTTGCCTTAATTGTTTATTTGCATATATTTCCCCTCCAAATGATCATATTGTTATACCTGATGGGAATGTCATTTACAGTAAGTAGAGGTTCCACTGTATATGTTATTTTCTAACACTTTGCTATCTGTTGTTAATTTCGTTGGAAGAGCGACAAGCAAGCATCAAATCAGTCCATTCCAGTTCATGACTAGCAGCTTTTTTAACGCGTTCAAATATCTTTTAAAGCAGCCCCCTCAACAACAGCTCTGCAAAGTAGGACAGCATTATTGTCGCTGTAGTGCAGATTGGAGCGGTGTGAGCCTGAGAGAGTGTTTCCACCACAACAACACCTCAGTCCTCAAGAATTTATGGCAGATGTAAAGGACTTCTTCACACAGCACACAGTTGAACTGTGGACCTCACTCCCACAGGAGGTAGTGATGGGCACCAATTTGGACAGCTTGAAAGCCTATACAGTGGTACCTCGGGTTAAGTACTTAATTCGTTCCGGAGGTCCATACTTAACCTGAAACTGTTCTTAACCTGAAGCACCACTTTAGCTAATGGGGCCTCCTGCTGCTGCCGCGCCGCCGGAGCACAATTTCTGTTCTCATCCTGAAGCAAAGTTCTTAACCCAAGGTACTATTTCTGGGTTAGCAGAGTTTGTAACCTGAAGCGTATGTAACCTGAAGCGTATGTAACCCAAGGTACCACTGTAAATGGCTATGGATATCATAGAATCATAGCTGGAAAGAGCGCTGAGGATCATCTAGTAGTCTAACCCCTTGCAATGCAGTAATACGTAGCTGTCCCGTACAGGGATCGAACCTGCAACCTTAGCGTTATCAGCACCATGCTCTAACCAACTGAGCTTTCCAGGCACTGGAAAATAAGGGATATTATCCATGTGAATGGATGTCTTTGTTTTTATAGGCTTTCATCATTCACATTATATCCAAAGTATGGAACGTATCACTGATGTCTCTGGGGGGCCCCTTTTATCTCTGCTTTGATATTTCATGCCTTTGTTCTGAGATGATTTTCTTCTAAGTTTGCCCCAAAAAAGTGAGGGGAAGGGGAAGAAGATTGGACCAATTCATGGAGGACAAGACTATCAATGGTTACCAGCCTTACTGGCTATGCTCTGCCTCCACTGTCGGAGCAGTAAGTACTTCTAAATACCAGTTGCGGGAAACGACAGGAGGGGAGAGGGCACTTGTGCCGAGGTCCTGCTTGTGGGGTTTCCTATAGACATCTGGCTGGTTACTGTGAAAACAGGATGCTGGACTAGATGGGCCATTCGCCTGATGCAGCAGCCTCTTCTTGGGTTTTCAGAGGCATCCCAGCCAGCACTCACATCTCCCAATCCCATGTGCAGTTTTTTGTCATGTAAGCCACACTGGGGTAGCAGGGAAACTCCCAAAGCAAGACTACGAACTCCAACTGGAATACGCCAAAATGGCAAAACTGACCGAAAGGCTCAGGAACCAAGAAGACCAAAAGCTTCAAGAAAGAATGGGAAAGATTTATAATTTATTTAGGAGACCACTGTAAAACTAATGAAAACATTAGCAGGAGTCTAATAACACTTGTAATGTAACAAAGACTATGTGCAATATGGAGAGATATGAAATATGGATGGAATATTATGCAGTTGAAAATGATGTTGACAATAGGACCCAGGGAGGGGATGATAGGAAGTCTGGAGATTCAGAGAAATCTCTAAACTTGAACATGTATTTGGTATTGTTACAACTTTACGCTTGTAAAATAAAATAAAAATTATTTCAAAAAGAACAAACTACGAATCCCCAAATTAGGGATCCCCTCCAAACCTGTGCCAAAGTTTTGAAGTTGTTTTGCCACAAAACACCCCCATGTTTTGTAGCTCCCCACAAATCGAGAAACTGATACATCAAACACGGGGTTCCCATGTTTGGGGTGATATGATAGCCATGTTCAAATATATAAAAGGATGTCACATAGAGGAGGGAGAAAGGTTGTTTTCTGCTGCTCCAGAGAAGCGGACACGGAGCAATGGATCCAAACTACAAGAAAGAAGATTCCACCTAAACATTAGGAAGAACTTCCTGACAGTAAGAGCTGTTCGACAGTGGAATTTGCTGCCAAGGAGTGTGGTGGAGTCTCCTTCTTTGGAGGTCTTTAAGCAGAGGCTTGACAACCATATGTCAGGAGTGCTCTGATGGTGTTTCCTGCTTGGCAGGGGGTTGGACTCGATGGCCCTTGTGGTCTCTTCCAACTCTATGATTCTATGATTCTATGATTCTATGATTCAAATGTTGGGGTTAATGAGCCCCCCGCCCAAAAAAAGCAGTGTGCTCAGGACTCTTTTCCACACACGCTGTGTGTTATTTGAACTTTCAGGCCAATTCATGACCCACACCACTGGCAAAGGATCTTCTGAATGAACAGATCTGGGATAGATAGGGTTTTAATATGCTTTTTCTATGTTTTCAGCTGCTCAGTTTTCACTGTTTTTACGGAAAATTTTAATTTCTTGTATGCAGCTTCGAGGGCTTTTTTTGGTGACAATCCAGCAATATTCAAATTTTATTAAACAGTAAGAAATCGGCAGGGGAGGTGGGCTGTATGAGCTGTAAGGTGCCTCCAGTTCTTTTCTTTTTTAAAAACAACAACAACTTAACAATTGATGACAGGGGATCCTGGAACAGCAGCAGGCATCTCAGACAGCTAGGGAGTTCCTGCTTGCTCCTAGCCATTGTGCTGCTGACAATGAACGAGGATTACAAACAAGCAAATGTAATTGTCTGGAATTTGGTTACCTTGGGCTTAAGGGTCCCAGCAGCTATTTGCTATGTGTCTGGCACATTTCAGTGCTGCCTGGTAGCCAAGCTTAAGTACACCGGTCATAAATACTGTGTTTTGCACGTCTGTTCCCTCCCCGTGAGGCAAGAGCAGGGAGCCATCCCTGCCAAAAGCTACGTATGCGCAATACGTTTAAAGCACATGCCTTTCACCCAATCATCCCGGGAACTGTAGTTTCCCCACATAGAATGATAGAATTGTAGAGTTGCAAGGGGCTCCAAAGGTCCTCTAGTCTGACCCCCCAGTGCAGGAATCGCAGCTACAGTGCTACAGTTCCCAGCACCCATAACAAGTTACAGTTCCCATTGATTCTTTTGGGGGAAGCCATGTGCTTTTAATGTGTGGTTTGTGGATGTGTGTGTGGATGTGTGTATCTTCTTTTCTTCTTCTTCTTCTTCTTCTTCTTCTTCGGCGATCACTCGTAGCCGAGTAAGATTGTCTTCCATAAACAGGGTTTTAACAGTGAATCCGTAAGTGACTGTGGAGGTCAATTCTGGATCCGCACATCCTTCCACAGTGCGGACATAGGTTTCCGGGCAGGAGTTGATCACCTTGAGAGTTTGCCAAACGTGCCTTCCTCTTAGCTTGTTTCTCCCTTTTGTCCTGAGTTCGAGTGTCTTCATCATCACAATCACCCGGCAGAGCCGTTTTCCTTACATCTCTCTGGCTTGGTTCACAAGATGCAGACGGTTGCCTGTTCTCTTCCTTCAAACTTCTGCTGTCTCCACCCAGGAGGCGTTGGAAGGGAGGTGTGGCCCACCCCAGGTGTCATCCTTGAGGGAGGTGACAAAATGACACACCCTGGATGATTAGGTCCAGTCAAAGGCAACTATGGAGTTGTGGCGCTCATCTCGCTTTCAGGCCGAGGGAGCCAGCGTTTGTCCACAGACAGCTTTCTGGGTCCTGTGGTCAGCAGGATTAAACCGCTTCTGGCACAACGGAACACTTTGACAGAAACCAGAGCGAACGGAAACGCTGTTTCCTTCCCGCCGCAGTGGTACCTATTTATCTACTTGCACTTGCGTGCTTTCGAATTGCTAGGTTGGCAGGAGCTGGGACAGAGCAATGGGAGCTCACCACTGTTGAGTGGATTCAAACCGCCGGCCTTCCAATCGGCAAGCCCAAGATGCTCAGTGATTTAGACCACAGTGCCACCCATGTCCTGAATACCATTTGCTAGAAATCACAGGAAGGAAGAGTGCTCTTGTGCTCGAATCCTGCTCGAATTCTGCTAGATGGGCCTTTGGCCTGGCTCATCAGGCTCTTCTGAGGTGCTTGTGTTGACCTCTGTCACCTTTTAGCGGTTGTGCGTTGGCTTGTGACAACCGGATCTCTAAACCAACATGAAATGGAGAGGAACAGCCATTGTGGAAGAATCAGATATGGGGCAATAAATCATCAGCATGCGCACACGCACACCCCACCCCAAAGGTTGTGTTGTGATGAGATAGCGTTGGGGTCAGGGAGGAAGGCTGGGGCCAGTTACCAAGGCCAGAAGCAGCCAAGTGCAAAGGAAAATGACCTGACAAAGAGGACATTATGCCCTGAAAGAGTTTTCAAGGTTTGAAAAAGAATTATTGGAGAGTAATGAGAAAATCTGATGGAAAATGTGTAAGCTTCTGTTAGAATAGGGCACTAAAGATTAAATTAAAGCTGTAATGATACACTGGGCAAAAGATGTGGGTTACAAAAATATATTTTAATTTATGGGAGAAGTTGTGGGAAGAGGATTTAAAAGTTACGGCTTGTTGTACATTGAAAGAAAACTACATGGAAATGATGTACCGTTGGTACTGGACTCCAGTAAAACTAGCAAAAATGTATAAAAACACCT